AGCTGTCAGGGCAAATCCGCTCTGATCATCCGGCCGGATGTTCTACCATCCCAGCAGACTCCGTACATCCAAAGTCCTGCTCTCCAGCCACTAGTTGCACTATCGCTTGGTTTGCTGTACCTCGGCAGCTGGTTGGCGCGGAGTTCGGTTCGGCACCAAGGCCGTAAAATTTCTCTTCCAACGAGGGCACAGCTAGCAAAATGCCAGGTACGATGCACCCCACGACTCGACCTGCAGCCTTCCTAACTTCATAGGGCTTTGAAGTGGTTTCTCCGGCAACTGACGAGCTGACTCTGCTCAGGTTCCATTGCCATCCCTCTGAATGTCTCACGGGAGCTTGTTCCTGGTCAGGGGCCGCTTTCTTACTGCCGGCCACGCTATGCAGGGTGTGCCTTGGGCTAAACCGGGCCATGCAGGTCGCTGCAGGTTACGAGGCCAGCTCCGTCCGGCTACAGTAGGCTCCAGCACCACTCTCTGGAGCGCGTGCTTGGGCTCCGCTCTAGATCGTGGCCGGCCGTCACTACTACTGCAGCCAAGAAGTGACTTAGCCCAGACTAAGTCGGCCCTCCAGTCTCCCAGTCCCAACAATCAATTATCCACCTATAGTATCCGGATGGTGATGAGTGGGCAAGCGAAGAAGCAAAAGCTCGGTCGCAGTTCGTCCACCACAGCTTGGGCAGCGGGTCAGACTAGTTATTGAGACTAACACGAGGTGTAGCGACTCGTGAGATGTCTATCATGCTGAGTGATGGTGAGGTGTGATTGGTGTGGGTGTATTGCCACTACCTCACAGAACACGGAGCCCGGGCCGGCACACATTCTCTCTAGTCTGGATGGAGCCCTCCATCCTCTCTAGCACGATGGATTTTTGATAGGCTATTAGCAAGTGGATAGGTGAGTCTTAGCTTGGTTGCCTCTGCCCGTGCTTCTCGCCATAAGGCCATACCCGACTCCGTACTCCGTCCCGACTCTAGCCATTAGTTATCATTCTCCCTTATTATTAAACACATTCTCAGCGGCACACGTACCTTGGGCAGAAAATGGCCAGAGAAGCAATCTAATTGTCTCAGGCCAGAGGGCTACCACGTCAAGCCCTATTAATTAAGGTGCCTCCATTCCAGACCCTCTGGCAGCCAATCTAATTTGTCCGTGGCTACCAAACCCTTAATATTAGGTAATACCCACCTTGCCGTGAATGTCTAGCTCGGAGGTCAGCCAACAAGTCACTCGCACTCGCACAGTAGGCCACAGCATTCTTCACATCCAGAGACCAACACGTGTGCAGCATAGCTTAGCTTGCATTTCCCTCCTCCTTCATCTACCATATTTTATCTAGATAATAACATCCGATCGTTACCTGCTCTGCGATCTCTCCAAATCCTACCCTGTCCATCACACATTATTCTACCCTCTATACAAAGAACATCGTTATAACTAATCCACGGTCCCCATACAATCAAGTAGGAAATAGTGATAAAATCGGCAGATCACGTCGATCCATCCATCCACCCATCTCAACGGAATTCTTGTCCTGTCTCATCGCTTAGATAATTCCCACCTGAAGTTAAGCGAAAGTAACTTTTCTTTTCTTTTGGGATTGTGCGATAGACACATGATGTAATTCCACGATTTATCAACATTATTGTTTGTGTGTGTAGGGGAAGTAAATTCTGGAGGATTTTCGATCTATTGAATGTTGTTTTTTCTTTTTTTCTTTTCCTTTGTTTGTTTGTTGTTTGTTGTTTGTTGTTTGTTGTTCAATATACCATACTAGAGTACTCCGTAACCCATGATTATTTTCCCTATAGGGATGAATGTCAAAGTGTGATTAATTTACTACATGAAGTACTCCTACTCCGCCTCCTACTCCTACTCCTACTCCGTACCACACTCCGACTCCGTACGGAATCCTCATGCACGTTCCTTCCCCTCATGAAGGATTTGGTGTCAGAGTGAGGGGTAAGCTAGGTAAGCTAGGTAGGTAGGTAAGCTACGCATTTATCCGGAGCTGTGTTCCATCCTGTATGTACCTTTTCTCCGCACGGTACATGACATACACATATCTTAGGGGGAGGGAATATGTACCTGTACATGTACATGTACATGTACACGTGCATAGTGTGTAGTGTGTAGTGTGTATGTACTCCACGTGGGGAGGTGCATAGCTAGCTTAGCTTGTGGTCATTGTGACTGTGGTGGTTGGGTATGAGTACGGAGTACGGGTACAGATTGAGGAGGTATGCATAGGTATGTAGGTATGTAAGTAGGACCACGTCACGGTTCCAAATTTGAAATTTGGGAAAGTCTTCGTTTGTTTTGCTTGGACATGTGATATCTACAGTTTCTACACTGTGGTTGATTTATTGGGTGGTGTGTATGGGCTGGGGTGGGGGATCGGGGTAGCCTTATTGGGACATTGTAGAGTGTCAGTGTCACTGGTACGGTCACTCTTACTACATAGTAGGTATAACCCTGTCGGCGATCAAGCCGTCTTGCAAAGGATCTGAACTATTGGCATGGCATGAGCGGCCGTTGATCGAAGTTGGGGTACGCAGAATGCAACAGGTCACGGGATGATGAGGTGAGGGGGATCGACGGCTGATCGGAAGAGGGGAATTGGGATCTGATAGCTGACACGATGCTCTAACGTTGCTGGCATCCTAATTTTACTAGTTCCGGATTGTCGCGGAGATGCTGCTATGAATTCGATAAGAGGCATACCTGTTCCATGCGTCCGGACCGCTTGGGTTCATTGTCTGGTCGGTTCCACTTCCACGCATCTGGTACCGAAACCCGGGAATTTGGGTCAGGGATGGGGCTGTTTCGGTGTCTGGCTTGGGTCTGGGGATTTCCCGTTCCCCGCGGCCTTGGTAAAGACGTGGCCAAGGGGATATCATCTGGTTGGAGGGCGACAAATGACGAGACGCGTTGATGTTGGTATCCTCGGCTCGGCGGAGCGGAGAACAGACCAAAATCTTACGAGGTGGGATCTGGGGCTTCCAGTTCCAAGAAGCCATGCGCCACAGTTGGAGAGGATTAATTTTCAGGGTCCACTGGCGCGCTGAGGGATCTTCCAGTTCTTTGATCTCCTTCTTGCCTTTCCAGGTGCTTTCTCTGGCTTGGCCCCCGCGTGCGGAGATGCGATGTCGGGGAGGCGATGTGAATGGTTGGAGGGGGATTCCAGAAGTCCCGGCAGTGCTTCTGGTACACTTGCCGTATTTTTGATCCTACTATGGTAGGTTTAGGTCCCGCTCGACTTCAGTTATGATGCAATGCTTGGGTGTGGTTTCTCGCTTCCGCCTTCTCTATTTCCTCACACCCAATTTTGGGTTGCATAAGTGGAGTACACCTCACAGACAATGGCATTGATGTTGAGGTGGAAGCGAAGTGGTTGGTAACTGGGTATGGCTGGACGGGACTGGGTTCAAGTTGAGTCGGTCCACTTGTGAGAAATCTTCGCAGTCCACATGAAGAAAACTGGATTTAGCACCAGTATTCACGGCCCATAGTTCATGCAGCAACTCGAATGCAGCAAGTAACCTTCACGGACTAGTCAATAGATAGCTAGATGCGTTAGAGTTACCCACTGTCTTCGATCTCCGTCTCTCACCACGCGCCTTCGGTTATGCTAGCTCCATCACCACATGCCAACCAGATGGCAAACTAACAGTAGTGATAGTTCGTCCAACTCAATCCCGACCCGGTGTTTGTGACGATCTTTGGTGGGAGGATGGTTGGATCGGTGATGATTTGTTGATGTGGGGAGATCTACATACAGAAGAAGCGGTCTGCATCATCCCGGCTCTTCGCGGCGAAGACGGCGCTACCGAAGGAATGGCGTCGATAACTATCGAAGGTCGAGGGGGAATTGAGTGGATTCTGCGGCTATACTTTTCGATAGTAAGATGGCGGATCGTTGAGAATTTGAGATACGAACTGTGCTGAGTTCACCGACTTGGTAGCATGTGGACTGTGTTTGACAAATGTTTTGATAGGCTTGAGATAATGTAGATCTGGACAGAATGATAGACTGGAGGACTGGAAATTGTGTAGTAAGGAGACTCATCATCATCGACGTCTTGTTGCTTTTCCTGCTGGAGCACGTGCAGGCAAACAGAGAAAACAAGCCAAACCAAACAAAACCATCCAGGATGCTCCCAGCAATTTTCATCTCTCTGCCTTGCAGCTTCAACGGAAACCACCTTTCAAGGAGGAAACAAATGGTGGTTCAGCGTTTCTGCAGGGCTACTGTCACTACCACTGTCATGGCAATACTGGACGCGATCACATTGCTCAAGCGAGAACTGACAACTGACCCTCATCCAAGGAGATTAAACCATTGGGATACCTGAAAAGTACTTCTATTCAAACAGTGTTCGAGCAAGTATGTCTGCATACTGACTGCGAAAGATAGACTGAAGATAACATGGCCACGATCTCGCTCCGCAAATGCTGTTGGTTGACCTCTGCTCCCAGATGGATAACACCACACCGTCGTTGAATAGTGAATGGCTGCTGGCCAGTCCAGATTCACGGCAAGGACAGCCAGACATACCAAGCAAAAGACTGATAACGTGCCTGTCATTATCTTGTCAGCTCCGTGTCGTGCGGGGTTGATAAGCAGCTTCCGACCTTCTGCTTTGGGAGTGATCATCCTGATAGAGCTGTCATCCAGGTCTTTATCAGCTTTATCAATCTCCTTGAATCTTGTCTAACTCGAACAAGAAGGTGCTTCGAGCGCCAGCTGTCAAACATGGGGGGCATGCATTGATATCGATCGGCTGAGCCCAGTATCTCTGGCACTTGCCATTGTATCATGCATGCGATATACAGACGAAGGTGCTGCAGGACAGCCATGTCATTGCTATCAACATGATAGCCATCTCAGTCGCTTGAAGCTCGTGGATGTTATAAAAAGCCGGGAGGACCTCTCGGTGCACTCCTTCTGTTAGACACAGTCTGAATCGCTTACAGCCATTCTAGTTGTTACGTTCAAAACCATGAGTTCTACGTTAGATCATAGTGACAAACAATTCACCACACATACAGTTGACATTGAATCCAAAGACAATGGACATGTATCTCCTCTCCAAGCAGATGCGGCGCTGGAATACCTTCGCACCGAAGGTGTAGCCACGTTCTCCGATGTAGACGAGAAAAGGCTGGTTCGAAAGATCGATCGAATGATCGTACCATTAATGTGGGCGATTTACTTCCTACAGTACCAAGATAAGATCCTAAGTCAGTAGGTACAGCTTGCCATAACCAGAAGCTAACAGCAGTGCAGTCAACTATGCATCGGTCATGGGCCTCCTGGAGGATACTGGCATGCGAACAGATCAATTCTCAAACCTGGCTCTAGCCTTTTATGTGTCCTACCTCTTCTTTGAACTTCCAACAGGATACCTGATGCAGCGGTTGCCAACTGCAAAGTATCTTGGATTAAATGGTAAATGACCCAGTCATCCTGTAGGGACATGCTGACAGAAAAGTGACCCTCTGGGGTCTTCTGACCACCCTAAACTGCGTTGCAAAGAATTTCCCCGGGCTCGTCGTGCTTCGGGTTCTCCTAGGATGCTTTGAAAGTGCCGTAGCACCTGCGTAAGACACCGTCAACCTCATTAGAGCCCTTCTAACGAGAACAGGCTGATTTTGATAACCTCCATGTGGTACAAGAGAGACGGTATGCAGCATATCCAGATTAATTACGTCAACTAATCCGTGAAGAACAACCTAAGCGCATGGGCTTCTGGTACTTGGGCACAGGCACCGCGACCATAGTCGGTGCCCTCGTCGCATACGGTCTGCTCTTCTATACAGCGGACGAGTTCTATTCTTGGCAAATCATGTTCTTGATCTTTGGGCTCATCACAATCGCAGTCGGAATCACAGTCTTTCTGGTCTTTCCAGATAATCCCATGACTTCGCGGCTAAGCCATGAAGAGAAAATAATGGCAATTGAGCGTCTTCGCGAGAACCGAACAGGCATCGAAAACAAGCACTTCAAATGGGGACAATTCTCCGAGGTTTTCAAAGACCCGCAAGCCTACCTGATTGCTGTAATTGTGGCCTCGAGCAGCATCAGCAATGCCGCCATCAGCAGCTTCTCCGCCTTGATCATCAAAAACTTCGGGTTTACCACCAAAGAGACCGAGCTGCTTACAATCCCAGGAGGCGTGGTCAGCGTGATAAGCATCTTGCTCGGCACATACTTGGCGGGTCGGTTCGACCAGCGGTGTTTCTGCACCATCGGCATCCTGTGTTGCGGTCTGCTTGGAGGCTGCCTCATGGCCTTCGCTCCGAGTAACAATAAAGGCGCCAAGTTGGCCGGGAGCTACCTGACCAACTGTGTCGGGTCCGCCCTGCCCTTGCTGTACTCTATTGCAGGGGCCAACATTGCCGGTCATACTAAGAAGGTGACCATGAATGCGATCGTTCTGATGTCGTTCTGTCTCGGCAATATTCTAGGCCCGCTGTCATTCCGCACCAAGGACGAACCGGAGTATATGCCAGCGAAGATCGCCATCGTCGCGACTGTGTCTGTTGCGATTGTCTTCACCGTAGCTCTGAAATGCTACTACATCTGGGAGAATCGGCGACGAGACGAGCAGTGCCAGGGGATGCAGCATGAAGACTCCCGAGTTTCTGGATCTTACAGACAAGGCAAATCCAGAGTTTAGAGTAAGTGGAAACCAGCAGTTGCTTTGCCAATTCTAACAAATCTCAGTACAAGCATTAGAGAACGGGGTCATCTATCAATGTATCAAATTAACACCAATTCTATGCTATGCAATGCAATGAACGCCATCAAATGCCCCCTCTAGAAGAAACAAACCAATCTCATGATCAAGCAGCAACCTTCACAGCCTTGAACTCCTCGCTGAACTCATAGTCGACGTAACCCTTGGGATCCTTAGGCACGTAAAAGACCTCTCTCTGGTACGGACGAAGAGGGATGTTGTGCTGAATCTTGAAAGGCAGCTCGGGGTTCGAAGTCCAAGGACGACCGATGCCAACAACAACATCAAGATCCTTGTACTGCACATCGACCGCCTCCTTGGCCGAATCAGGCTTGAAACCACCAGCAACCACCAGAGGTCCAGCATTGCCATACGCCTTGGTGAAGAACTCCAGGGTCTCCTCATCCGACTCCGCACCCTCCGTATTACCAGCAATGCGCGCCTCCACAAGATGCACAAACGCCAGCTTAAACGGGGCCATCTTCTTCGCCAGATCCGTAAACTGCGGCTTGGGATCCGCCATCTTCATACCCTGGAACGTGCTATACGGACTGAACCGGATACCGGTGCGATCCGCACCAATAGCCTCGACCACGGCACGAACCACCTCCACCGCAAACCGGGACCGGTTCTCAACACTTCCACCCCAGGCATCCGTGCGCTTATTCACCGTATCCTGATTGAACTGATCAATCAGATACCCATTAGCACCGTGAATCTCAACCCCATCAAACCCAGCCGCAATAGCATTCTTCGCCGCCTGCGCATAATCGGCAATGTACTCGCGGATCTCCTTCTCGCTCAATTCCCTCGGCACAGGACCCTGCCCGAACGGAACCGCACTGCTCGAGACAACATCATAATCTCCTTCCTCCTTCAGAGCAACCGGATCTGTCACCCGACCCAGAGCCCACAGCTGCATATAGATGTACGAGCCCTTCTTGTGCACCGCGTCCGTCAGCTTCCGCCATTGAGCGATCTGCGCCTCGCTCCAGATGCCCGGCACGTTGCGGTAGGAACCCGCACGGGGCGAAATGAGAGTCGCTTCCGTGATGAGAAGGGTACCTGGGACAGCGGCGCGTTGTTCGTAGTGTTCGGTCATCATGGGGAGAGGGACGTGGTCGTCGTCGGCGCGGAATCGAGTCATGGGCGCCATGGCGAGACGATGGGCTAGGGACATGCGTCCGACTTGAAGAGGAGCGAACAATTTGGTCATTGTGGTGGTTGTAAAATCTGCTTGAATCGGGAACGAGAAGGGTATAGTATAGAATCAAAAATCCAGAATGGAGGATAGTACTAGGCAAAGAAATAGTAGTAGTCTAGACAATGAACGATGCCTAGTTAGTTGTTGAATGATACCAAATGCAGTCCCAAACCCATATTTATATCCCCATTCCCATCCACCTCACGCCACACCCCCATCTCCAACATAGTATTTAGCAAATAGCAATTCGCAACCAGATCAATAATCAATACCCCTTGAAAAACTGGATCCGATCCACATGGTTGATTTCCAATCAATCATGCTTTTTATGGGTCCGCGGCAATTGCCTCATACTTCTACTCCGTACATGGTACTACATTCCGCACTATGAATGATACATCTGTCAGATCTAGGTTAATTCTTTAGTAGCATTGAATGCCACATTCACTGAGCGTAAGCAATAAGCAAAGCACGCCATAAACAATAAGCTAGGTGCCATTACATCATCGATTAGATTCTGCGGTGAGATTGGGGGTGACTGACTAAGCACGGGATGTGCTGGTGGCGCGTGCGACGCTGACAAATCGGCAAGATAGAGAATTTTCTACGAGGTTCAGTGGTGGTTCACTGGTTACTAATGAATGGGCTGTGGAGGGATGGGGTTGGAGTGTTGGAGGAAGGTATCTAGTTGGAGGGGGAGGGGGAGGGGGAGGGGGAGGGGGGATTGAGTTTTCTATTTTTCTGCTTGGCGAATTAGAGCTGAGGGGGGAATTAGTAAGGTGGTGTTGGAGGGGGATTTGGAGGGTTTGGGATGGGGTTGGAGGGATCTTCGGTTGTTTTGGGGGGGTTCGTTTTTGGTGATGGGCATATGTACGGAGTACTATGCAGTCTACCACTGCGTACTGCTTCGTACTGTTTATGGGTATATTGTGCTCCTACGTAGTTGGGTAGGCTTGGGTGTTGCTTAATGCTACTCAGTAGCTGCTCAAATATATCCAATAGGGAGTAGTCAGAGCAATAAATGCATATCCATTATCCAACCTCCAGCAAACCTCACTCCTTAGACGACAATGCCGCTGGGTATCATTCGAAAGCAAGTAGAATGACAGAACGAACAAGTGAAGGAATCAAGGTTAGGTCAACTCTCGAGTCGCCGTGCTGTAGCTTCGAGCTGCGCGTTGAACGACCGGATCTGATGGAGCAGACCGCCTTGAGCTCCCGGGGCGACAGAGCTCACGTTCTCAGCAACATTGCGGAGGAGGAACTCCAGCCCGACGGTGGAGGTGTCGGGGTTCTCGGACGTGGATTCGTCGACAGGACGGTTGGTGCGCTCGAGGGCGAGGTCCAGACTGTGGAGGGAATTGTTGATGGTGGACCGGGCCTAATGGGTGGTTAGCATGCTGAGTGCTTGGATGGTCCTGGGGCATACCATTTTGGCGTTCTCCTCCTCGGTGTGTTTCCTCCGTACGGCATCCATTTGCAATGCTACAGCTTCTCTCTCCTTCCGCACTTGGTAGAGTCGACTCCGTAGATCCATCATCTCCCGTTTCGATTTCTTGACTTGGCGTCCAAGCGCAAAATTACTGTCGAGCATCTCGCTCAATTCGAAGAGACGGCCCTCGAGTTCTGTGCCGTAGGCCTCCACGGCCTTCTTCTTGCGATTCCATTCCGCACGCCGGGCGGCGTTGCCTTCGTTCGCGATCCCGTTTTTGAGTGTCGTGAGGGTCTTTTCTAGGGTCTCGCGGCAGATTTGGCTGAGCACGTCTGCGGCGTTGACGCCACCACGGCTCATAAGCTTGCTCTTTTGTTTCGTCGCGGCTTCGTCGGCTGGTTCTTCCTCGTCGGATGATCCCTCCAGCTCTGGGGCGTCCCCAAGTGCTGCGACGTTCACAAACCGATGGACAGTTACTGGAACTGTTTCCCCGCGAGGTTGTCTGGGCTTGCGTTTCTTGGGTGCTTCCTCGATAGGCTGTGCTTCCTCAGCAGCCTGTGCTTCTCCCGTAGGCGGTGCCTCGTCAATGGGCTCGGCTTGTGTTGTAGGTTCCTCATTCGCAACCTGCGTATCGTCTTTCTTCTTTGCTAGCGGTTTCCTGCCACGACCACGCTTGGCAGGCCTAGATGGTTCAGGCTCGGCTGGAAATTCCGCCTGCGACTCAGGTTCGGGCTCCGGTATAGGTTCGGGCTCCGGTTCTGCTTCTGACTCCGGTACTGGTTCCGGTTCCGGTTCCGGTTCAGGTTCCACTACTGGCTCAGGCTCAGGCTCAGGCTGCACCTCTTCTTCGGGCGGAGATGTTTCCATCTGGACATCTTTGGACCGTGTTGCCTTTCTTCCGGGGCGTCCAGCGCGTGTCGATTTCTTCTCTGCCACCGTAGGTCTCGGCAACCGTGACTGGCGAGTCCCTTTGCGACTCGCGATATCATCCCTCGGCTCAGAGGGAACCTCCACCTCGCCAGGTTCATCACCTGGCTCTTCTTCTATCGTAGGGATGCCTGCCGTAGGCTCCTGACTCTTCCCCCCTCTGCGGAGCCTCTTGCTTTCTCGGACCTGAGCTGGGGCACTTTCTGCTGAACCAGCTCTCGCCACTCTAGATTGCTTGGCAATCGTTGAGGGCGGTTGGGCGGATGTCGCACGTTGGCCCCTCGTTCGCTTGACCCGCGGGGGTGTTAAAGATTTCCTTTGCGCTGTCGTGACGAGATCGGCTGCTTGCGTGACCTCGGTGGGCCTTTGGGGCTCAGCAACATCATGAGATTCGGTCGCCTCTTGCGGCTCAGTAGGTTCTTCAGTAGTTTGCGGTGCAGTCGTCTCTTGGAGATCAAGAGCAGCCTGGGGTTCAGGGGAGATTTGAGGTTCTGTGGGAACTTCAGGCTCACTAACAACCTGCGGTTGGGTGTTGATTTCCTGTGCTGTAGTCTGCTCTTCACTGGCTATTTGCACCTCAGTAGTCACCTGAAGTTCAGGGGTCTCTTGAGGCTCAGCAACGTCCTGTGCAGTGCCATCTCGACGCTCAGGAGCATCAGACGCAGCAGTCGGTGACCTTGTGGCATCTGATTTTCCATCCGGTGATATGTCCATTGGCTCTGATAATTGGTCGTCCTCCACCTCCGTCGCCTTGGGACTCACGGCATTCTGCGGAGAACCATGTGAAGAAGTTTCGCTATCCCGCGATGTCCTTCTCTTGCGTTTGCCCCTTGATTTCTGACTTGATGGAGGACTTGATTTCGCTTGACGTTCTGGTTGAACCCTCGGCGGCGTTGTTGTATTTTCAGTCGCTAGAGGCTCTGCTGGCTCGTTCGCCTGTACTGGTGCAGTATTCTCGGGCAGAAGTGTAGTTGTTGAAGGTAACTCTTGCGGTTGTGCCTCGTATGTAGCGCTACCATTCAGGACAGGTGTGACCGTTGACTCCTCAGGCAATTGAGCCGTTGCGCTTGGCACGACGCCATTCCGGAGTGGTTGTGAGCTCACTTCATCCCGCGCGCCAAGTAATATCGTCGATGTCCTCCTAGGATGATCTGGCTCAGTTAGCAGTCCGGTCCACTCCTGTTTTCATATCCACGCACCAAGTTTCCTTATCTTGCGACTCGGTCCGACTTCTGGCGGCTCTTCCGTAGGTATGTCAAAAGGTGACGGGCGTGGGGGAAGCTTGTTGCGCGCGCTTCCTGGTGTTCGACGAACGGGCCCCTCTTGTGAGGACGACGGCTTTCTATCTGGTGAGGCGATGGATGGCTGCGTGATCTCAGGCTCCCTTGTCGCCGTCGCAGCACTTGTAGCTGTGGGTGGTGCAGGAGGTCCGAGAGAAATACCAACATCGGCGGGTCGCGACGCGGATTGAGACGAATCGTCAGGCGCACCGGACAAGCCAAATGAGAACCCGAAGTCTATCGCCTTAGTCTTGCGTAACCTAACAAGCAATCACAGCATTAGCAATTTGACTCTGGTTGTTGTCGCGGGGCACGGGGATGCGCGTACGCTGCTCCGCGCTGCCGCATCTGCTGCCGCTCCTCTCGATCTGAAAGATTGTATAACCATTAGCATTGGAGGCATTACGGGAGCAAAACGACAACGTACTGGAAGCCATGGCTGAGAAGCGGCGCCCCTGCCGAGCTCAACGCGCCAAAACACGCGCGAGAGAAGATGATTGAGAAAGAGTTGGCCAGTAATGCGGATGATGGAGGAGGCGCTGTGATGATGGATGGATGCCGCCCGCGCCGATGGCCAATGGCGATGCTCCCGCCGGGTGGGTGCCCGTGACCACCGCCTGCTGGTTTCGCCGCGGTCTGTTTAGTGTTTACCTACTTCTATTTCATAGTACTATCTACTGTGTACATAGTAGGAAGATCTTGCGATTCAGATCAATATCACTATTTGGTAGAGAGCAAGTATATCCTTCATCTAGAACAGAAAATGCACCTTAGTGTCTCTCCTAGTGTGATTCAGCTCAGAGATATAGATCCCATTAGATGCTCTGGTACTCCGTACGATGAGGCCACAGCTGTCAAAGACAAGATATTGCTGTAGAAGTCAACAGCCTACAAATATCTACCAACGTTTAACTAGTACCATAGTCTTTCTCTTGCTCGGTACTCCGTATACATCTGTGTCTATGGTTCGCTTCCTGACTTATACTTCGTCCTCACATCAGACGAAGGTTGAGGTCACTGGTTCGAATCCAGCCTCGACCGTCCTTTTACTGTCCCTCACGTGGACCAATGCGGTTTGGCGCTCGGGCAAACGCTTCTCGTTCTCCGCATTGTCCAGCCCTCCTCCATAGATCGCTCGATTTCTTGCCAATCGGGCGCTCTTTCTTCCTACATTTCAATTGTCTCAATTGCCCTCCAGATTTATCCAGAGTTACCCATTGCACTAGCATCATGGGTTGGTTCTGGGGCAACTCCAACGACGACCCCGTCAAAAAGCTTGATCCCGACTTGCGAGAATACCTCGAGCATGAAGCTCCCAAGAAATACGTCCCAACGACTTCAGTCCCATCGCAGGGTCCCTCGAAGACAGACGCTCCACAAGCACAATCCTCACAACCCAAGGCATCCAACGCTGAACCTTCCGAACCCGCCGTTCCCTCCGCTTCTCTATTCCCCGATGGCCGTTACGCGCACCTCTGGAAGACCTACAAGCCCCCCCAGGAAAAGGAAGCATCGGAGCAAAAGACGGCAGAGCGAGTGATTGAGAAGTACAAACAGCGCGGTGATACCGTGCACCGGGCTGCGATGGAGAATTGCGCTCTGGAGCATGAAGATTTGACATACTGCTTCCAGACCGGCACCTGGCAGAAACGACTGCAGGCCCGTGTGACGCTGTGCTCTGAGGAAAACGCTAAGTTCTCTCGCTGTTTTACCACCCAGGCTGTAAGTGCAGACGCAGCTGAATCGGCTCTTTTTGCGACAGCCGAGTTTTTGCCGGTCGGTATATGCTGACGGTCGTTCAGAAATTCCTCCAGGCCTTAGGATACGCTTCATCCTTCGAGTGGGACGGCGAAAAGGAAGAACGGATTCAGATGCACGCCGATAAACTCTACCATGAGATGCTGGACTACGAACAACGAGTCGACGAGGCCCAGAAAGCCGGGCTGGAACCCCCGCCGCTCACCTCTCTTTTCAACCCTCAGGCCGAGCCACAGCAAAAGCCCGTTAGTAAACCAGGGACCCTGGAGATTCCTGGAGGAGAGAAAATCCCGGCAGGGTTCAAGCCATCAAAACCGCTGGCACAGCTTACTCCACACGAACGAGAACTGGAGATCCGAGCACACAATGCGCAGTTGGAGCAACAGAAGTTGTACGTGCAAGAGGCATCGCCTTTCATGAAATCCCAGGAGGACGCACGGAACAAGCGACGCGACAAAGCCGTCAGCTGGTTCGGCGAGACGATTGGCCGCTGGGTTACATAGAGCATATGCGCGGTGCTTCCGTCATGGACTGGATCTTCCCTTCTCTTGTGTATGATTACCCCATTTGTCACCCTTTCCTTTCCGTAGGAGTTTTGATTTGAAAGCGAGTCTGCGACAATCGACGTTGTTACGCATGGACATGCAGGACCACGGATTCCAATGTGCTTTTTCTTCCAATAGGAATGCAAGGGAAAGCAGGTGAAGAACCCTAAAAGTAAATGCAAGAAAGCGACAGAAGCTTCAGGTACCAGCGCTGGCATGCGTGCCCTATCGATTAGCCCTTTTAGCGGCGTAGAATGGTATAGTCGCGTCGAGGACCGACCGGATGGCATGCCCAGGGTCTGGGGAAGAAAAAGGATCGCGACTGTAACGATCGGGGCCGTTGAAATGCTGATCGAGCGCATCTCGAGGAACATGCTGACGGTCAGGGCGGCTGTCATTCGCCGGGCGCGTTGAACGCCAGAGCGACACGAGGAAGCGAAACCAACACGGGAAGCATCGACATCACCACTACGACCTCTCTGCCTCTTTCCCCCATTCCCTCACTGACAACCACGGACTCCCCCCGCCTGGCCATACTTCCTCCCACCGGACTATCCCTTTCCTCTGCCTCCTGCCGGAAGCCATCCCTCTCTCGACTGGTGCTTGTCCTCCCCGGCACCTGATTGATTCATTGACTGATCGATTGATTCTCGTTGCTCCCAGCAATCGCAGCTGGTTTCCATTTTAACCTTGCCTACGAACGGCTCTCTCCTCCGATCATTCCACGCTTTCTTCCCTCCCAGCGGTGGCGATATAACCCACCTCTTCAACCCTGAGCTAGAGTCCCTCGAGATCTTCTTTGCGCGCACGCAGGATTGTGGCCCTCACCGTCAATTTCCAGGGGCCCTCATTGAGCTGCCGTGCTCATCATGAAGGCCACCCCGTTGCTTATCTCATGGCACAACGACAATGCCCCCATTTACTCGGTCCATTTTGACCCCAATGGCAAAGGTCGTCTGGCCACGGCCGGAAAGTACGATTTCCTCTCCGTGGTCTTGTGTTGCTGTCTTCCTGGGTCTGGTGCTAATGGTTCTCCTCCCTAGTGATAACAACGTCCGAGTACGACCCCCTCACCACCCTGACCTCTGCACTTTACCCTCCCCGCGGCCTTTCTGACAGACAACCATAGCTATGGAAAGTGGAGACAACTGGCGAAGAACGAAAGGTGACCTACCTCAGCACCCTGGTAAAACACACCCAAGCCGTCAATGTGGTCCGTTTCAGTCCAAAAGGTAGATTCCAACCGACCCGTTTTCCCAACAAGGTCTTTTCTGACGACGCGTGTTTCCGACCGCTCTAGGCGAGATGCTGGCATCTGCCGGAGATGACGGCAACGTCCTACTTTGGGTCCCATCGGAATTGCAAACACAGTCGGGGCTGGGAGAAGATCGTTCGGACGACAAAGAAACATGGCGCGTGAAGCACATGTGTCGGTCGTCTGGTGCAGAGATCTATGACCTTGCTTGGTCACCGGATGGCGTGTTTATCATTACCGGGAGCATGGACAATATTGCTCGGATCTATAATGCTCAAACAGGTGAGCGGCATTCGGGATGCCTGGAGGACTAGACTGACGGTCGAAATCTAGGGCAAATGGTGCGCCAGATCGCAGAGCACTCCCATTATGTCCAGGGTGTCGCCTGGGACCCTCTCAACGAGTTTGTGGCGACGCAGTCGTCAGATCGCTCGGTCCACATCTACAGCTTAAAAACGAAGGACGGACAATTCACCCTTACCTCCCACGGGAAATTCCTCAAGATGGATCTTCCTGCCAAACGCATCGCCTCCAGTAGCCCAGCTCCACCTGATCCTTCTATTCGCTCCCAACCCACGGCGCCGAGCTCTGCTGCTGCGATCGTGTCTCCTGCCCCTTCCACTCCGGGTACACCGATGACCTCGAATCTGCCCATGGACCCTCCGCCGGTGTCGCACAGCCGTCGCTCGTCCTTTGGCTCCTCACCGTCGATCCGTCGATCTGCTTCTCCCGCCCCGTCTCTGCCCTTGCCCGCAGTCAAGCCACTGGAAGTACCCTCCCCGGGTCTCCTGGGCGGACTCGGCGTAAAGAATGCCAATCTATATGCCAATGAGACGTTCACATCATTCTTCCGGAGGTTGACCTTTGCCCCCGATGGTAGCTTGCTATTCACGCCCGCAGGTCAATACAAAACCTCGCATGTCTCTGCCACGGATCCGACCAAGACCACGGATGAGATCACGAACACCGTCTACATATACACTCGTGCGGGGTTCAACAAACCTCCCATTTCACATCTCCCCGGGCACAAGAAGCCCTCGGTGGCAGTCAAATGCTCGCCCGTGTTTTACACTCTCCGACAGGCTCCCCAGCCTGCCAAGCACATCACCTTAGATACTTCCTCTACCGATGAGTCTTTCTCTTCTCTTCCCGAGCCGGTAGTGAGCGCCCCGGGGGACAATGCTTCCATGGAGCCCCCGACGTCGACGCCTGCCCCCAGTGATTCTGGAAAGAACCACTCAGCTCCCAAGGCCACCGAGCGAGCTGTGAGTCAGAGTCCTGCACCCGTATTCACGTTGCCCTACCGGATTGTGTATGCGGTGGCTACTCAGGATGGGGTCATGGTGTACGATACCCAACAACAGACTCCGATCTGCGTCGTGAGCAACCTGCACTTTGCCACATTTACCGACCTGACATGGTAAGCCTCGCCCCAGGATTGGAATTGATTTCCGGTGTACTAAGGATGACTAGGTCCGACGACGGACTGACCCTGATGATGAGTTCGTCGGACGGGTTCTGTTCCACCCTTGCGTTTGCTCCGGGGGAATTGGGCCAACCATATGTTGCTCCGGCATCAGCGGCTCAACAGACCGGCGCTGCCGTCCCTTCCACCAATAGCACTTCGCTCCCTACGCCGGTCACAACGAAGCAAAGCCCGGCAGCCCAAGCCAATCTGACTCAGGCACCTCCCGCAAGCCCTGCACGATCGAACTCTGTCTCTTCGGTTACGACACAGTCCGGCTCTGGAGCAAAACTCATCAATAACCCGACGCCCACGCTCGGATCTGTGCCGCTGGTCACGGCGACGCATTCAGCCCAGCCTCCGACTCTTCCGCTCACTACCCCGCCGCAGACCCCCATGTCTGCCGCCTCCCAAAGTGGGACAAGCTATGTCAGCAATAGTGTTCTAGGCAAACGCCCCGGTGAGTCCGAGAAGGACAACGACAAGGACCAGAGCGCCGCTCCCCAAACACAACAACCGAAAAAGAGACGGGTTGCACCGACACTGATATCAGCCGGTACCAGTGCGTCTGCTACCTTGCGAGATGAACCACCGAATGCGGACGTGGGCGGTTAAATCCACCACGTTCCTTATCTCGTCGCCTCCGTGTAACTTATATCTTGTTCTCCTCATCCCCTTCCCTTCTCTTTTAACCGTGTAATGCCAAACGCGGGCTCGGATGATCTGGCTGCTACGAATATTATTCCCTTGCTATGATTTACGTCTCTTTTTTCCTTTCCTTTGCTGCTTATGGGTCTCGGGTCCTTTCGTGCGGGAATCCCGGTAGAGTTTCAACATTCCGGTCATGCATGCATCTCCCTTCTTCTGGCGCATTGTAACCTTTCATCCCGATCTATCATTTCCCGTTCTCCTGATTCCACACCGGCTCGGATGTTCATCTGTATGTATTTATTTTTCTCTTGCTGCGTTGCATGCACGCAAGGGCCCTTTCTCATTACTTTTTTTTCTCTGACTTTTGATTTGTCACGGTGGGGTATAATTACTTTGCTACGGCTGTAGTAGCATGCAATAGGGGTTTGGTTTTGGAATAGATCAATCAGATCTGGTGGCTTCGTGTTGATGTGTGGGTCCGGTGTAGTGGTTGCTAGTGCTACGGTATCATTCATTGCACGCAGGAAACTACTGTAGGTAGTAATTAATGATGACAAATTAAGGATGTATATTTGTCGCGTCTCGAGTTGGATCCTCTCGATGGACGCATTACCCTCATCATTCGCCGTGACACGTCATATCATAGGAAAGAGGTAAATAGACATGAGAGAAGAGAAAAGTGGTGAAGAGAAGAATAGAAGAGAAGCTATAGGGTGACAGGAGAAGAAACGAAGGTCAAGAGGATGCTACATGTTCACCCGAGAAGGAATGAAGTAAGAATGGGTAGAGGGTCAGTGAGGTTCCGAAAAATAAGGGAGGAATAAGGGAGGAGGGGGTATTCAAGCATGGCTTTCTCCATTAACGCCATTTTCCACGGCAACGTCCCCGTTAGTGTGTCCATTGGTGTAGCCATTGGTGTATCCGTTGGGGTGGCCATTGGAGATCTCATCGGGCATCGGCCGAGATGTGAAAGCGTCTACGATATCGGCCATGCTCATGTCACCCGGGGGAACAGCTTTGGCCTCCGTGGCGTGAGTGCCCACGGTGAGGGTGGTCACGCTGGGGATCATCTGGTCAGCATGCAGGCGGTTAGCCCAGCGGAAAAGGGCTTCGTCGCCGCGCGCACCACCCGCAACAAACACGAAGTCCGGCGTGCGGGGTAACTGCTGCAGGACGGACTCGGCGGCTTTGGCTTTGGACACGTCCAGAGGCTCGACACTCACCGCGCCCTCGCTGAGGACCACGCGGATGGCTTCGCTTCCCCGTGTGCCGTTGATTTGGTCGGCTAGGCCCGAGGCCATGCGCGCGGCGATCTCCGGGTCGTGCGCCTCGTTGTACCAGAAGTTCATGAGACAGCGGCACTCCTCCATCTGACTCCCTTCCGTCCGTTCATGGTAATATTGAATCACCTTGCGAATCCCGTTCCGCCAGTCCTTGGCTTGGTCCATGTCTACTAGGGTCTTCCAGGTGGACGAGCCAATCTCGCGTTTGAAGCACCCGTTTTCGGCGATGACTCCCACCCTGGTCGAGAGTTCTTCCAAGATTGAGTCGAGCTGCTCCGGGCTTTTGCTGCTTGTCACGTAAATCATGTTTTCGGGGTCCGCCAGCAGACGCTCGAGCAGAGCGACGAGGTCCGTGGACGTTCCACTCGTGGACGCAATGATCCCTTCATCTTCCAAGAAAAAGAGTCGTGAGCTCGAAGTGTCATATGCCTCTTTCACAACGTTGACCGAAAGAGGCGACACCTGGTCGAGTTCGCGGGATAGTTGCGTGCTGTGAGCATTGGTCAGTGCAGTCTGGAATGAGTTGAACCAGGCGATTGCCGTGTAAGGGGTTTGCTGTTCGAGCAAGAACTCCCAATTGCGCTCCTTTTGCTCCGGCGTCATCTCCAGCGCCTTGTTAATCGCATCGGCAACCTCTTTATAGTCCCAAGGGTTAATCAGAAGTTCGTGCCCACTGAACAGGGAAGCGCTGCCTGTAAACTCGCTCAAGATGAGAGAGCCGTGACGCTGTGGTGCCAGTATCCCATCTTGGCAGTGGATGTAGTCGTGGCTACTAAGGTTCATGCCTTCCCTGAGACTGGTGACCATGAAGATTTCCGCGACGCTCATCAGGGCCAAGAACTGAGAGTAACTGATGTCTTGTCGGAGAAGAACCAGTGGCTGGTGAGTCAAGGTCGAGTATACAGAGTTTATCCGCATGGCGATCTTGGAAACTTGGGCCTCCAGTTCAGGCAGCTCAGAAGCCGAAGCGACTTGTACAAGGACAACCTGGACCCGTTAGTACGCGTTGGGTTATGTATGCGTACTGACAAACATACCTTCTCCCTCCACTTAGGGTACCTCTTCAGGAACAATTCGTAAGCCAAAAGCTTCTGCTTAATACCACCAGGGGCATCCAGCCTGTCGCGAGCGACAATCAGGTGCTTCCCATTGTATCGGGAGGTGATATTTGTGATCCAATCCTTCACTTCGGTGGTTCTGCGCAGCCTATCCAGGGAGGTGACGTCGACACCAATGGGCATATTTTTCACATGGACAAATCGTCGATCGAGTTGCACACCATCAACAGATACCTCCAGGCTTAGCAGACGAATGCATGATTGAAGGAAATGGTAGCAATATTCTTCAGTCTGGAAGCCGATCAGATCCGCTCCGAGAAGCCCATTGAGCAGTGCATCTCGAGCATTGAGACACCGGAACACTTCGGAAGAAGGGAACGCAGTGTGCATGAAGAAGCCAATTTCTGCCTTTGGCAGTCTCTCCCGGAGCAAACCCGGGAGCAGCAGAAGGTGATAGTCGTGCACCCAGATGCTGTCACCAGGGCGCCAGTTGGCAGCAATGGTATCGGCGAATGCCTCGTTGACCTTCACGTACTGCTTCCAGGAGTAGTCATCGTACTCTGTGTGTCGCGGGCTTTCCTGCATCTGGTAGTGGAAAGCCGGCCAGAGGACCGCACGGCAGAAGTGAGAATAATGGCCTTCGAACTCGCTGTCGCGAACGAACACGGTAAGCGACTCGAAATCTTCCTCGAGCGTCTCGAAGATACTGGTGCGAGTGGCCTCTTTCAGAGGGTCTGTAGGCATACCCAGTGTGCCTACCCACATCTTATCCGCCAAGATGCCCTCTTCTTCGGCCGCATTGATGGCGTTCCGCAGGCCACCGTTGCCCTGCTCTGCTGCCTTGACAACCCAGTCAAATTCAGAGAGCAAGGCGCGTGGACTTCCGTGTTCCTCTTCGGAACTCAAGACGTCTAGTGGGCCATCCAGAAACGGCGGGTTGTCGACCTGATCCCCCGGCTCAGGACGGCTCAGGATAGATGGCTCAGGATGCAGAGAGGTCTTGGCGCGCGGCTGGTTGAACTTTCGGCTCTGGCCCCAGGAGATGGTACGAGGTTCACTGGGGCCCGGGCCATTAGGATCATCTGCAGCCGGGATCTCACCCGCCGAACGGGAGACATAGGGCTTGAAGATCCTTTCATCATCTGTCGTCGCGCCAGGCGTGAGTGACAGACTGATGCTTTTGGCATGGTACTTCCGGTTGGTGTCTGCCAGCCGTCCTACGATGCGACCCTCTCCACGAGACGAAGAGGTGGATGACTTGCGCCGAGCATGTCGCAACTCGGTGGCTTGGAAGTCGATCGTATAGGGAAGAAAGCTAACCCGTGTGAGTGACAACCGATTGTGTGTCAGAGGGGCAAACCAACGTACAGGGAGGCAATGAAGACCGTCATTGATGTGAAGGGTCCGACAAGACCTTGTCTTTGATATGTCCGGGGCTAGTAATTGACTAGTTGACTAGTTGACTTGATGGCTTGATGGCTTGTGGACTTGGGGCACAAGGAACGGAGGGGGGTGCTTGAGGAAAAAGTAGGGCTGAAGTATGGAATGGCTTGCTCCGTGTTTCGCAATGGCCTGACTGAATGACCCGGGGGGGGATTCGGACCAAGGGATGGTTTGGGGGGTGGGATTGATATCGATGGCAGGAGCTATGTCTTAAGTCACACGGGAGGAGGAGAGTGACGGCCCTGAAAATCCCGGGGGGCTGTTAGACACCCGAACCAGCCAGAGACAAAAGCAGTGAGTGATGACGTTGGTGATTGGGCGGACAATGAGCACATGCGAAAAGCAGAGGAACATTCTGGGCTTTTCGGGGTGAGGGGCAACGCGCCGAAGGAGGGGTTCGGGCAGGTTCCCTTGGGGGGGCGGGCGGCTTGGGCACAAGATGCGCCGGCATTGCGAGCTCAGATCACAAGCCCGGTGCATGGCAGAGATGAAGCCAAAGAAAGAAAAAAAAACTTGCCTGGCAGATGCTATAGCCTTGCAGTCTATACCCGGGAAGCCAATGAGAGCAATGACGCGGTGGTTCCCGTGGGATCCGCAGCCCCTCCACCGGCACTAAGATAGCGTTTGGCGATGGTTCTCGACAATTCGACCGCCCGTCTGCTGTTGGGTCGCGCCCGCCTTGTTTACGGTCCTCAGGCCTGGCAACCAGACAATGAGATGGGGGACCGAAGCACATGGAATCGGGGGTTGGTCAAGGTTGATCCCGAAAGCGCAGCCCAGGCACGGGTGAATGAGGGAGATCGGAAGAATTGAGGCAGAGCAGAAAAGAGGGGCAACTGAAGAAAAGTGACGATGTGGTCAACACGAGCATTACATACATACAACATAGATACCACGGGGAAACCAAAATTACCACCCTGGACAAGAACTGGACTTCACTTCCATCATCAACTCTGAACATTCACCTTCACCAACCCCCAACTGACGCCCTGCCGCTGCACCTGCCCCTCTCCCTGTCTCTTCCCCCTTTTCCTCCCGACTACCGCCATTATATTATCTCCCTCCCTCCGATCACTCCCCCTCAATTGACTCATCTCCTCGCTTCTCCTTCCATTCGATCCATCCGTTCTCAAAGCGGGGCTGTTCCCTTTACACTGATTCCTTCATTGCTTTCCCCCCTCATGGCTACCAACGGTTCTTCCGAGGGCGAGTCCCGTCTGTTGATCGTGTCGAATCGTCTGCCCATCACCATTCGACGTTCCGGGGGTGGAAAATATGAGTTTTCCATGTCCTCGGGCGGCTTGGTGACTGGACTGAGCGGACTATCAAAGACCACCACCTTCCAGTGGTATGGTTGGCCCGGACTGGAAGTGCCCGAGGATGAGATCGACGGTGTCAAACAGCGCCTGCAGGACGAGTTCAACGCGACCCCGGTGTTTATGGATGACAAGTTGGCCGATCGTCATTACAATGGTTTCTCAAGTATGTATCGTCACTCTTCACCCCTCCGGCCTGCAGCGGATGTGCATCCGCATCTATCACCTGTGGATGCCACCTGGCAGGGCCCGACAGGTCAAGGTTCGTGGCTAATGTGAGCTATCAGACTCGATTTTGTGGCCACTCCTGCACTACCATCCCGGTGAGATCGTGTTCGACGAAGCCGCCTGGGATGCTTATCGGGAGGCCAACCGGCTGTTCGCTAAGACCATCGCCCATGAGGCCCGGGACGGGGACTTGATCTGGGTCCACGATTACCACCTCATGCTTCTTCCGGAAAATCTCCGTGAGGAACTGAGTGCGTTGGGCAAGAACAACATCCGCATCGGGTTCTTCTTGCATACGCCCTTCCCGAGCAGTGAGATCTATAGGATCCTGCCGGTGCGGAGTCAGCTGCTGCGTGGCGTGCTGCAATGTGACTTGATTGGATTTCATACCTATGACTATGCACGTCATTTCCTGAGCTGTTGCTCGCATATTCTGTATGTCTTGCTTGGCTGATACAAGCGACAAGCTAACACGCTGGCAGTGGATTGGTCACAACCCCGAGCAGTGTGAAGTTCAAGGACCGTTCTGTCGCTGTTGGAGCTTTTCCCATCGGCATCGACCCGGACAAGTTCACTGAAGGTTTGAAGAGCCCCAAGGTGCAGAACCGCATCGCAAGTCTGGAGAACAAGTTCCAGGGAACCAAGTTGATGGTCAGCGTGGATCGCCTTGACTACATCAAGGGTATTCCCCAGAAGCTACATGCTTTGGAGGTCTTCCTGTCCCAGCATCCCGAATGGGTAGGCAAGGTTGTGCTGGTGCAGGTAGCTGTTCCCAGCCGTCAGGATGTGGAAGAGTATCAGAACCTGAGGGCTGTGGTAAACGAGCTGGTCGGCAGAATCAACGGCAAATTCGGTCAGTGTCCTCGATGATGCTTCCTTATGGTTACTGACTTGAACAGGCACGGTCGACTACATGCCCATCCACTTCATGCACAAATCGGTGAGCTTCGATGAGCTCATTGCGCTGTATGCTGCGTCGGACGCGTGTGTGGTGTCGTCGACTCGAGACGGGATGAACCTTGTGTCGTTTGAATACGTTGCCACCCAGCAGAAACGCAAGGGGGTTCTAATTCTGTCCGAATTTGCGGGAGCGGCGCAGAGTCTCAACGGCAGTATCGTGGTGAATCCTTGGAACACGGAAGAGCTTGCCAGCGCATACCACGAGGCCGTGTCGATGGATGACGATCTCCGGGCGCAAAAATTCGAAAAGCTGTACAAGTACATCTCCAAGTATACGAGGTAAGCTGACGCGGATTTGACGTATACATTTGACATACTAATGATGAGCAGTGCTTTCTGGGGCAAATCATTTGTTGCTGAACTGTCCAAGTGTTCCTGATTTGTTCCTTTTTTCTTTCTTCGGCGAACGAGCATGGCGAAATTTGGGCATAGCGATTTAATAGATACATAGTACGTATTCGTACATAAGAATGCACAGCTTACAGACCACCACAACCACTTTGCATGCTCCGTACATAGTAAAAGGAACGAAAAGAAGAACACCCTAGAAGAAGCCAAATCTGACCCAACCCAATGGAAGGTGAACCAAATCGACCGGTTACACATGGCACAAACTAAATCTAAACCCAATTCAAACCAAATCTAAGCTCTCCACCCAACTAAAGCAGAAAAAATTAATCCAAACCATAACTCCACATGCACTTCCATGTCACGTAGACTAAATACCTCAACCAGAGTCCAATACCTGAAACACGCTGCCTAATCTAGGTATCTACTTTCTACTTCGTAGATACCCAAGTACCGGACCCAACGGGTCATGGAACTGAAACATGGTACCTGGAAGTGTTATTATTCTAACACGTCATCATACAAAATCCAACTCTACTCCTATTCAACGATGAAGATCATAAAGGTATGTATATTCCATCATACATACTCCACATCCCCATCAACATAACATAACATATTCCATAAGATAAACGATCACATGCACGATTACATACTGTGTACAGTGGACAATAATCTAGACCCACAAACAAATCTCGCAAACATACATTTCTATTATCATCTATCTAGGATAGGTAGTTGTGTAAAATGGCCGCTTCTAGCCTGTCCCTGGTATGTGGTATGTTGGTTTGTCATCACGCAAGGAATACTTCGTACATAGGTACGTATTTGTCTCAGGTTGCATCATCGATTTACCTACCATCCCTGCAGTATGTGTATACTGGATACGGAGTAATGATGTGATGATGGATGGATGTGAAATATGTATGTTGTATGTCGTATGTAGTATGTAGTATGTATGTATTGTGTGGATGTTATGTAGGTAGGAGGATTCATGACTTCATTGTGACATGTGCGCTATTTCTCTGCTGTATACGGTACATACTGAGTACTATAGAGATGGAGTATAGTTCCGAAGAGTGAATGGGATATGACTACTATAGTATCAGCTTGGATATGCAATTGATTGAACTGATTGGCTACAGCTGCGAGCTATCTATCTATCAGATAGAATATCATCTGTCTACAGTATCCGTACTCTGAACCACTGCTCGCAGTGATGTACTGAATTGGTATGACTCGTAATGACCCACCAACACCTTACTTCACACCAATCGGGAAGACGCGCGCACGTGTTGATTCAGGGTTCAACTGCATTCCGTAATCCGCGCTTAGTCATCAGCAGGGGAAGCGCGCTGCGTAATCGAACCCGACTGATTTCTGGGTGCAATTTCACGGCGGAGGAGACTATGCCCCTTGTTACTTGGTGGTTGCTAATATTAGCACTGTCCGTCAGCCAGCTTCTAGAGCGAAGTCTTCCATGGATATAATCAAAGTCGCAGCTGCAACAGTATAGACGAGGTAGAACTAGTTCTCGTTCTCAAATCTAGGATGATCTGCAATCGCCAGCCGTCCAGGGTCTCGACCCCGATGGAATGAAAACGACACAAAGGGCCACTCAAGAAAGGGCACAAAAAAGGGCAGAAGGGCAGCCACCGGATGAGGTATCCATGCCAAGCCCCCTGGCCAGGGTCTAGGGCAGTGTTGCCTGTTGACACCTTGGACACGATCAGAAACCGGTTTAGCGCCATGGGTCTGGAAGCTCCTCTAGCCAGATCTTGTATAATGCCAAGACGGACGCTTGCGCGTCTCCGCCACTCAGCGTCCCGTTTAGGAAGGATTCCGTAATCCTGTAACGCCGACTGGTTTTAACTCCGTTGGTTCTTTTCCGCATTGAGTCGGGGCGCGTGGTGCCGTCGGGCCCCGGGTTGCTCTTTTGCCTGAAGTCTGTCTGATACTCCGTACTCTGGTCGGGATGTACGCCGGTCGGAGAACTACCTTTCAGGTGTCACCCCGGCCAGCGGCCATGTCTGGAACCGTGAGTGATGTGCATCATGATGATATGCCCAGGGGTTCCCGTTTGGGGAGCGGAAATGGCGATCGAAATGAACTGGTGGTTTGTGGTACATGAGAACTGTCAGAGTGGGGATGCACATTCATCAAGGGTGCAGATGCCGCGTGTGCTTTCAATGCTAAGAAGATAGGCGCTGGATAGGTCGTCTTATATGTACAGAAGTGGCTTATGGGTACGACCGATTGGCCTTGATCGCTGTTGATCACCCACCTCTCAATGGCAGCATGGACAGTGTTCTTCACGCAGTCGGAACCCTAATCAAGGTGGACTTACTCCGTACGAGGTTGGCTTACCAGGATGATTCAAGTTCAACCTCAGATCATCATGATCATCACGGTCACTTGACGGCAGAAGTCTGTTCCGGCCAGGGTTCGAATGCCTTCTCATAGGAGGATTCACTTATTAAAGTGACCCTCAGGATCCTTCGCCAGCATATAGTTCGGTGCTGGCAACTGCAACAGCTTCCAAGGACTCCGTAATTAGCTGGCAATAGTCCCAGTCCCTAGCCTTACATGACTATCCAACTCTTCTTATTTGTCCGATCCTTTCATCCGCAGACTCGGCATCCCAATCGGGTTGTGATTTCATCCGTGATTCGTCAGCTGAGGGGAATGGACGTGAGGAAAAATCTGGCAATGGGTCAATACTCGTAAGGCTACGGGCCAAGCCGCTCTGCCAAATTCCCCTTTGGGTAGATTCCTGGCCGGTTGACCCTGAAGAGCTCTGGATTTGTCGCTGTGGTGGAATAGCTCCTTAAAAATCTGTTGATTGTGTGCCTAGTGTTGACTATTCGAGTGGGCACGGCGTGCACGGAGCACGTCGTTGCGCATGGTAGTGTACGATGGTGACATTTTTAGTCGGTTGGTCAGAGAGCCGCGTAAGACACAGGCTGACGTCGAACGAGATCCCCATGGCGGCGGGCCCGGCGCGGAAGATTGCGCTCGAGAGTTACCCGATCGGGGCCGCCAATCTTCTGTATAGCGGGCGACCTCACTGAGTCACGAGCGAGAGGATGATGAATCTGGGGGATGACAGTGAAGTTTGTGCCAGGCTTGCGTAGGCCGTACACAGTGGATGGGTTGAGGGAAAGTCTGTTCCAGTCAGATCGCGAGGTCATCCACGCGGACATGGCCAAGCTTTTGAGGGATTCATCAGCAGATTCCCCGGTAGGGACTAGGGTGGAGGAGAGGACTAGATAGTATCTCCTCCGTACTATCGTATCGAGTAGGATAGAGAGCCACCGTTGGAGCCTTCGAGGTCACGATGGCTGTGAATCGCATCAAGTGGAGCCGCGCCCAGCGCGATGAACTTTGTCCGGAGTGTGGTGCTGCACTTTGACGAAGAAGAAATATCCTCGCGGGAAGTTGGGGTCAATTATTGGGGAAAAGATCGGAGGAGACTGCACCCAGTGCAGAGCAGTTGGTAACTGGTATTGCCAAAACCCCCGGCTTCTGCGACACGAGAGAAAGGGACTGGCAGCAGCGGACTGGCAGCGAGAGGGTCTTGGCCATGGTTCAGTTAACTGTTTCGGGGCGGGACACACGCGGCTTGCGGTGCTGGCGCGGGGCCCTGATTGGGGCGAAGAGCTCAAGGCTGACGACGCTTCGCCCTCGCTGCGGGCGTGGAGAGAAAGGCCAATGGCCAGAAAAATCATGTGTGACGGGTACTAGTACGTATCAGCGCCGTTCCGAGCGACTCGCTCTCGCTCTCTCTCTTGCTCTCTCTCTCTTCTTCTCTTCCTCCTCTCCTCTCAGCACTACGACTACCTCTCGTAGGTATCGACCTCTGCTAACCGCGCTCTCTCTTCCTCTCTTCTCCTCTCTCTTTCTTCCTTCCCTTCCGTTCCCTTTCTTCCACCCTCCCCTGCTGCCTCCCCCCTCCTATACCCTTTCGGTCGTTTAGTCTCGCCATAATTATTTCCCTTCTTCCCACTTATATTACCTGTAGCCTTTTCCATCTGGCTTCAGGATCTCCTTTCTTGCTCGCCCTTCTCTCTCCGTAGTCGTGGCGGTTACGTTGACCAGCGCCAAGCGTGGCGACCGCCTGGCTGGGCTGTGCGACCATCATTACATCCGGCCGACCTGACCTTCCACCTCCTACCACCTGGTCCCTTTCATCTCACCCGACTCGACCGTGTCTGTCTGGTATCGAGACATCATTAGTTGATCTGGGGGTTCAACTCATCGCCAATCCGATCAATTTGGACATTATTACACTTTCCCTCGCTGGCGTCGTTCACAACCCCCCTTACCACCATGGCGGACGGTCGACACCAGGGTCAGGCCATGAACCCTGAGAACTTCGATGCCTCCGAACTCACCAACGCCTTCGAGCAACTGATGCGCAACAAAAGATTCAACCAACTGCAAGAACAGGCTCGAGGCCAATCCCGCACACAATCACCTGCGCCCGCAGCCATGTCCCCTGGCCTCTACCCGCCCCATCCCTCGCGAGCACCACCGCCGCCGCCCCCGACCGCTGCATACCCCCCTCAAATGCCACCGCAACCGTCATCTCAATCCCCCCTACTTCGCAGTCTTCCCATCGTCCCCGCCCCCCCACAAGATCCGGCTTCTCTAAAATTCCGCAACCTCCTCCACGTTCTTTCCGTCACTCCTACCAAATACGAAAATCCTGGTCTTCTCGATGAAGCCCTTTCCCACATCCCGCTGGACCGGCTGTACTCGGAGGCCGAAGACGAAAGTCAGATCATGCAGGCCCAAGCAGCGAGTGTCGGGGGGAAGCCGGAATGGGGTTATCAAGACTGTGTCATCCGGGCGCTGCTCAGGTGCGTTGATACCAATTGTCTGGTGTGATGTACTAACGTGTCGCTGCAGATGGTTCAAACGGTCCTTTTTCAATTTCGTCAACAACCCCCAATGTTCTCGATGCTTCATGCCTACGATCGCCCAAGGAATGACTCCGCCATCGCCTGACGAGACGGCCCGCGGTGCCACTCGCGTTGAACTGTACCGATGCTCCCAGGCTGGTTGCGGCGCCTATGAAAGATTCCCCCGTTACTCGGATGTGTGGCAGTTGCTGCAGACCCGACGGGGTCGTGCCGGTGAATGGGCCAACTGCTTCAGCATGTTCTGCCGCGCACTGGGTGGTCGGGTCCGCTGGGTCTGGAATGCCGAGGACCACGTCTGGACGGAAGTATATTCCGAGCACCAGCGGCGCTGGGTGCACGTGGATGCGTGTGAGGAAGCCTGGGATCAGCCTCGCCTTTACACTGAGGGTATGTTCATCCCTCCAAATGATATGACATGTACTGACAGAGATGAAGGTTGGGGCCGACAGATCTCATACTGCGTTGCTTTTTCGATCGACGGTGCCACGGATGTCACCCGACGCTATGTTCGCAGCCCGACGCGGCACGGCAAGGCCCGTAACCGTGCTCCTGAGGAGGTGCTCGTGTGGGTGATTCACGAGATCCGGAAGAAGCGTCGAGAGAACCTATCGAAGACGGATCAACGACGCTTGATGAAGGAGGACGAACGGGAAGAACGGGAACTACGCGCGTACACGGCATCGGCTCTTGCTGCGGAACTGAACAACCTCTTCCCCCGGGAGACTCCACAAGGACGCCCTGAGGACCAAAAGGTGCCCGTCTCCCGACAGGATGCCGCCATGGAGTGGCTCGACACCCGGCAGCGGAGCGGACATTCTGGCCCCGACGGATCGCAGGACGGCCGGTAATGAAACGTGTATTGCCGCCTCCCCTCTTTCTCCTTGCGGAACCCCCGGTCGGTCCGCATCGATCCCAACGACCTTCACGACGATAACTGGCTGGACCATCTCGATGTACGACTCATGACACGAGATACGAATGGCCGCCTGTTATCAGATTCCACGGCACGCATGACTCGCTATATTATCTTAGGGAGCGTTCCAAACGGATTAATGATCTGCCGGTCCGATTCGGACGGAATCGAGTCGTTCAGAGCTGCTGCTGCTGCTGCTGTTGCTCGGCGCTAGCAGCTCTGTGCTGATGCTGCAGTATGCAGTGTCACCACTATTGGTCATTGACCACACATTCACTCAATTTCTTTGTCTCCGACATATTCTTTCATTATTCCATTTCTTATGATGCATTTTCAGGTTGGATACCTTGGGACAGGCCAGGTTGGGGCGTGAAGGCATTTGGGTTAGCCTTGAGCATTGTTTTCATTTCACTTCTCACACCATATTAATTTCCTATAATCCGTGTTAGTTCATGCCAAGAGGTTGGCCAAGCCATTGACGGCCTATTTTATTGTCTGAGTCCTGGCGATCAGTCGAACATACAGTAAGATACTAGTATTTCTCCGTATCATGCATCTTATCAATTTGATACCAGTATACCCATGGACATGGGACATATAAGTGAAAATACGGATACTCGTAGATCGTAGAAACCTCCGGACTTCCGGAAGCAACACAAGCATACCCTAATACATATTAGTAGATACCTACCTAACCTCTCAATCTCACTACCAAGATAAATAATATGTACCCATCTACCCCTAATTCAACCCAACCCAAACCTAATGCCAAATCCATATTAAGCTGGAGACGAGATGAGATGCGATGCGATCCAGGCCCAGGGTATCGACTCCGTACAATTTTTCGCAATCCAGACCGACGAAACCCAAAACCTGAGGGTACGTACGGAGTGAGAAAGTCAAAATTCAGGGTCCAGTCCAGCCCCTTACCCTTACCCACTTGAGTATTTACGGCTTACCCCACCATAGTCAATAGAACCATGGGTGAGAAGTAGATAGACCATGTAAGACGGTCCTTCGAATTTTATTTTATTTTATTTTAAATTCTTATGATTTATGATTTATGAAAGGGTTGGTTAAGTTCAAGTTGACACACACTTGATGCGGAGGTCAAATGAACGGGTTTAGGAATCGAATGGAGTGTAGAGTGAGATGTTGGAAGGATCGGGGGAATTTTATTGGGCTAATCCTAGGATTGGATAGGAATAGTTACTATGTATAGGGGATGTACTCCGTATTTGACTATGAAATACGGAGGAGAGGGAAGAGAATGAATGTATAAGTGGATGTAAAGTGGATGATAAACAATTGAATGGAAAACCGACAAGATCCCTACTAGATATCTATCTAGTATCATCCGATAGATTAGGTACGCAGTACGGATGGATGGGGGCTATTTACCCGACTACCTATCTAATCCTCGTTGAGGTACCGTACCGTACCTGATTCTGGTCCCTGACTAGGTACCCTCCGTCGATAATTGTGGGCTGGAATGGCGGCGCGTCCGGGTGCGGTGTGGTGTGGTGTGGTGTGGTGTCAGATAAAAGTGAGACAGGGATGGAATCTAGTATCTATCCCGTATCTCGGTTTCGGTAATTACCACCCCCTCCTAGTCTAGTTTAGTTCATACCATACATACATACCTATCATACTTACCCCTGACTAGGAATTATCCTCTTCAGATGATAGCATATTCATCCATTCAATCGTTCATTCATTGGGATAGAAATCTATCCATATATAAGAACAAAGTTGGTCGTAAGTAGTACTCCGTAGTAGTAGTATAGAGTGAGGGTAAGTATGGAGTGGTCCGCATCTAAATATAGACCGATCTCAATAAAATCGAAATCGAGATCTGCAAGGAAAAAGCCCGGAACACGGGCGGTGGGCAGCGGGCGGGCAGTTGTGGTTCGTGGGGTGGTGGTGTCATGTGACGTGGCTTGGGTGGATGATGTGGGGCTGGGCTTGGAGTTGGAGATGGAGTTGATGGAGATGTTGGGGTAGATATCTTTCTTAGTATGATTTATTAACATCTTATTTCTGCTGATGATTTACAGCGATTCTATTCCAGTATCCGAGTCCTGTACTGTAGATAATCGCTACCTCTGTACAATGACATACTCGATGAAATCGGGAGGAGGTAACCCCATTACTGCTCCAGAGCCTCCTGCACCACAATCAACGGACTCAAAGTAGGGGGTGGATTGGGTACCTTTGTGTCGGACATTTTGGATGAGTGTGGAAGAGTGGTGTTACTGTGTTGTGTTGTGTTGTGTTGTGTTGTGCTGTGCTGTGATGATGGTTGAGTCCGACAGAGTCCTCAGAACGATGCCGAGGAGAAGTGCAAGCGATTCATCTCTTGTTTTTGTCATCTTTGAATAGGCATTATTGCTATCAACAGATATTTATCTTACGGGATACCATTGTAGATGTGAGTGAGCTAGATGCTTATTTCTGAACCTCCGTGATGAGCTCAATGCCAGCATATCAAGAACGCTCATTGTTATATTATACGTTGTCAAGGAGGTCGTATGAATCAAGGTGATATGTTTAGACACAGAAGAGGACGAAATGCCACGAAGGAAGGAGACTGCCCCTCAATCTGTGCATGTAGGACATCCACCCGATTCCAGACCAGGCATCCTGTTCTCGAAGATCCAGGTGAGGCAAGCCAGAACGGAAAAAGAACAAAGGGAGATACTCGAGATAACTTCCCTGTGTTCAAGCAAAGACTACTGTAGGCATCAGAGATCTATGGTATTCAGTCATACCACGGAAGTCGAGAATATATTTTGAGTGGTTGGTGTGAGGATACATATCGATGTGAGGGGTATATGACATATAGCCACGTACATAAGTCTTCAGTAGAATACTAATTATTAACGAAGACAAGGTCGAAGAGAGGTAGACCACGAACAAGCGGTAACTGAACACAATATGATCTTAAATAAAGCCATGTATAATAATCTGACGCTTGCTCCAAAGATGATGTTTAACTGTATCCGATATGATCATGAAGCGGGTTATACCAGGTGAGGATACGAACGTGGCCATATAGGCTGTTGGACGGGGAGCCTCGCCTACAACACGATTGATAGAGGCAAGACTATAAGGCTAGGGAGGTTGGATAATCCAGTATATTGTAGACAAAAGAAAGCCATCAGAATAGTAAAAGTAGTAGTATCCTAGCAGGTATCTGGCCCATAAACATTACATAAGACTATATACACCCGACCTGCACAAGGCAATATTCACAAGAAGAGAACTAATGCAATCAGACCACACTCTTGAAGCTGGGCGCCGATTTGAAGAGGCTGGCCAGGGAGGGCAGCGATTTCAACCGCACACTTTGCGGGATCTCGGGGTCGATGGGCCCGAGGTCGGGAGTCGCGCATTGCGAGTAGAACCGGCCCAGGTCGCCGTCCGTGCCGGATTCGGATGGTGTCGCGGGCGTGGCGCACCGCGGAATGCACTCGGTGGAGATGTTGATGTTGTTGCCCAGGTATTGGGCTTGGTTGCGCACGGGCTGTGCGGAGAAGCACGCTCGTGGGACGAGGCCTTCTTTGTTGGTTTCAAGCAGAGTGACGAGTGCCTGACTGAGTTAGCAACGATCATATCATGCGATGGTGGAGACATACCCATCCGTCTTCGTAGACTAGGTGCAGAATGGCCGTTTGGCCTTCCTTGAGCTCGATGTGTTCCGGGCTCACCGGCCGGAATGCTATATCGACGCGGTAGACACGAGCGAGGGAGATCGGGGGTGAACCCGGTGAGGTAGGTAGTTCGATGGTCGGAATCTCAATGGTCGGGCTGCGAGAGACCGTCGGCGTGCTGTCGCTGGTTGATGTCCCTCGGGAAACCGTATCCAACGTCGCAACCTTGGCCTCGGGGATCCTGCCCGTGTCGACCTTGGGGGGCGTGTTGGAGACGGATACTTCCTTGAGTCGGCCCATGTCCGGACCGACTAACGTCTCGGTGGAGGAATGGAGTCCGCGTAAGGCCGGGTGGATCTTGTCGTTGGGCCGGGGCAGCTCCAAGTACGACTGGTGGATCTGCCGGAAGCCATCACGCAGGGCCCCGTTGGGGTCTTGCATGTTCTGCGACGCGGGACGGGGCACGTGCACGCGCGATCGCCGCCAGGTGGCTTTGACGATGTTCGTTGCGGTTCGTAGCGAATTGCGGCTGTTGGCATAGACCTTGTTGGTAAAGTCCTTAATCGGGGTGTAGTCGGGCTTGGAGATGGTCGGGATGCTGGGATGGGGAAGACGAGATGTGACGGACCGGGCCGCACTGGGGACGGCACCCATGGCGGAGACACTGCCGTTGTAGAGACTCGACGCGTATCTCTTCACTGAGGGTCGCCGTGAGGTTGGTTCCGGCCGGTGCTTTTCGGATTTTCGGTTGTGTTCCGCAATGGCTCTCTGCACCGCACGCTTCTTACTGTGCAGGGACCAGAGGAACAGGCCCAAAATGGCCAGGACTGCCAGGGACACCCCGAGACCAATGCCGAGCTTGGTGGAGGTCGGCGTACCCTCTGGGGCGTCTGTTGCCGCAGACGAGGCAGCGGTGGTGGTACTGGCAGCGGTGGTCGTACTCGAGGATATACTGCTGGTGGATGATGATGATGATGATGATGATGATGATGATGATGCCATGGTCGCCCAGGTGGTCGGGGTGGGAAGGGCTGATGTCTCCCAGGTGTCGGTGGCTGCCCACGGCTGCGGTGACGGCGCGGCCCATTGATTCCACACTGCTTGACTCTGTTGCGGTGTCCCAGCTGCTGCTTCAGACCATGTCGACCCTGAGTTTGCTGCTGCCGCTGGTGCTGCTGGTGCGGCTTCGGCGCTGGGCTGCGCGGCCGTTCCATCGGCTGCTACTGGGGCCGCACTTCCGGCTGCAGCGGTGCCCGCTTGAGCTGCACTGCCTTGCGCGCCATACGCACCACTGGCCGTGCCAGCGCTCCAGGCACTCTGTCCGGTGCCAGCTGTGCCAGCTGTCCCGGCGGCACCTGCTCCCGCCGACATACCTGATCCCGATGCTTGCTGACCGTAAGAACCAGCCGAATAACCACCGTTCCACTGGCCACTGCTATAGCCGGAGGACGCGCCATAAGAAGCGTACGGAGCCGCGGACGCTTGCGCTATTTGAGGATCGCGTCGGATGGCCCCGAAGCCTCTAGGGGAGCTGCGCTGCCGCATGGTTGTGAATTGGGGAGGTAGGACAGACACGCACTACCGGAGCATGTAGCACTGCGTAAAGGGGGCTGGGAAGGAAGAAGAATTTGGGGGGGCAGGGCGGCCGGTAGAGCAGGATTTGTCTTTATGAAGGGCGATCTCATTGCTGAGGGTTGATCCATAGCGAAGGAACCATAACAAATTGCCGTGTTGGGTATGCCCGGGATGAGCTGGTGGATGGTATATGAGTGGGATGGTGGTGTTGTGGGTGGAATGTGAATTCCTCGGAGAGCATGCTTGGTGGATGGTCAGTGGAGGATGTCCGCGGGATCGCAAGCGAGCATTCTTGGGTCGGTGTATGGTATCATTCCTATAAACTATTAGCCATTATTTCAGGAATTCCTACGGGTCGAGGACTCTGTACCTCTGCCTACTCCCAACAGTATGTCTATACCTTTAGCATCATTACAAGCAACAACCTACCCATCACCACATTATATCCAGTCCGCGATAATCACATAGTCAGATCGCAACTCAGTTCATTTCATACAATAATCCATACTCATACAGTAGAATCGTTGATTCACACCCCACCCACATCATCAATTGAGAATGAAGAATGTACCACATTCCATACGCAGCCACCAGCCACCACCCCATGGCTAGCTGAGAGTAGATCCTCTCTACGTACCTACCCTCACCCTGAGGCATACTATTCTTATCCGATACTTTTCCCTTCATAAAGTTCAATAGAGGACTAAAATAGAACAAAATCGAGTCCTTTCATCATCCTTTCACTTCCTATGTAATTGCCACGAGAGTCAAGTCGTGAGCATCTATACCATGAATCCCGAGTACGGAGTGCCTTGTCGAATGGAGCGACACCCCCCCTCCTCTCTCCCTCTCATCAAATGTCAGGAATTTACTCTATCCCTTTCCTTGCATCATCCACCGAGACGAGGCATACACAGTCCACCGTACACAGTACCCACCGACTAAGAGATAGAGAGATACTTCCCAAGTATCCCATCCCATCTCATGTATACTATGTAGTACCTACCCACCCCAGGAACATCCCATCCTTAAGCAGCACCTCCATGTCGAATGCTATTCCGTAGGGAGACAGGAATATCTCATGCAGCAGATTCAAGCACGGTCCATCCGAAGAATGCCCAGAGGCTGTAGTGGATGCAGGTACACTTCGCTAGTTCAGGTACTGACATTCCTCGGTTAACGTCACATCATCATGATCCACGGGAGGTTTTCTCCTCTGTGTTATATCACGATCGACAGAGGATCAAAGCTTTAGGAAAAGCGTCTCTAGTGGCGCTGGGAAAGGGAGGAAAAAAAAGTGACGAGTGACAGGTTGTGGCGACTGGTTCTTGGGCTCTAGGGAGGGGAGGGGGGAATGTGGTGGCGTTTGTGTTGGATTATGTTTGATTGTGATGTGGTGGGGTGGGTTGGGGTGGTGTCATCAGGGATTAGTGATGATGATGATGATGATGTTTGTTTCGAACTTTTTAGGTGGGATGGTTGTTTTGTTAATTTAGTGAGTGAGTGAGGAGGGTTGTGGTTATCGTTATGGCTTTGTTATGGTTATGGTTGTACTTGTGATTATGGTAGGGATGGTAGGGTATTGGTAAAGACGATAGTATCTAGAAGTGGATATGTTGGATCTAGGCAGTGAATATATGTTGAAAGTGGCTTGCAGAAGCTTCTGTCACCCATCGGTGGAGTTGACTTGGCAATTAGATACAATATATATCATCATCATCATTAAGACTGACAACACCCAGCCCATTACATACTACGCCTACTATATCAACCCCAACCCACATACTCCGTATGAAGTCCTACATCACCCTAACCGCACACTCAATCCCCCTCTTCCTCAACCCCCCATCAATATTCCTAATCTCCTTGACATAATACGGCTGTCTGGGCAACTGCAACTTCCACCCCCGCCGCAACTGCAACTCGCGTAACGGTTCCAAAAACACCGGGATCTTCTCCACCGGCTCACAGAACCAACTCCCGCTGAGCTGTAACGTAAATGACTGCAACCCCTGCATGGAGGTCACCGCCCGACACGTTTCAACCCACTGCTGTCGGCCTGCAGAGAAATATACGGTCTTGACGGGGTCCTTGCAGGGCAGCCAATGGCCGGGAAAAGCCCACCGGAGTTCAACGGCGCGGATGGCGTCCCAGAAGTCCGACGGGATGGTGGGCCGCAGGTACGTGAGGGACCAGGTATTGCTGAATTCGAAGGTGTTGAGGGTGTAGAGGAGGGTGATGGATTCGGTGTAGCTGCCATATCACCATTAGCATTTATAACATAGTCTGTATAGCGATAAGCCACCGGGCAGGGAGGGGGATACATCTGTTTACACGTCCTCGCCAACGCCAACAACCTCCCCCCATCCACCTCTTTCATCCCCGGCAATCCTCCCCGACAGACATCGCATGCGCCGGTCTGCGGACACACCACGTGTCCCATCTGGCGATTCGCGCGCTGCACGATATGAATGCGCATTCCGCCGAGGAGGAGTTCCCAGATCATGAGGCGGAGTTCGGGCGAGAGTTTCGTCAGGAGGGTGCTTTGGGGTTGGGGGGTCCATAGGGTACGGGTGTCGGTTCGTTGGGTTTGGATGCTGTAGCGACGTCTGGGGAGGGTGGGGGGTTTGTTGTCTTTACCAGTGGTTAGTATCGTAGTATGGATGGATGGATGGTGGTAACGTACTCTGGTATCGCTGCGCCAATACATCCTCCCAGGAAAACACACCCTGTTTGATGCGTGCCATGTTCCAATATTCAGATTCATACAGCAGACAATCAACAACCCATAATGTCGGTATCAACCGATTCAAATAGAGGAATGAATCGATCACGCGAGTCAGCTGAGAACCGACAATAAGCGCGACACCAATTATCCGGACATAGCCATTTCGAGGCACAGATATCAACGGGGGACCGTTCTACCGACGCGGATCATCCTGTGGCAGCGAGACCAGATAAATAAATGTAAAAGTCGGTGAGATGGATGCTGAATCCTGGTCAGGGATGGTTAAATCCAGATCAGATAGGATAGGCGGGCTGATAAGCCGGAGTAATTCAGGACGCCGCCAAGTCATCAGGCATCCGTTGGGCTTATCTGGTATCTGCCGAGGTAATCTTGGTACTTTCTACATGCGGAGTACGGGGTATTATGTATTTGCTTACGTGGTATATATGATAATATTGTCATTATAATGCTGTATCTATCTAAGCTGCACTCCTTTTATCTATATCTCTTTGGTATATACCCACTCCACTATAACCCTAACTATGTATACCTCAGATCTCTATATCTACACCGTCACCTTCTCTAACATAATCCTCATCCACGACTACCATCACAACAGCAGCAACAGCAACAGCATTAAATGTGCTTAGAGCTGGTATCTTAGGGATAGGGTAGGACGTTTAGGGAGTGGTTTGGGATGGGTTCTATGCTGTGTTTACAGAAAAATAGATAATGCATACGTCCGGCGTTGTCATATGTCTGTCCTAACTAATCACATGAATGAAAGTCCGTTCCAGCCAGCAATTCCTCCAAGAATAATGACACGATCATACACGAGATAGGCACTGCGATAGCTCATGCAGCAAAAGAACTAGGACTAGCACTAGCACTCGGAGCCGGAGTCGCACTCTCCACAGCGACATTCATCCCCAACGTATTCGTCGGACAAGCCACGCGCAAACCCTGCTGCAACGCCGCCAACCCAGCCGGCCCCAGCTTATCCACCGTCGACGGTGGGGGCACCGTCCCCACATACGCATTAAAGTTATACAATCCGCAGATGCACGTATTGACAATATTCTTCAAGCTAGTGTCGCTGAGCACCGTCTTGCCATCCCGCACGAGCGCAAACTTCTGCTGTCCCACGCCCATAGGTACCGTGAAGGAACTCGCCCCCGCCGGCGCGTCGAACTTTTGACTGTTCGAGCCGGATGCTACCTGGATGGAGCCGGGGGATTTCAGCAATGAGACCACGAAGACCGAGTCTTCCATGGTTTCCCATCCGTTCGGACGGCCGCGGAAGAAGTTCCCGCTGGAGTTGTTGGGGTTGCCGTCCATCGTGGAGTCGGTGCTGTCGCAGTTGATGTTCTTCGGGGTTGGGCGGTACCAGTAGATGAGTTTTTCTTCGGTGATGTATTTGTCGACGGACTTGTCGTTGTTTTTGTATGCGGCGATGAATGGTTTCGACATTTGGAGCCAGCCGTCGTGAGGCCTATACGGTTAGTCAGGGTGAAAGGGGGGGGGGGGGGGGAAAGGGGGGGGGGGGGGAGGCATACATGTCCATGACCCATTTGGAGGCACCGTCGTCAGTGTGCGGAGATGACAGAGGCCCAATGTAATGCGACTCGCCGTAATCATTCCAGGTGACAATCTCCACGAATCGAGGACCCAGATTCAGAATCTCGAACCAGCGGTTGTACCACAGTAGATCCGAGGGGAACACCCAGTTCTTACTGTACGATACCTCGCCACCAAAGTGGGTGAAGAACCATCCGGATGCAGCTATTACTATCAGTAATTGTCCATCAAAATGAAGAAGAAAGGGGGACATACGAGCAACGTAAGCCTTTCCACCCAGAGCATTGACATAGGATTTGTCACCCTCAGCAACCGTCACGTTGCGTCCCCCACTAGGAGCCTTGTTGTCGCCATTATTATCCCAGGCCATCCAGTTCAGCGCGCCCTGGATCTGATTAAAGTTGCCTTGTCCCGGGTGGAAGTTGGGGGCAAAGTACACCTCCGTACCCGCCGCCGACTGCATCTGGTTGATGTCCAGACCATCACCGGCAAAAGACGACGCAAACACCTTGCCGTCGACCTTGAGCTGGGCGGGCAGACTTCCATACTGTCGGATCTTCTGACCCACAGTATAGGCCTGTCCGGTATTGTACCAGTTAAAGTCGAACGAAATGAACACTTTCATGTCATTCCGGGCAGCGGACTCGTAGGCAAAGTTGAGCTGGGTATCAGTATACGGATCCACGCCGATGTTGAGGGCAAAAGCATCAATGCCGAGGGCCTTGGCCCGTCTCATGTCGTCGTCGTAGTCGGCCGCGCTCTGACGGTTGCTGGTGATGCCGATCTAGGCGGTTAGCATCTCTTAGAAGATGTCGATCGATAACTTACCATGAAATGACAAAACACCAGACGATCAGTGGACTCGATCGTGGAGTTCGTAACGGTATCATTCTGGCCCCTGGGAGCACAGCTCACCAGGGCAAGCCCAGTTAGGGCTATCAGGAATTGAAACAGCTTCATCTTCAAAGATCAATGAGGGAATGAAGAAGCGGAAGAAAGGAAGGAATGAAAAAAAGAACAAGCACGTCAAGTGCAGTGATGAAGAGCAGGTTGACTGACCATGAGAACCGAGCCGTAATATAATGCTGCTGGTATCAGGCCTTTGTCGTAGCAACAAAGGAGTTTGTCTACGCCGGAACGGAACTATCCCCAAATCGCAAATCCTCCTTCAGTGTCCAGTCCAACCAGCGGAAAGAATCGAGCGGACAATCGCAAGCTGCCGTCTTTGCTGCTGTTGATCTCGCCATTCACCGGGCTCGACATCCTTTTATCCTCGCTCACCGTCGTTTCCGGCGAATAAAACCCTCATCATGGGGTCAAAACCACACCCGTCTCCGGCCGGTGTGACGACCTCTGGCAAACCTTCACCATTGGCAAGCCTCCTCGTCCTGCAATTTGTCGACATCCGGTTCTGACTACGTAGAGTTTACACGCCGGACAAGGGAGTCGATCTATCGTCCTTCCCCAGAGCACGGCGATGCCCGACCTGGACACCACCACGGGACAGCAGTCAACCGACTGTCTGCGGTGACCAGGCGCGAGCGAATCGAACAACAGAATCATCGTTTCGGATGACAATCAAACAACCACCGTCCCTCTCCGGCAAGCCATCGGGGCCCTGCAGCGGACACCGTACCGGCCAGTCCACTGGGTGGAGCGACGGAAGTATCCGAGCCAGACCGCACGGCTCAGGAGACAAAGCAACGGCCGGGGGATACAAGCCCCGGATTGGCCACGATATCGACGAGCCGGAGGGACTTTAATTTAAAGCTCATGACCATCCATTGGCCGTGTCTGATCCGACGAGCACACAGCCAAGGCAGGATCGCCTGGGACGGGCTCCGTCTCAACGGCGTAAGACCCAGCCCAATGCAACCTACTGAACACTGCATCTCGACTTGCTTTTTCTGACCTTCCCAGCAGAACTTCTTCAGCCTGCGGGGTAACCTTCCGTCAGGCTGCCAGGCTAGCCACGCGATCCCATCACCAGACGATCGGAACATATGCAGTCGCATCGCAAACGGGCGTCCTGCAGCATGCCGGCCGTACGCTTCTTCATCCTGGAGACCGGAGGCTGTTCGCTCGTCTCCTTCCGGGCATTGCCCCGGGGAGCCCGACTACCCAGAGTCCATCCCGTCGTGGCGGTGTAACACTTCTCCTTCTTTGCTTCCATCAGTGCCCATGTGACAAGCCTCCTCCAGCCTCGGCCAACCGAAGCAATGTCTTCATGCCCGTCATGTCCAACCTCGTGGATCGGGCCTCAGTACTACCTCTATGCTACCTTCCAGAATGCACGCGGAGGCAAAGGCGGGGAAGGAAACACTTGCGTCATTCCTACACGAAACGAGAGAGCCTTAAGGGCATGTAGTCACGAGTGACATGTCAATACAGATAGTAATAGGCGGGTACTTCCCAGGATACCTCTACAGCGGACGGGATCCATCACATCACGGCATAGGCAGATGCGTAGCTCACAGATGTATCGTTCCCACCCCTGAACTGACGCACATTCGAGCTGCGGTCATACCGAATAAAATGAAATCGACCCAGCCCCTTTGCCAACAGCCCAGACTTGTCAATCCCAGCCATTGCCACGCCGATGGGATGGCGACCACACACGGTATTATTGGTATCCTTGATGAATTTCGAGAACTGCCCATGGCTCCCCGTGGAGATGGCGGCCATGGCACCAAGGTCAAGGGCTGAGATACTAGCATAAATGGGTGGGTTGGTGAGCAGGGTATCCGAGGGCTGCAACGCGTGGCCGGCTTGACATCTCTCGATCAAGCGAGTCGTCTCGTCTTCCTCAAGACCAGGCCAAGGAAGATCGTCAGAAACAGGGATTATAGGCCCAGGACTGGGCGCGGTGCTCGCGTAGTACGTGTAACGAAAACGGGACCCCCAGTGGCAGAAATCGGAGCTGATGACAAAAGCATTGCTCGGGTTAGCAAGGTACGGAGCAAGAAAGGCTCCAAACCCCTCCTCCGTCTCCTCATCAACAGCGCCCACCACGATTGGGACCAGCGGCGGATATTCAGACGGGGGCTTGCCAGGGTATTCGAGTTGTAAGCGACGGTGGATGAAGGGCAGGTGCAGTTCGATACTGTGTTCGTCTTCGTCATCACCAGGAGTCATCGTGTCGAATCTTCGAAGTCGATCCCCGATCTCAATTTCGCTGTTTTTAAACTCCTCAATGAGCTCGGTATCGAGCGGGAGAGGCTCATCGGCGAGCGGGGTATGATACGCGGAGAATCCGGGGAGGGCAAGCGTCCTGTAGAATTGATGATGTGCTGGACCGAGCACAAAAATCCGTTCACTATCCAAAACTTGCTTTAGAAGATGGCGGCCGCAGAGCTGAAGGACCATTACTCACATGCCCTTCAAATCCCAGGCTTTATAGGCATAAGCGGCACATCGCCCGGAGTACGCATAGCCGGCGTGCCTGAAATAGATCAGAGTCAAGTTCACCCATGCAGTTTCTGACGAGTACATACGGGGCTATGATCGTTCGGGCCCCCCGTATTGGCATGGGAACTGAGCGGAGGCTGTCTTCATCCGCTACCTCAGCGAGCCAGTAATCGATCTGGTATCTCACTTGGTCCCTCATGTCGGAGTACCACGTCCCAGCATGGGTCGCCTCGCGAGCCCGCTGCATTGTGCGCCTTAGTTGACTGTCTTCCTTGACTTGATTAAATTATGGTGATGAGATGATGATGGCAATGGCAATGATGATAAGATTATGGGTATGGTTGGACTGGGATATGCTAAAGGTTGCGGATCGACAGGTGGCCGCCTCGATAAGCCCGAAGCGGGGAAGGCGGGACTCACTTCGTCATCGCAGTGGCTTGCTTTCCTGTCACGGGAGACCCGGACGGTCCCCCGACAATCAGAGAAGCACCTACCGTAGAACTCGATCAACTGAAAGATGGCGATACGAGATGGAACTCTGGCTTGCTGGTCTGACCTTGGTTCATCGCCGGTGGCATAGCCGACGTTGGAAAGAGGTTGGGAGATAAATCGAAGTATACATCTCTACGGTATCATCGTGTTTCTGACGCATCCGATAATCAGATAATACTGAACTAGACCCAAGGTTCTGGGATTTCCTACCGATGGAATTGGAGTAGATGCCGTCGGGCTCACGACCACAACTAATCTATCCATATCCGGAATAGCGCATGTTTGGTGTATTGCGACGCGGTCTTTTGACGCGCCGGTATCTTTACCAACCACCCAAGCCAACAGCCTACTGCGTATATATCAACCTACAGTTCAGTCTCCCGATTAATTATATAGACATTGTCCTGTTACACCAATTCTTCGCATTGCCCTTCTACTACGGAGTACCTCCGCACTGTATACCCTCTGCGTTTGTCCACCACAAAAACACTTCACCCTCGCACGCGACCCGGACTCAGATCCTGCTAGCACCAGCACCATGTCCCTCAAACGCAAAGCCTCCGTTTCCGGCCTTGCATCGCCTAGTCCTACTCCAATTCTTGCAAGGCAATCATTCATGCTGGATGAGACCCCCAAACACCTGCACAGTCGCACACGAAAGCGCTTCAGAAACGATCGCCCGGATGCCGAAGTGGTATATGGTAAGCGCCCATAAGACGGGATCTTGCACCGCCAGTCGATCTTGGCTCACAGAGATTAGAAAACACCCTTCGCTGGCTGTTTACAGCTCAACAACAACATCACCCCCCCGTCCCTGCCACGGATGATGAGGGAATCGAGCCAGAGGCTGTACCGTCCCCCGACATTGTCGACCCTCGCCAGCAGACATTACACAAGTTCTTCCGACCCTCTCAGACCTCGCTCGCCCAAAAACATTCGAACTTGCCGGACCGACAAATGAATAATACGGCACAAGGGAAGCCGACATCCTGGCAGCCTCAAATAAATCTGTCGTCGCCAGCTACTTCGGTCGGCTGGAGTACGACCAGCCCATCTTCACAGCGCACAAGGAGCGATATGGATATAGACTCAGTCAGCAATGATATAGTGGAAGACCTCCAGCCGTCGATCACAGGGTTTGGGTGGGCATGATACCTTAATCAAGGCATGATCATGAATGGGATCTTCAACTAGCATCCCACACCAGCGGTTTCTTTTTAGCGATGATACCTTGACTTTTGATATTTTTCACCTGGCCAACGTGCTGGCCATATTGGCAACCTAGTGGTACTGTTAATATAGCTCTCTTTATCTCATATTAAGACCCTCCTTGCATTCGATTTCTTTGTTTGAACCCATTCGTCGACTTGGCCGACTCAACTGCTTTGATTATACAAATGCCAAGCTCCTACAGTCGAATTCAGTTGCGTACGACCCCGAAGTATATAATTTCAATGCAGATTGAGATCAAAATCTGGCAGTATGTCTAATATAAAGACCAAATTATTATATGAGTAAATCACCACGCTACAATTTAGAATTAATTCAGCCATATTTTAGGCAGCGAGGAAATGTACAATTTAAGTGCAGTTGTGACCATCCACGGAATGTCACATGCGACGAATGCCTGAGGTCTCAGGACTCCAGCGGATCTCTTTGTCGCACTCCGACCATCATCCCCAAGACAACCACACAACCAACCGGATCGCGTCCAGTCCAACTAGGCTATTAACTTTAGCTGGGTATAATATACTCCCTAGTCTCGCCCGCGATTGATTTCCCGCCTCGCCCTAGACAACGCAGACGAGTCTAGACCGCCAGGTTTCTTTCTTCTAGTGGTCCATTCCACCCCCGCTTCCAGTGAAGGTGTGGCTGCCTCACGGCCACCGATTGGAAGAAAATAACGCGACAATGGACGAAAATAAAGCCGTTCAATACCTGGACTCGTTGATCGGTCGGACTCTACGAGTGCACGCGACAGACACGCGCATTTTCGTGGGCACCTTCAAGTGTACGGATGCGGTAGGTGGTGTTCCCGTTGCAGTCTTCCTGTTGGATAGATCGGAGGAATAGGAAGTCCCAGAATACGAGGCATATCTTTTAGCGCCTGCTGACTTGTTTGGCCGCATTAGGCACGAAATATCATCCTTGCCAGCACCTACGAATACCGCTTCCCTTCGCCAGCTACCGTTCGAGATGCGGCCACGGGTACGAATGATTCAGCCGCTGGTAGCGCAGTGGATGCCTCGAACGTCAAAGTGAATATGACCAGTCGATTTATCGGTCTTGTGGTCGTTCCCGGTCAGCATATTACCAAAATCGAGTTGGAAGAGCCTTCGTCGAGTCGCGCGCGGGACCCTCTCAAGAAATAGAAAAGAATGGCAGTACTCCATGGCATGAATCGGTTGCCAAATTGAACGGCCACCCCCATAGAAGTTGATGGGCGGTCAGAGGGATAGGGCGGTATGGACAAATGCACCTAGCGCCGAGTCTGCATATAACTGCGCAGTAATCTCATCACACATCCCATCGTTGGAATTCTTTGCCTGCATCAGCTAGACTGCGGTGCAGGCCAAGCCCTATCATCCAAGCCCGCCCACCACAACGTGGTTAGGAGAAAAGATCGGACATAAGTCGTTGGTGCTTGGCGCAGTAGATGGGCTTGGCAGCAGCAGCCATGGTCGTGACCAGGCGGAGCTGGGGTTGGGACTCGAAATGGCGGTGTTCCTGCAGTGGGTAGAGTTTGGACCTGCTGCTGACTGTGGTTGCGTTTCAACACTGAACTAAGAGTATCTCGCATAGCACATTATCCTACCGCCTGATAATCTTCCTTAGGTGGGAGGGGTTTGGCAGCAAAGCGAGCGAATGGACACAGCCCATAAAGTCAATGACTACATGCATCTCGGTCCAGCCAATTATGAAGTGGATCGACCAAGCCCCTCTGGAGAGGTCGGGACTGGTCGGAGCGTCTGAGAGGCTGACAGTCGGTGATCATCCGAAGATAAGTGGTGCGTCCGGCTTTCCAGGCCAAATTGAAATCCTGATGCATGCGTTGAAGCGCAAGGAACCTATGATGCCATGAAGAGAACGAAGCCAAGACGAATGAGGGGGGAAATGGAGGGGACGAGAACGTGTCGTCGGGGTTGCTACGCGGTGTCAACTTGAACTATATGTATACCCGTCACGAGGGGCTGAGATGTGGCTAGGTCATCGGCTGGGAGGGGGAATCCGGTTGTTGTCGATGTGACGACCTATGCTCCATCGCCCTGGCGATATATAAATGAGACGCACCAGACAGGTTTCGGACAAGGGGATAGAATAAACTTTCAGCACGATACTCCGTAGTCAAAGAAAGCGACCGATTCTAGGCAGCTCTGTTTTGTCCTCAGGCTTGCTAGGCACCTAGGCAGCCAAAGCTTCTACCGGACCGACGATCCTCCGGGCCTGCCACCGCCCGTGGCTGCAGGAATCGAGACCAAAAAACGACAGCCTGGGGTTTGAGGCGACATTCGGCCTCTTGTGTTCGTTCTTCCTCATCCATCACCTTTTCCTCATCGATTTTCGTTTTTTTTATTCACATACCCCCTCGTCATCGCCGCATCTTGATCGACTGCGGTGGTGTCCATCTCGTCTGCGTCTCTAGAAGGGTGAGTGTTTGAATCCCTTTCTGTCGGGGCTGGTTTCATCTCCATTCCTCGCACCCCCATAATGACGCATCCATTCCACACTCTATTATTATTCCCCTCCCACACCCCGAACTCGACCCAAATTCTCCGTCCAAAGTCGCTCCCTTCACCGTTGCCCCCTCCACATGCCATCCCTACTCTAACATCTGTTGCCTCTGCTTTGGATTCGTGCTTCCCGTGCTCTGTCTCTCGCTGCCTGCTCCATCTCGTCTAACCCGCACGTCGTAGGAGCTCTCTTCGGCGAATCGGAGCTTCCCCTTCCGAGCACCTAGCTATCGGCGGCTTTCGTGGTGAAGCTCTCATCCCTCCGTTCGATGTCCATCCATTCCTTCCGATAACTCGTCGACATCACCGATCGGTCAAACGCTTTCTTAATCTTCACATCACCCGGGGACTGGATCCCGCGTCGTCTTGATCTTCGTTGTAACCCGTCCCGATTCTTGCTCCGTTGTGTTGTTGTCGTCGCCGCCAGCGTTCGCCTTCGAGGACCACCCTGTGGAAGATCGGTCTCCTTTATAACTTGACCAACCCCCCGGGGGCTAGGCAGCAGCCAAGACACTGTTCAGCATTCCAGCACAACACGGGGCTTGGTGTGCACACCTTGAACCTCAACCGCTCCGATCAACGTCCACGATCGAGCTTGGCAGATATTTCACCCTGCAGTAATGGGTCAGTCGCATTCCAAGGGCAACTCTAGCCCGGGCGACTCTCTGCAGTCGTATCCATCTTTCTCCCGCTCCGATACCAAAGAATCGCTGCGCTCCATTCGAGGCTCGATCCGCTCCAAGATCCGTAGCAGTGACAGTCCTCGCGCATCGACGTCCGCGCTGTCCCAGACGGAAAGCCAGACGGACAGGTCGGATGCCGGATCGATCAAATCGGCAGCCAGTAGACGCAGCTCCACCAACCTGAGTACTCAGTCTCCTATTGCTGATGACACTGCATCGAAATCCGATGCCCCCGAGCCTCCCCCGTCCCCATCCTTGTCGAGCAGCTTGAAGCGCGGACATCAAGATGTGAGCGCGATGCAGCAGAGTGGCGAGGTTGATCTCGTGTCTGATGCTCCTCCTACTGGTGTTGCTCCCGTAGGCCCATCCTCACAGGCGGTGGGAGAGTCCATTCTCATCAAACGGGAGAATCAGCTGAACCCTATTCTGGACTTTATCATGAATGCTCCGATCGAGACGTCTGGCTCACCGGGAATGGGAATGGGTGCTCTGAAATCCATCGACTTGGACGACATGATCTCACGACTTCTCGATGCCGGCTACTCGACCAAAGTCACCAAGACCGTTTGCTTGAAAAACGCGGAGATCACTGCCATCTGTACCGCTGCCCGGGAGCTGTTTCTCTCTCAGCCGGCTCTGTTGGAGCTGTCAGCCCCGGTCAAGATCGTCGGAGATGTTCACGGCCAATATACGGATCTCATCCGGCTCTTTGAGATGTGCGGGTTCCCTCCTGCGTCCAACTATCTCTTCTTGGGTGACTATGTGGACCGTGGCAAGCAGAGCTTGGAGACGATTCTTCTCCTGATGTGCTATAAGCTGAAATATCCCGAGAACTTCTTCCTTCTACGTGGCAACCACGAGTGTGCCAACGTAACCCGTGTTTATGGGTTTTATGATGAATGTAAACGGCGTTGCAACATCAAGATCTGGAAGACGTTCATTGATACCTTCAACTGTCTCCCGATCGCCGCGATCGTGGCTGGCAAGATTTTCTGTGTTCACGGAGGGTTGTCTCCTAGCCTCTCGCATATGGATGACATTCGAGGAATTGCACGCCCGACCGACGTGCCGGACTACGGTTTGCTGAACGACCTCCTGTGGAGTGATCCTGCGGACATGGAGGAGGATTGGGAGCCCAACGAGCGCGGTGTGAGTTACTGTTTCGGCAAGAAGGTGATCATGGACTTTTTGCAGCGGCATGATTTCGACCTGGTCTGTCGAGCGCACATGGTTGTCGAGGATGGCTATGAGTTCTACCAGGATCGAGTTCTCGTCACCGTCTTTTCTGCCCCCAACGTAAGTGTCTGACGTAACTGTCGCCTAATCCGTCCTTGCTAACTGTTTCTGCTTCAGTACTGCGGCGAATTTGATAACTGGGGTGCTATCATGTCGGTTTCGGGTGAATTGCTGTGTAGTTTCGAGCTGTTGAAACCACTGGACTCCACCGCTTTGAAGAACCACATTAAGAAGGGCCGGAACAAGCGGAACAGCATGCTCAGCAGTCCTGTAAGTTGTCCCTTGCTTAGCCATCTTTCCTCGCCAAGTCACGGCACAAGTCCTTGTGTAACGATGCCGAGACGCCTGTACCTTTGGCTGCGATTCTTTTTTCTGTTCTGTACTAACGGCCGCAGCCTGCACCTGTCTCGGCACAAAGCTATTAGGTCTTGGTGATGACATGCCAAGTAATCGTCGTCCGTCTTATGTCACCACCAAGGCGATGGCCCTGAGCCCGCCAAGGTGGTTGGCGTCCAACGTCCATCTCCGTACTCGACAGTGCGGCCTCTATGAACTGGTCGACCGCACATCGTCACCGCCAGAACGGATGCTGCGCTACAGCTTCCCGTCGATACATGCATCTCTCAGGTGCCAGCTCCGGAATTTCCATTGCAGCGCCGCGTGCTGGTTCTTCCGACCGAATCTCACCTTGCAGACTTGGCAGACCGGGATCCGCCAGGTCACCCAGAACCCACCGACATCCTGATAAATCTGCTCCGAGACGCGTCCACATCGGATGCCTTAGACATTTCCTACAGCGGCTTGCCGCTCTCTGGCCTTATACAGCGGCCGCATATTTCCATCGCATTAAGAGGAGTCACGACTACGAGCTAACGGGGAAGTCTGGGAGTTGCAGTTTTCCTTTTCTTCGGTTTATTCTATCATTTCTGTACTTTGGAGTCACCTGTCCTCTTCGGGATCGAAACAAGACTGATGCGTCACGATATGTATGCTGTCTTCTGAACGCAGATCAGCAGGTTCTGGGTTGCTTCGCTTTCTTCACTCATGCTGCATGGACCATGGTTGATTTACGATAGTTCTGGTAGATATTCACAGGGACCTTGGCGTTTGTTTAGCTAATCATCTCATACACACATTCCAATGGAACCTTCCATCTGTATCACTAGAACGACCGCCCATCCTATCGACAGTTGGTACTAATCCCACACCCTATACCCACCACCCTGAAATAGAAACTAGACATAAAAAAACACAACCACCAGTAACAATACTGCGTATCATACCCACCACATACCTCCCGGGAGAACTTCCCTCATCGACGTATCTACATCTACAATAACAGAACAAAATACAGAATACACGGCTGGTTATGAGGGGCAGAGAGAGGGAGAAAACTACCCATCTACCCATTCATTCAATTAAAGAAAAGCGGGCAATCCAAAACAACTTTTATCTAATTCAAGAACCTATCATGCTCGCCAAGAATATCCTAAGATGGGACAAAAGAAGAAATAATTCTAGGAAAAGGGGAAGGGATATGGGGTAGGTGAAGAAGGAGACGACGTTCTGTACAGAGGAAAGTCGACTATTTGATGAGAAACACAGACGGACAAATAAACCGGATATATTAACCTAGTAAACGGAAAACGAAATCCATTGGCTAGGCGTAGTCCCGAACATACCGACCCGGCAAATCGACATCCCACATGGGGCGTTCGACGACGGCGACCTCAAGGAAGTGATTCTCGGGGTCGGCGTCCGGGTCCGAGCCGAGAGGAACAATACCCAGGATATCACGGTACTTGTAGGTGTGCCACCAGCGACGGTGGGGGGGATGGGATTGGGATTTCTGATCGCCGGTGTGGACGAGTTGTTTCTGGGAGGGGGTGTCGAAGTCAGGACCGGGGGTCAGGGAGAGGAGTTTATCCTGTTTGCCACCGATGGAGACGCGTTTCAGGGGGGTGCTGGTTTCGATGAATTGTCTTTCTCGACGGAGGCGGGCGAGAGCGACGTCGTTGGTGGCGGTGTATGCTTCGTCGTAGTCGTAGGCTTCGTCGTCGTCGTTGCCGCCGTTGGCGGGCCGAGGACGTTCCTTGTCGAGGGAGATCCATTCGGCTTGGGATTCGTCGGGGCCGACGATCTTGCGCATCTTGGCGCCGAAGAAGATGTCGGATTGCGCGAGGGATATGCGGTCACCGGCACCGCTGTTGGGCTTTTTGCGGCCGTTGTCGTCCTCATCGAAGGGGTCGCGCTTGCGCTTTTGGTTGGCCTTCTTGGAGTGTGTGGAGGCGTTGAGGTCTTCGTGGTTGTCTGCGGAGGCGTCGAGTTCTTCGGGAGAGGGGAAGTCTTGGTTCAGGTCGAACATCCATAGCCAGGAGGAGCCGTAGAGCCAGAGGCGTTCGCGGGCGGCCGACAGGTCCCAGACGCAGCCCATGGCGCGGTCCTTGACGCCACGGAACTCTGCGGGAAGGAAGGCCTTCGGGTTTCTCCGGGACCAGTCGGACAGTTTGCCTTCGACGGCGTCGAATTCGACGAGCTGGTGCTCGCTTGTGAGGGCCATCAAGCGGTGTTCGTCCTTTGCGGCACCGTTCGTGAGGAGGTTGGTCTTGGCTGGGTTGGGAGGACGGAATGACAGGAGGACGACACCGGACTTGAGACGAGGAATGGGAGACTCCTCGGCGGCGTGGTGCCAGCGCTCACCTTCGATCACTGGTTGGTCTTCGTCGTCGGAAGATTCGTCGTCTGATTCAGCAGCACCGTTGTGCTTCTTGGGGGCATCCTCTGCCTTCTGAAGCGACCATGTATCAACACAGCCGGAGAGATCGCCGGATGCCAGGACCTTGCTGTCGTCGGAGAACACGACACAGCGGACGGTTCTCTCATAGTCGCCCAAGGTACCATGGGATGCCTTCTCAAAACGAGTGTGGCGGGTAGCCCGGTTAAGCTTGACAAGCTGGGAGAGGATATGGGGCTTCTCCTGCGCGGTCGAAGCCGGCTTGATTCTGGCCAGGTACATGGCACTGTTGGGACGGACGACGCAAACCCATTGACCGTTGGGAGCGACGGCCACCACGCGGGCTCCATCCTCCGCGAGAGCCTTCGGCACGTCCAATTTTTGTATGCGCAGAGTTCCCTTCTCGTCGCCCTTGCGACGCCGCACGGAGAACAGCTTGATGGTGGATATCGTGGCAACGACGAGGATCTTTCCGTCCGCGGAGAGCATGGCTGATGTGATGTTCTCTTCTCCCTGTTGCAGTCGTTAGAAATGAGATTCCTGAAGATGCGGGCCATTCTCTCATACCTGAATCAGAACCTTGCCAACCAACCGATGACGCTGGCCATCGGTGTTCTCGTGCGACGTAGGACCACGGTGCAGACGCCAGATGCTCACTTCCCTATCCCAGAAACTCATCACAAGGCGAGACGAAGGAGAGGAGGCGAGCTGGGGTATTTGAGGCAAGCTAGCCAGCTTTCTGTGGTGCTCCTTTCCGAATTCGCGCAGGGGCAGGACGACCGGTGCAGCGTCAGGTCCTGGTCGATATTAGCCCACTGTCAAACACCTCGTAGAACGGACGATCTTACCTCCAGACACAACGATGCTGATATCCCTCGTCTCGTACACGGCGAACGTCTTCACGTCGTGGGTGTGGTAACGGCGATGCATGACCTCAGCCCATCTGGCCTTCTTATCACCCTTCTCGCCGTCCTTCTTCCGGTAGACGACCGTCCTCTGGTCCGCACCACCACTGACCACCGTATCTCCATTCGCGCTCACAGCAATATCCAACGTATCCGCCACATGGCCCTGCAGGCGCTGAATCAGGGCATAATTCTTGGCATCCCAGAAGCGAATTTCACCAGCCGAGTCACCCGAGACAATGGTCCCATCAGGCAGACACTTGACGGACCACACCAGCAGTTCCTTCGATCCACCTGCCAAACCCTTACCCAGGGAAATCGTGCGCAGGAGCTGTCCACTCCTGATATCGTAGAGCCGAATCGAACTATCCGCATAGCCCGCAACGAGGGTATTCCTATTCTGGAACGTAACACTCAGCACCCTCGACCGCTTCGTCGACGGGCGCATGATCCGCAAGAACTTGAGATCATTATCCGCCGTCGACAGAATCACAATCGATCCATCCGCACACCCCGCAGCCAGATGCTGACCCGTGAACTCTCCCTCCGCCGGAGGCAACAACTTGCCATCCTTCCCGCGCGTCGCCTGCCACCTCGGCTGAGCAGCCAGACACCAGATCTCGCCATAGTTTCCACTCGAGTGGCGTAGGGGACGACCCTGTTCCAGATCCCACTCCGTCACGGCAGTCGAGTATCCGATGCTGAACAGGCGCAGACGGCCGGGCAACTTGGAGCCATCGGGACCGGGCTCAGGGGGATCAAGCGTCCAGACAAGTCCCTCGATGCTTCTATCTTTGCCTCCGCGGAGTACCGTCTCCTGGAACCAGGCGCCGCGTAGGGGGTTCCAGATCTCGATATCGCCATTTGCGCGACCGATGGCGAGGCGGAGGGTAGGGACACCTCGACCTGCGAGTTCGGCGGAGGGCGGGTGGGAGAAGGACAGCGCATTAATCGCCTGTGGGTTGTAAGGCACGAAACGGCAGCGGTGGATATCCATGATCGCGGTAGTGGTGGTGGTGGTGGTGGTGGTGGTGGTGATAGATCTTGGGACAATGCAATGCTTCGTTTCGGTTGATGTTCGGCGTGCAAAAAGTAGATCCCCGTGGGAGAATGTGCAATGATAGGATCTACCCGGCTCAGCTGTTGGAGCCGACCGTTAAACAATCATTCCGGTCAAAGGGGACGGTATGTGGTGGTGGTGGAGGCTCGATTGGGTGGTGCTGGCGATTCTGCAGCTTTTTTTCCGTTTCTTTTTTGATACAATTTTTAGCGCGCCGCGGAGGTCCCACTGCCCGCGGGTCACGTGAGCGGGCTCTCTATTGCTATGGCTATTGCTACATTGTGGCGATGCGAGGACATGGATGGTCTTTGGGAAGATTACAGAGAGCATACTGTAGTGATGGCATCTTGTTGAGTATGCGGCTGTGCGCTACGAGGTTGTCGAACTTTTAATGCGACTCTCGAAGGTTGATCTAACTTGGAATGAATACTGACTTTTAAGAAGGATCAAAATCTCTTTAAAGGTAGATGATCAGGTGTCGTTCTACTCAGTGCGATGCCTAGAGAATTTCTGATTCAATTGGATCTATATGACTGAGACCTAGGTGGTCCAGTACTCTACGCATTCATCATCATTTCTCAAATTGTTGTCACTTACCCAAGTTCGTACGAAGAGTCCAAATGACAAGAACAAAAACAGGGGCAAGTCTCCAGCCAGGCAATGCCAACTGCATTGTTGACTTTGTCCGGAACAACCTGGTCACTCAGCATCCTGTCCATGCCGGAAGTGTCGTCAGCTTCACTGATAAGCCAGGCCAACACATGGAGTACACAGCGAGAACCGCTGTGAGCCAACAGTTCTCCCAGGTGCCGGCGATATCAAGCTTTGGACAAGATAGCAAACAAATCCTGACTAGACCAGGATTGTCTCATTGGCCTAGCCCACTCTGCGCGACACCTGCTGGACGCAGGAGTGGTTAGCAGATACTTGCAATGCAGTCAGAATGGGAGCCGACTGTCGAACAAATGGATTGTGCTGAGGAGATGCACGCGGGACAAGAGACGGGTCAATGACTGGCCATCGGAGCATCCATCGGATATTTGAACGCAAAGCAATGAGGTTTGTTGCATGAAGGGTGGTATCACTGACAAAACACTTGCATGGCCGAGGTGTCGATAGGTCGATTCAAGATCAGGGGATTGCCACGTCAGAGCAGCCCGGTCATCATGTCCGGAACGCGGTTCGTATGTTCAAGGCTAGCAGGCCCAGTTCGGGGTCCTCTGGATGTGATAGGATGCGACAATGCCGGGGTTGCAGGCACCGCTCCCCACCCAGGGGGCGAATCTTCGCGGTATCCGGACTTTCAGAGCTTATGCGCAGGGTGGAAGAGACAAATACCGTCCCTTGGCTGGCGATGTGGGCGAGGAAAGGGGTTATGCGGATGGGATGCTTACACCCAGTTCCCCGGCGTATGGGCGTGAACTCCGGCAGCAAGGAACAGGGGTGGGCCGGTGGATGGATGGATGAATGGCTCAGAATATCTTTGGCGGATTCATCTTCCACACGCAGCTGAATCAGGATCAGTGGCTCAGTCCCAAGCCCGGTTCGACCCTTTGATTTGATGCTTGGGGTGCGGGGTTGTTGATAGGCACCATCTGGGCCGCGCTGACTTGGACGGAGCCGCACCTCAGCGAGGGACGCAAATCCCGGGAGATTAACACCTGAACGCTACGAGCAGCGCAGCCCGTGGGTTCGGAGCCGAATGATCGTCAATTCGCGTTGCCTGGTCCAACCCGAGAACCACCATTTTGAATCACAAGCGAACCTTGTACAATACAAAGAACCTGGAATACAAGCACCATAATTTCCTGAGCCAAAGAGCAGAGTGAATATACGCTTTTGATGGCATCATGGCGGGGTTGATTACGGGTCCTGGACGATCTTCTGGGGTTACGCCGTCGAAGCGCTCGGATATCATCAAGGAGGAGAGAAGTGACATGTTTGCTACCTGAACCCGATGAGGTCGTTTCACCACTGTTGCAGAAGTATGTCGCCGGCAGTTTAAAAGCAAATGAAACAGTCGCAACTGAAATTTAGACCGGTTGACCATGACAAGTCCCCTTGGGGTAAATGAACCTGCATGGTCAGTCCGTTGACGAATACTTTGTGGATGGCAGGCATATGTAGAATGACATGGCACTGATGCTTCATACGCACAAAGCCGAAGTAGATGATCACGCCATGAGATCTTCACCGCGCCGATCGACCAAGACGGCTGCTGGTTGGTACATCTTTGTCTAAATCCCATGTCAACTCTGATGTGAAACGCGGATGCAAGTATCGGCTACAGTCCGATATGCGCGACGCGACAGGATGGCACTGGCATAGCGTCGTGGAAAGGGGTCCTAATAGCGATAGTACTCCGTATCGAGGTGAGATCAGGCATCATCCATTCTCCCATTCAGGAGGTGGCTGATGGGGCCGGTCCAGCTGAACCTAATCACAGTCCGACATGGTTCACGCGACATCGAGTCCAATTGCGAGAGGTTTCATCTATTATGGTTCTGCGATTGCAAGGATATCCGGCCTTAGCAGGTGAACTATGGCCTGCTGTCTCCTCCCCCGGACTAGTGGCAATTTGCGAGGCACGGAAGCGGGACGGCGATAGATACATCAAGATTCAAGGCTGTCTAGACCACGGATATCCGGAGAACGCCATCGACAAGACACGCCAGATTGGCAACAACGCGATCGCCGAATCATCACGCGTAAAGGGCTTTTCCATCCACGCCAAGCTCCGCGGGTAAACCTTTCACGTTATGTCATCTTGAGCCTTGAGCCTTGAGCCCCTTAGTTATCCTCGGCCTGAGGCCTGGAGATACCAGCTGAGGAAACGTGGCTTGTTCAGTCCGCTCGGTCCTGTCAGGAGATTAAACCCGGAATAAGTATAGAAGCGAAATGTCTCAATTTCTATTCAGGAGGTGGAGGTGGAGGTGAAAAGGGAGCGGCTCCATAGTTATATCGGGATTATTGACCCCGGGCGAGATTATGGCCAGTCATCAACCTCCATCGATGGCCGTTAAACGGGATAACCAATACTGGTGTAATCTCCATAATTCGAAGCCCGTAACTCCGGATTCCAGAACAGGCAGGCCGGAGAGCCAACCCAAACGTGGGACGCGAGACACTCAATGACGACATGGTCTAAGGAAAGGAGAACGCGCCCGAGACTCGATGTATCCGTCTTTCACGCGTGCCTCAAGTTACTTTCAGCCATTGAACCCGGCACTACACCGTACACTCCAACATCTCAAGCTGGAGCATCCTAACAAACAAAATCACCTCAATCCACTGCCTTCATCCACAACATCCACATCATCAGAACAAAGCACCACCCAAAGCAAGACAAGGCTGAACAGCACGCTGAATAATAGTCTTTCCCATTTCCCACTATTCGAGCTTTGGGGTTAGTTAGCTTCACTGTGGAGTCATTTATTTACACTACAATCGGGTCCCGCTCGTCTGTTTTGCCCTAGGCCTGATTGTGCCTAGTCAGGTTTGTATGTTCTGTATGTATGTATGGACCCTTACTCGGTACACTGCATGCGTATTGTATGTATCCATACCGAGGAACGGACGGAGGCAGCCTTAGGTTAGCTTGGGGTTACTACCTAGTACCTACCGGTACCTCCTGGTACGAAGTACCGTACCTAGGGCAAGCAGACAGACAGCCAGGAGAATGACAGAAACCGACCTGACCGCCCGTCAAAAGCACCGCACCGCACCACACCAAATGATGGTAACCCATGGTTGAGGCTCTCCGCTGCCCCAGTTATCGGTGCCCTGACCTTACCGGAAAAGGTCATATTGTCTTGCCGAATTTCTCGCGTCGTGTGGGTGATAATTCGAGGGTTGTTATTCGTTAAGTCGTGTTGCAGCAGATGCCAGATGGATTGGTTGATGGTGATGGGCGACGTGGATATCTTTTCCACTGACTATAGTTGTCCACCACCGATAGTGTATAGTATAGCAGTAGTACTTAGGTACGGAGTAGTTGTTGTGGTGTAAGAGGATCCCTCAACCCAGCTAGTAGCTACAACAAAGACGAAAAACTTTTCTCTTCTTTCTTTTCCTCTTCCCTCCACAAATAAACTTTGATATGTGTCTTTGATTATGTGTAGCTGTCTTTGACAAGATCAGTCATGACGGACTCCATGACGAAATGGCGAAGATCAATTGTCACGGACTGGCACTGGGACTGGTAAGTAGAGTTTGAACGGTTCGCGTCTGCCGATATCCCTCTGAGTCTGACATATGATCCGATCCATGTCTTGACTCTCGTCCACTACCTTATTTCAGGTCTGGCTGAAGGAAGGATTGTTAGGTAAAGAAAGGTAAGTGAAGATTTTGGAGTGGATCCTTTCCCATTCCATATGTCTTCGTATGGAGTATGGAGGAGATACTTGAGTTGCAAAAACCAGTATGAAACTATTATACTAATACAGGTATCTATGTTGAAGGTATTTGGGTGAAGTTGATCAATACACTTGCATTCAAGATAGATCAAGTTGTGAAGGTGGCGGTATACGGACGGAGAGGAGGGGTCAGGTCGTGTGAATGGACTGTGAAGAGTTTACTGATTTCTGACCTCCCCAAGTTGTCTGATCGGATCAGTTCACAGTTGTTGAGTTGTTGAGCCACTACTTACGAATTATCTACTACCGATATAGTACTAGGAGTAGAAAGTACTGCAGAATCTGATGATCGACCTGAACTACAGTATGTATGTAGATGCATCATATCGCGATGAAGGCGGATGTGATGTATGCGTAGAATCAATCCTTGGTGTACTTTCATTTTCCACCTATACGAACCCTCACTATGGGTATACATGGAATTTTGTTCATGTTCCAGAATACTGCTACATTATCAAATCTGACATCTGGTTCTTGCTATTCGGTGAACGTTGCCTCCGCACATGTCTCCCAAGAAAAATTTGCCTTTACTACGCCCACCGGCCCACTGCTTCTCAACTGCGTATGTATTGTATGATTGTATCCGTTGCCTCCGGCTACCGCCATTTTGTGCGTATGGCTCAACGCCCAATCCAAACATCGTAAGCCGGTTTTTAAGGTGGACCGAGAAGTCGGGACTGCGGGGCTGGAAGCGGCGGGTTTTCGGATTGAAAATCACCGCTCTTCTGGTGATACCTAGATATACAGAGGAGGTGGGATTCTTGGTTGGTGACAGCATTGATGTCGTCAGGTCGATCGGCTGAATGTTCGCGGAATAGCGAACAAAAGAAAAGGAAAGAAAGAAAATCCTCTACTTGTGTGAACCGGGGATCTCAAGACGAATTTTTCTCTAGATCCGCAGTGGGTTGTAATTTCGCGGGTCCCGAATGCGGTGTGTTCATCTGGTACAGAACTAGAAATCTGCGTAGAAGGACATCGAATGGTCAGTGTAAGGATTGTATGACACCCGTATACTAGTCTACTAGTGATGGATTCATGGCATGGACGATATGTCAAGCTCACCGATAGATCAGGGGTCCGCTATCCCTTGTGTGGAGCGTGAATACATCAACTGTGGAATTCTCCGAGTCTATAGTGCACGACTAGTCCGTCGGTCGGAAGTGATACGTTAGGAAAGAAGAAGCATCTCGGCCCTTCTGGGCTAGATACAGGAAATAATGATATGCACTGGGGAGATGCCGTGAGATGCCCTTGCATGGGGCAATTGTACGGCTTGTTACACGAGTACGTCGACGTACGCATGGTTGGCCTGGAGAGCAATGAGACGACGGCCTCCGTCCAGCGGAATGCCCAATATCAGTGCAAGGACAACTGCAAGCCTGCAGGTTAAACAAGGATGTGTTGATGGGAATAGAATGTATCAAATGGAGTCTGCAGGTACCCAGCAAGGAGATGTCTATTAATATGCCGCCGGAGTACTTTGGCAACCCGCGGACGGACCGGCTATCGCATGTCGGTTGCGAGTGACGAGGCATCATTTCCGGCCGCATGGTGTCTCCATATCAATCCGTACATGCACTTCATCCGGCCTCCCATACATGAGAGAAGAATATATTGTTCGTTCAGCGAGGGTCGGGAAGGTCGAATGAGTGGACGGGAGACGGCGGATAGGCTCCAGCGGCTACCGTGCATGGCTCCAGAAGCCTCAGAAGGGTTCTGGAGCAAACGGCACCAATAATGCCAGCCTCATTCATGTTGGCGTGCTGCGTCTTGAGTAAGCTAGACCTCCTGATTCTGGTTACCTGGCCATCTTAATTACCGAGGTATGCCCGATCCTTACAGTTCCTATGCTGACAGATCTGCAAGAGCATTCCCGATGCTAAGCCTCACTCCCTCGCCACAGGGAGTGCAATTACTACGGTATAGGAGCAAGTCATTGATCCGCGATCGGCTGGCAATTGATGTTGCAGCAAACATCCTTGTCCGCACTACCCCTTTTACCCCTTATTGTTGGTTCTGATGAAAGGCTCCGGATTGAATAAGCTGGTCCTTAATCATAGGTGAATGAATGTTGTCCCGATCCCGCCGGGCGCTCTCGGCTGCGTAGCTGATGAGAATGTTCCATGTCTAGCATTCCCTTTGATGAGCCAAGTCGATACGATACTATTTGCCCGTATCACAGGACAAGCCGCTTGCATTCCGGAATCACCAGCACGACCCACTGAGCAGAGTGAAGACAGGGGAAGATCAACCCCAAGCAAGGAAAGCCTGCAATTGTGACTGCTGGGGATAGCACGATTTAGCCACCTCAAATCATGTCAGTAAGACAGTAATCGATGCAAGACACATAAAGCTGGCGGTGCCGGACAAATGACAAGAAACGATGTCAGCCCGTCTCAGCCACTCCCGCCTTCTGAATAGGCATGGCGGTTTAGGAGGACCAGGGATGTCGAATACGGGCATGCGAGGCTCGAAACCTGTGTCAAGGGCGTTCTAGCCAGGTCATACCTCCAGTTTCAACAAAGCTCGCAGTAAATCTATCCAATTCCGTGGGAGGCTTCTTTCAAAAGATTAACTTTGATAGTTGGAGCTTTCAGCCAGCCTTCAAGTAAACTCCCTTGCTCCCTACCATGGGTGCAATCGGGCCTCTGGGTCGGACTTGGCTCTCAAAACTAGAATACGCAAGCAAGAAAGTAGGTAGCACAATAGCCTCAGCTATCTCTGTTTCTTTATCTGTTGATGATTGAATGGTACTCCGTATGCTATCGTTACCATCTGTTGGATTTTGACAGGTTGTCCGCGTGTCACGGATGGCCGGTTCGCCCACATGTGCCATGTCCACGGGTCGTCTGCTCTACGTAGAATTCCAGCCAAGTCGTATCCTTTATCAATCGTCGTGATCCTATAGTACCTTCAGTAACATTCATGATACCACCGGTCCCGCAGATGCGATGTGGCCATCCTAGGCCATTGGCTGGCGAGTGGCGGAAGGGCTTCCCCGCAAGGAACCTGCGTCACAGATTGAAGTGGATTCAGGAACCCAAATGGTGAGTTGGGACGGGCGAGTCGGTCCATCCTGCGCAGATGCAGCTGCGCTGCATCGATGGCATTCGGTTCTGGCGGGCACCGAACCTTAATGAATGCCTGCGATATGTCGGGGCATCGGCATGGCCAATATTGACGGGTAATAACATCCGTATATGATCTCTCCTACCGTAATTAGTGGAGGCTGCCTTGCTCCGCGGACCGTGTAGTGCCCGGAGATACACCACGACATGCTTCGTCTGATTGTCGCCATCTGACCGTCTGTGCTCAAATAGTCAAGAGCTGTTTGCCCCAACACTGGCAAGTGCAGTCCGAAGCAGAGTTGGCGGTGTCAACGGGTAGATTGAAACAAGAGTCAATTACACAGCGTACCATGGACCGGGATTTTGCCTACCCCTCTCCCGCGGATCATCTGCATATGATCCAACTGCACCACTTATCAAGGCAAAAACCCTTGTTGTGTTGAGACAAAGAGAGCGACAAACTACGAAGGGTCCGAAGAGGTCCAAGTTGACGGATCACGAGCTGTACAACAAGCCTCAGAGGAGGGGCGAGCAGCCATCATGGCGGCGACTGGATATGAATGGTCGCAGCAGAATACGCGATGTACCGTAGCCCATTGCGGGTTGAGCCAGTCAGCAGTCGATGACGGCGATGGAAGCCTCTGGGACGCGACCGCTCCTACTCTAAACATGTCCACTATGGACGGATGTGGCAGTCATAGTACTTAATACTGTATGTATGGAGGTACCGACTTACATACATACAGCCATACGGGCAGTCGCCAGCTGAACAGCGGTCCCAGTCGGCTACTCCGCATTGTGGGTAAGCCGAACGGTCGTCAAATCGCATTACGTCCTTATGATATGCTGAAGGATGGTGCAGCAGCGATAGATGGATGGATGAATGGATAGATGGTTGCAGGGACCGGAAGGGACAATTGCACGATAGACCTGTCTGGTGCTGTCGCTTCAGCATCACATTTCATCGACAACAAAATAGATTAAAAGGTGGCCTTGAGACTAGTGAATCGTCATGTTGCAGACCGCAGCCCACAATGGTCGCCGACTTGTCGACAGCCTACGAAGCGTAACTGACACAGCTCACACTAAAGCATCCAGCTGGAATAATGATACCGACCCGGTACGCCTCTGGTCGCATCCGAGAGCCCAGAAGGAAAAATGGGAAAAAAGAAAGGTGACGGAGCCAAGGACCGGAGGTGTTCCTGGCCTGAATCAGGGAGGCAATGGCTGGTGAAGACTGGCTGGTGACGACGGAGATCACCCCACCTCGAAGCCCACCGAAGGAGCGCTGGTGCTGGGACTTGTGCAGGTTTAGAGGATCGAGAGGCCGCCATCGAAAAACAGGCGTCTCCCTACGGGTGAACCGAGACCAGTCGTCTGGTACAGGCCGGAAGCAAAGAAACTCAATCTCCGCCTCGGATGGCAAGCTGCAACGTCAACCCCCCGGGCAAGAAAGAACTACCACCTTGAGAGAAACAGTGGATGAGAATGGGTTGAAAGGTATCATAGAAGAAGTGATGATGCCGGTGCCCCTCCTGGCCGACGCCTGGTCCGGGACGAAACGATACTAGACAGTAGTAGACAGTGGCATACCCGCCCCAGTACGGAGTACCTGCCAGTAACTGCCAGTCTCTCCCAGTTCGCTCTTCTCGACCGCCGTACCGCAGCCATACCCTTACGTACTTGCCTGTATGTATGCCTCTAGGGTATTAGACTTTCCCTTTTTTACAGTAAGGGCCGTTCCTCCGGGCTCAGGCCGCGTTAGATCCAAGGCCTACCCGATGCGAGGTTCTGCAAAAGGAGACCTCACGATGTGACTGATTCTGCCCTTCTGGTTTATGAGGGCTCAGTTTCGACCCCCGTCTTGGTATGATCCAGTAAGATACAACCTGCGCCCGGCTCCTACACATCCAACATGTTCCACAACCCGGTAGATAGCAAAGAAAGCAACAGGCGACGTATCGACTGGGCGTGTAGTCCCATCTAGAATGTTTCACAGGGAGTGTACTATCCCGTACCTTTGAACGCGAACTGGAGGAATCCAAGTTCTGGTCTCGATCGATGGCGGAGGAGTCGAGTGCCAGCAAGTGAGGTATCGTTGAAACGAGATGAAACCGAAACCGGACGATACGCTTACCCCCCTCCAGCCCCGGTACGCGATACCAATACCACGCCTCATACGGGAAAAGCGTCATGGTTTACGATACAGCGTGGGCGAGCTAACCTGCAGCGATCCTCTCGAGACTTCTATCTCCGGCCCTCGTCCCATCTCTTGTTCTCTTTTTCTTTTCTTCTACTACACCCGTCTGGAGAGAGAGCAGCTCCTCCTCACTTTCCTCTCCTCCTCATTCTTCTTATCTTCACCTCCTCTCCCTTCCTTCCCCTCCTCCCCCTTTTTCTTTACCACCCGCCAATTCCTTTGGAGAGATCTGAGACTGGTCTACAAGGCAGAGATCCCGTTGACTGAACTATAACAGTCGACCTCCTCTTCGGCCCGTTGCACCAGCTCTCCAGTCGAGCCGTGTCCGTCAGCTTTCGCTTCGACGTTCGCCCTTTCGACGTTTGTTAACTCAAACGGCGAATTCCTCCCCTGATCCGACTGCCGGTGCCCTGTCCGTGCCATCGACGGTTAGATTCCCCTGATTCAGCTCCTGCCGGTTAGAAGAGCAACACCAAGGGTTCTTTGTTCTTTTCTTCGACGCTTTCTGTACATGATTATATTTTGGTTGTGATCCTTTGGGAGGTGAGCATAGTCTTTTCCTTGATCTTTTCACCCCCTTTTTGCCTCTACTGGAGTGGTCGGAGCGGCGGGCGTCTATGCGGGAGGGGAAGAGCATCTCGAGTGGTAGCTCAACCTACCATGGGCCCCAAGTGGAATTGATCTCGGAGAAGCTCCCTGGAGGTCCACAGCGAATATCCGATGAGACCAATTCGAGTGCCGTCAACAATTGCATGTTCCGAAATCCGAGACTCCCTATCTTCGAGGCCTGCAAGATCCAAAGAGTTTGGAAATGATCGCAACCATATTTTGGAATTGTCACAATGGAAGTGCTGGGTGAAGAACGAGGATCAAATGACGAATTGCATCTGGGCATCATGGGCAATGGCTCATTGAATGGGTGGAAGGGAATACACGTACTGCAATCCGGATGAATTTTCCGCCCGTCTGGAGGTTCTTTATTCAACATATTGTGTCGCCTAGGGGAGGTGATCGTCCTTTTCTTCTTCAGCAACGAGGTGGATCGATCGAAGGGGGAGGCGCTCATGTGCCCTGAGGAAGAATGCGTAGCCCAGCTCGTGCATATTTGACGGGGACGACCCGAGCCCTCATCATGCATTTGGGAGGCCAGAAGCTTGCTCGCTTGCCTTTCAGTTTCAAAGACAAAAGCAAAGTGGTGGTGAGATGATGGCTGACAGTTTTTTCTCTTTAAGACAGGTTTTCTTGATTAATTCTCCTTGGCCTCGATTTAGCCTCACTCCTTTTAATGTGGATTTTGGCTCTCTAAGCGCTTCTCCCTCTCGCAACACCATTCCAGCCCTGTACAGGGACGCTCGAAAAGACGCTGGATTGCAAACTGTATGTGGTGGTCATTCTTTTTGCACTTTAATCCCCCCTCCCTGACGATATCCCCACCCCTTCATAGGGTTCGTGCCTGTGCTCCTGTTCCACATTCCGGAGCACACCCAGGCTTGCCAGTTCAAGCATCGGTTCCTAGGGCGAAGGCGTTCACTCGTTCTTTGCTCTTTGGACTGGTATCCCACAGAGTCCATCTCAACGGATCATTCCTGCCTGCTTCTGAGCCAGCCTAGATGCCAGACACGCCGTCACGGTAAGGGTTGCACCGTGCCCTCTGCCCGAAGGCCTTTAATCTGGGTTAGTATACTTTATCCCCAGGGGATCCCTTCTTCGCCCTCGATTTCTGGGCTCTTCCTCTCCCACTTTCAAACCTTCTTTAACCTTCCTTGACCTTTCCTTAACTACTATATCTACTTTGCCGTCCTTTTGCACTTGACACTCTTTTGCACATTTCCTTAATTTCTAATTTTATTAATATTACGTGATACTAATATACACTCCTTTAGCTCCGGCTCCCCCAGGCTCCGCTCCAGCTGTCTCGCCATCCCTCCCCTTTTCAGTACCCAGGCTATCGTCTCTACTGGCCGTTCATTAATATTCCCAACTAATTCCACTCATTAATCGCCTAATCCGACCACTGTCACTCTCTCACCGTCGTTTCCTGATCGACACCGTTATCAGGTCCACTCTTTGAATCCTTTTTTGGGTCGACTTAATACCAATTCGGCATCATGGCTTACCAGAAGCGTCCTACGTCTAGCTATCAGCCCTGCGATACTTTCTTCGTGGAGTCCTACGACGAGTTTCCCGCCCCGCGCATGGATCCCAAAGAACACGCAAAGCTGATGGCTCGCGAGCGTCAGTACGCCATGGCGGAACAGCTGTCCAAGGTGACGAGCGACGAGTTTCGTGATGACGTCCTGGCGCACATGCTGGACATGGATGTTGGTTGCCTTTGAGCCTGGCCCAGAGACGATCCCTCGCTAATTTTTGTCTTTTACTACAGGCTGCTACACTTCCTGATGTTGAGTCGATTGATATCCAGACCGAGATCCAGTGGTTCATGCGTCCATACCTCCTCGACTTCCTGATCGAAGCCCACACTGCCTTCCAGCTGTTGCCGTCAACTCTTTTCCTGACCATCAACCTGCTCGACAGATATTGCTCGAAACGGGTCGTTTACAAGAGACACTACCAGTTGGTTGGATGTGCCGCCTTGCTCATCGCATCCAAGTATGGCGACAAGAAGGACCGCGTGCCGACCATCAAGGAACTCAAGTCGATGTGCTGCTCCCTGTATGATGACGACATGTTCATTCAGATGGAATGGCATGTCTTGCAGACTCTGGGTTGGACCATTGGACACCCCACGGTGGACAACTTCCTCCAAATGGCTGTGATGGACTGCGCATATGATGCCGAAGTTGAGCACTTGGCCTTGTACATCTCGGAAATCTCCTTGTTCCATCGGGAATTTGTGTCCAAGCCCTCATCGGATCTGGCCCGGGCCTCGCTGGCTCTGGCGCGGTGTATTCTCAACCGGACCCAGCCTCGTCACACCGAATGGGCGTCCCAGTACGACTCGATGACCCTCGTCGGATTGTCACAGCAGCTTCACCAGCCTTCCCAGGTGCTCTCCAGAAAGTACTCCTCGGCTCACTACTCCCGTGTGTCCAAGGTGCTGGAACAATTCCTTGCCCGTCAAGCTTCTATTGCCAGCTACACGCCCCCCAGCCCGCAAACGGAAGTGGTTCAGCCCGAGCCCAAGCCATACGAGGGTGAGATTGGGCTTGCTACACCGCAGAAGGCAACCCAATCGTCGGCCATGGCGCACGGTTATATCACACCGCCAATCACACCCGAGAACGAGGTTTTTGCCAACGGTGGTAATCCCACCTTTGCCAAGGGGGCCGCCGCTAGTGCTTGCTCGCCATCGCCGACACCGCCCAACATGCAGTATGTGAGCTCCCACACATACACGCAGGAGACCACGTACCCCCAACAATTTCTCCAGCCCCAAATGTCCTTCAGCACCGGTTACTGAGCCGGACTCGGGGGTTCAGGATATTTCTCGTCAATAATATACCAACATATTGCTCGATACCTACATCCGATGTATTTCGCATCTTTGTGCCATAGCCGATCTGGTTTCCTCTGAACCACTCCGGTGGTTCGCCAGTTCCCATACAACTGGATATTCGACTTGAATTTCGCGCCATTTCGTTGTTTCGTTGTCTAAAAATTGCATACCCCATCTCCTTGTGTTTTCGCATTTCTCTTGGGTGAACCCAGTTGCATTCAGCTTGTCTTTTCATTATAACTAGCATTGCAAGCGCGAGCCGTTCGAGTCCATTTGCATTTCTGTTTTCCCACCCAAGCCGTGGGTAGCGTCTCAATCTGCGCTCCCTTGGGTCGCTTGCGGTGCCGAGCTGGGTTTCGTTTTCGCTGTTTCATCCCCTATCTACCCCTTGACCTACCCTTCACCCCTCGCTATCCCTTCCCCTCACCCCTTCGTAAAGAACATTAATGTGGCCTTACCTCTGACCCCATGTTTCCTTTATACCTGCAGGTATTGCCTGCCCGTGCCTCTCATGGCATCTGTTTTCTCCTGGTGGAATGAGGTCCCCAAAAAAAGCAGAAAAGAACCTTGTCAAAACCGACCAAAAAAATCTGTGTGGTCCGGGGAGGAAAATAAGGAAAAACCAAACAGATCAGATTTGTTATTTAATCATTGGAGACGGAGACGAAGAGTATCGACATGGACCGGTGACAATTGACCATTCCATACTCCAGTACCTATCTGGCTTTCCTTCTTTTATTCCTCGCGGATGATACCTATCTTCCTGATTTCTTTCTTTCGTTCTGTCCAGCATTTGCTTTCTTGTGAAAGACAGGTGTTTGTGACCTTTGGACATACATACCCCGAATAGTACAGTAACTTCAATATAAGATAGCCACTAGTACCAGTATATTCCAAAGGTGCAAGTATACCCGATGATGACCAAATCGTCATGCAGTCAATCCGCAATCGTGGGCTGCATCCTACTTACCTAGCCTCTTTGAAGCTATCCTATCAAATGTTCAATCAATCCACCTACATTACCCTATCCATCACTTCTCCCCATATAATCTCTGCCACGCCACTCCCTCCCTGCCATACATACGCATGTATGTACGTATGATGTGTGTGTGCATGCAATTCACCCATTCCGGCATATACACAGTCCAACACCCGGTATTATAACCGACGACTAGGTGATAGTAGCTGTTATACAATGCTAGGTAGGTCGTTGCTGTGGCTGTGGCTGTATGTAGCTATCCGAGTGCCCAGCCTGTCAGTCTGTCAGTCTGCCTGGCCGTTGATGCTTGTGCTTGTGCTTGGTGCGGATGCTTGGTGGTTGTGCTCCTACCGACATACATACATACATACATACATACATACCTAGGTAGCTAGCTACCTTTCTGCCTGGCTGTCTGCCTGTCACTGACACTACCTACCTACCTAACTCCCTGCCTGGCTTTTCTGGCTGCCTGCTTACATTACCTACTTACCTGCCTACCCAACTAACTCCCTACTATTCTCTGTCAACTTACCTAGACATTACTCGTGCTGCCTAGCCTACTGACCTACCTACCTACCTAGCCAGTTTCTCTATCTATCTGCCTGCCTACCTGCCTACCTGCCTAGACACCTTCATACCGCAGCACGGACAACATGTACAGTCATGTGCCATACTTCTACCTCTACTTCTGGCCTTGTGCTAGTTGCAGTAACTCTAGCTAGCTCTAGACTCTTCCATTCATTTTTTTTTTTTTTTTCTTTTCGGTATGCCTAGGTTATGTGTGAGCCTGGGTTGGGTTAGGGTAGGGACGTGCCAACTCACAATACAGGACAGGATGCAATGTAGGGACGCGCTTTGCAGGGGGATGTAGGTAGGTAGTATTAGGTATGTGTCAGGTTCTGTTCTGTTCTGTCCTGTCATGGGGGAGAATGCGGGAGTGGTTGGGGAGGGTTTTGTTCCTAATTTCCTTGGGATGGGGTGGGTTTTGATCTCTCGATCTGTCTGTCTAGTTATTTTAGCTAGCTGTGTATGTAGCTATGTAGCTATGTAGCTTGCTGGATGCGGGGGATGTGGGTTGGATTGGGTTGGGTTAGGGAGTTGGGTTGGTGTAGAGGGTTGGAAATGAGGTGTTTACTAGGCGTTGAGTGCTGTGGATAATACGGAGAAGAATCAAAGAATATTGAGTAAAGTCAATGGTAGTATAACATTAAGCTCTGGTACAACCTCACTTTCTAAGTAAGTCCTGTGTATAGTATTAACAACAATCCAAATCGGCAGACCTCCCGTTAATTGAACAGTGAACAGTAACAGTAACAGTAGATGTGTTAGTGGCAGCGGTGGCAGCGGTCGCGACCAGCGCAACCTCCGCTCAGACTGGGCCGGTCGGGAACGGTCATAGCCATGTATAGGCGATGCAGACTCCGCGTTGGAGTCGGACGGGGACCCGAACGAGCGAATAAAGGAATGACATGACATGAGCGTGAATGACATGAAGCGCATAATTAGATAGACAGGACGGGACGGGACAGAGCCGAAAACAGTCCAACAAGACAAAATCAAACCCACGCTATGCGGAACGACCAAAGCAGCAAAGTATAATCACAATACTGTACAGACAGATGAACAGACGAAAGGGATGTCGACGCGGGTGCTGAGGAGACGGCAGAAGCAAGGGTTAGTCCGACTATGCCGTCGAGTCTCGAGAATCAGTCAGGCCCGGTTTAGAGTTCGAGTGATGGGGATCCGGAGGTAACACGTGTGCCTCGGTGCAGTAACAGGAACACGAAACTCCGAAAAGGGAAGTACAATCATACAAAAGCATCACGTCGGGGTCCGAAAACAAAACCCTCCCAGACAAAATAGTGTACAAGGTCGGCAGAGATGGGAAGATGCATCCAGGTCAGGGGAGGCATCCGCCGAACAGATCGTCGAGTAGACCAGCTGTCGATCGTCGCCTCACTTTTGGACGAAGCCGCGCGGATAATCGGCCGAGCCGGCGACAATAGTCCCAGCAGCTGCCAGCAGCGGCCAGCGCTTCGGCCATGGTTTCGGCCATTTACTTCCAGCGTTGTTTGTCCCAATCAGAGGGGCGCGTTTCATCGTAGATCTGACCTCCCCGGTTGTGAACAATGACGGGGGGTTGTGTACGGCGTGGGACAGCATTGGGGCCTATGAAATGGGTTAGCTTGGTCGCTATATACTATGAAATACAGAGTATAGAGATGAAAACATACCTCGCATGTCGGTGATGACAACACGGTCACCGCTACTGCCACTGCTGGACAGGGTAGAGTTGGAGTCGTTTCCTTTGTGAGGCATGATGAGAGGTAGATAGATGATAGAGGATAGGTGATGGATCGATTGAGTGAAGAATAGATAGATGATAGAGGATACTAAGTGGATAGTGAGTCGATTGTAGACTTGAAGATGGAGTCGAGTCGGAGTAGAGGTATATATAGATGGCAGTCGTGGCGGAGCAAGGCTCAGTACGAGGCCAAAGACGAGGCGTACGAGGGAAGAGAAGAAAAGACTCAAGGATATGAAGATTGAGAGTGCAGTAATAGTTGTGAAAGTGGTCGAGTGGTGATGGCAAGTGAAGTGAAAAAAGACGGACGGCCGGAGGCTTTTGTATGTTTCCCCCAGAAAAGGAAGAAGTATAACGGCATCCACCAATTTAGCTTCCCCCAGAGAATGAAGCAGATCGATCATCTTGCAGACTGACTAGTGCCTTCTGCCCGTCCCCATCGCCTGCCTGCTCCATGCTATGTTACAGCCTACACTACAGCCTACAGCCTACCGACCATCATCGTCGATCTAGACATCCCAACAGACGTCATGGCCCAAACCAAAGGAAAATCGAATGTCTGGAACCCTCGTCGAAGCCTCAAACTCACCGGGGTCCACTGCCCGCTGCCAGGGGGGCGACCCCCGAAGTGAAGACGAGGCAGCAAACCGGATGATTCGTCATTGTCAGTGCTGGCCTGGATGATGGATGAGTAAGTGTTTCAATTGATACGCCGGGGGCCTGGGGCCAGGGCCAGGAGCGAGCCTGCGCCCAGGCTCCAGGCTCAGGCTTAGGCTTAGGCTTAGGCTTCTGTCGGGCGGTCCAATCTCTCCAGCCACAGTCTCGGTCTCCTGAGCATTACCATTGCCTGATGACGGCGGTGTCTTTGCCCCCTTTCGCATTGCTTCTGCTGGCACTGGGGCCTGCGTGATGTGGCGGTACGAGGCTGACCGTCATTCCACCAACTGGCTGGCGGTTGCTGCCCGTTCCGTGCCGTCTTGCCTGTCAGTATGGTTACACTAGGATACCAGGGATGGGGTGTATCATTGGGTCAGAGCGGTAATTCTGGGGGTATCTTACCGCCTGATACCCACCTGATCACCTGATCGCTAGGCTATTAATAACAAACCAATATTACCCCGTACCCGGTACACGTACGGGGACTCCGGGTCTGGGATTCTGGAAGTAGTAAATACCTCAGGCCGGGCAGCTCCAGTCGAGACCTTCCCAAGTGGATCAGACACTGACTACTAACTATGGAACTTACTTAGTTGGCAGTCAGTCGTGGTACTATTCCTCCTCCGTCACACGGACAAAGTACGAGACCCATCTGCTAGATACTAGCTAGCCATCACAATCACCGTGATACGTGAGCTCCTGCTCATGTCCATGCCGTGTATTCTACCGTCTCAGGAGCATCTCCAACCCGTAGCTTCTCTAGTCGCAATACCAACACACTTTATGGGTTCCAGCCAGCCCGATTATTAGGTCTCATCGATCATTCCTCTCCATAATCTCAATATTCAATAATAGCACTAGCTCAACGGTTGCCATTGCGGTGTGAATTTTCCCCAAGCAGATACCCTAGTCCTCCGTACTTAGCTAACTAGCTACGGAGCAGGGAGAGATAGTTCCAAGCTTATTATCACCCCGTCTATTTCCAATCTAGTCCGTTCCTTAGCAGCCCCCCTAGCTACTTCCCTGGTTAGTGAGATTCTGGAATCGGTTAGGACATGGGACCTAGTATGGGGTGGTAACGAACTCGCTTCACCTCCTCCATCATCACCACAGCACCACTACGGAGCACATTTACTAACTATAACCATCCTAGCCTCTCCGTCTCTCCCCCAGAACCAATATCCGGAGTACCGAGTACCGAGTACCAGGAAGGAAATTAATCATTCCCCGTCATCAGATGATGTCGTGGGTTACTTCACCGCTACTATCTTGTTATCTTACATCCTGGTGTTCGGGATAGGACGGATCTCACTACCTAGCTTGCTTCAGTACTTATTCGAGTCTCATCACACATTATTCATCATTATACAGAGTACACACCATGAATACCTACCACCAGACACCAGTAACTACCCATTCGTCACAGCTGTACCTATAAACCCATGCCAACTGTACCTACCCAGCCATGCTAGCTAGCTATCTGCATGCTTACATAACACCTGACTCACCTCACCTGCCAGGTCATCACCTAGTGTACCATCACCTAGGCTTCTTTGGGGGTAGGTAAGTCAGGCCTAGACCGAATCCAGGCTAGCCTGAGAATACCTTGGCTCTCAAGGAACGCAGAAAGTGAGGCGGGAGTGGCTGGCTTCAGTTCCCCGGGCGTGGGGTTTCGGGGTGTTCTGAATGGTGGGTAGGTCCCTAGGTGCTTGTTCTATTCAGGGGATGCGGTGCGGTGTGGTGCGGGAGGGTACGTATGTGCATATGTCACTGGTAGGTCATTCTTTTCAGAGGGGAGATTGGAGTGAGTGATGAGTGATGCTGATGGTCGATGGTAGCTGGTGGTGAGGGATGGATGGATGGATGGATGGATGGATGGGTGCAGACTAGGGCGGAAGGGGTTAGTGTGGTGGTTGGCTTATTTGGGTTAGTGTACATTGGGGGTTGTGAAGGCTTATGAGAGGCATAATTATGTGCCAGAGGGAATTGGCTTATGCTGAGGTAGCCTAAGTAGGTACATTCTCTGGTACGTCAATAGCTCGAAGGAATAGTTACTTCAACATCATATAGCTCAGTATACTTCATCCGAATCCTCCCATATACTCCGTAGTGCCGTAGATACGGGAGACCTGCACCTAACGCCACTTCATGCCGCATCTACCTATTGTTCTCTCTTCATCCGATCCGCCCAGCCGTTCATGCTTCGTCGGATTCCTAGCGTCCGTCGCATCGTCGTTGTTTGTCCGGCCTGCACCATCGACATGGTTGTCGTGTGATACGTGGCCACCGGCCGGGCTCCCCCGACAGATCCTGAAAGACTTTTAACCTCGCTTGTCCGCGCCTCTTTCCCAGCCTCGCCGGTTCCCTCGACAACCGCTTTGGATCCTTGAGCATGCGAGAGCGGTTTCTGTCCCGGTATAGGGCCCATGGGCTTCGCCAGCCAGGTGTATTGGTTTGGGTCGGAAGGTTCCAGAACCGGCCGAGGCGGTTGCAGCTTCGGCGCTTGCGGTCGATACGTCGAATAGCTCGCGGGGATCACACGGCTTAACTCAGAGTTCGACGATCCAATGTGACGCGTTTGCCCTACGGCGTCTCGGTGGCCCGGCGCCTGTCGCCCAGCCGTGCCTGAGCCACTCTTGCCTGAAGGCTGCCCAAAGAAGCCGGAGATTGTTTTCTGCGAAAGTCCGGCCGACTTGCAACCCACGATGCTGGCGGCTACAGCGTGTGATTTGCTCTCTTGGGTTGCATTTGGCTCGGGCGCTGGTTCGCTCGCTATGTATTCGCGGGCCGTCGAAAAGCCCATGGATAGAGTGGTAGGCACCGAGAAGTTGAAACCATTCATGGGCTGTGTGCAGGACATGTACGTTGTCGTTTCTGACTGCCCCTGGTTGACCTTTTGTCTTTTAGGATTGGGCTCACCCGTGGCTCGGCTGCCGTCCCATCGGATGATCGCATCAGGTGCCTCAAAGCCATCTTCAGTCCACTGGTCATCGTATGGAATATCACAGGTTGCTCGTCCTTCCGACATAGCCGCTGATTCCGGCATTGGCCGGCGGAGGATGTTTGCAATGTCGTGGACAACCTTTTCGTTGAATTTGGGTCCGAGGGAACGAAAGCGTTCTTTGACGACCTTGGATGGGAGAAAGCTCGACAAGGTTGTTTCCTCCCCATCGCGGGACTGTCGAAGAGGGTGGCTTAGGTATAGTAAGGCTTGCGCTCGGGTCATAGCCACATAAAGAAGTCTTCTCTCCTCGTCCGAGTCCTCCGCCCGGGAGTGCGGAATGATCCCATTGAACACGGCCGGCACAAATACCACTGGCCATTCGAGGCCTTTGGCTGCATGGATGGTGGAAATGGTGACCTTTTCATTTGATTGCTCTGTCTCTTCACCCTCCTGCGGGAGAACCTCCGTAGACAGCGCTACGTTCGCTAAAAAGCGAGACAGCGCCTCTTCGCCAGGATGAGCCTGCTGTTGTTCAATGCCTTGTATTTCAGGGAGATTCTCATCCTTCTCGCCCTCCTCAGTCCCAGGTGTGTCATCCGCTTGAGCCAAGAGCTCCTCCACGTTGGCCCACCGATTCTCCTCGTTCGAGCCGTGTATCGCCTTGAGATATTCTCGAAAGCAAAGCTTCTTGATAAGAAAGTCGAGTAGCTTCCTCGGAGATGAGCCGTCAGTACATTCTTGTAGCTTTTGTCTCGCCGATTCAATGATGCCGACCAAGGTGCAGAGTCCGTTATCGGTAGGCTTTGAGAGTGGCTTGTCCGTCGAGCTGCGGCCTTGAGCCACATCCTTGATGAAATCCCAGAGTGGCTTCTTTGCTTTCTCGGCCCCCTTCGTGAGAAGATTGACTGACTCGTCCCCGATCTTCCTGGAGGGCACATTAATGATGCGCAGGAGAGCATCGCTGTTACCTGGCTGGCTGATGACTCGGAGGTAGTCCAGAAGCAGCTTGATCTCGACTCTGTCGAAGAACCTCAAGCCTCCAACCATCCGGTACGGGATGCCATGTTTTCCCATTTGCGCTTCGATTTGTCGGGAGAGAGCGGCCGACCGGAGCAGTATAGCAAAGTCTGAGTAGTTCACAAGCTTCCCCGTCATGGCGATACACCTCTTGATCTCAAGGACGATCCATAGAGCCTCTGATTCGGAGCTTGGCAACTTGCGCAGCACGGGCATAGTCCCCACGCTATGTGTCGGCTGCAGCTTCTTCGCCGGCCGGGATGAATCCTGCTCGATGACGTCCTGTGCCGAGCTCAGGATAGATCCAGACGAGCGGTAATTATCCTCCAGCAAGACAATAGACGTATCTCTGTACAGTTGCTGCATCCGCCCGAGGTTCTTGATCTCCGCAGATCGGAAACCGTAGATGCTCTGATCCGGATCTCCGACGACTGTGATCCGCTGGTTCTGGGACGCAAAAAGGTTCATCAACTCATACTGGATGTGGTTCGTATCTTGAAACTCATCAACCAAGACAGCTTGCACGTTCGAAACGCACTCGGGGTGTCGCCTGAGCAGCTCCGTGCACCGCACCAGTAGATCATCGTAGTCCAGAAGATTGGAAGCAGCCAGGCTTGCTTCGTACTCGCGATATACCTGGACAAACTCTCTCTGCTCGAGGACCTTTGAGTTCTTGCTCAGCTTTGCAGCCGTCTCATCCGGGCTGACGCCATGGGCTTTCTGATGGGAGATTCTTGCTCTGGCTGCGTTGGGCTGGATTCCGACCTGCAGTCGCTTGACAATCCTCTGCAGGTGTCAGTACATAGACAAGACGAAGTGATATTGGAACTTACCTTGATAATTGCCAAAGTATCCCCCGAATCTGCAATGCCGAACCCCTTCTTCAGCCCGATTAAATACCCATACGTCACCAGATATCGTCGACAAATCGAATGAAACGTCCCCAGAACCAGCTTCCTTTGCAATTCATCGCCAATCAATCTGGCCAACCGCTCTCTCATCTCCCGGCTGGCTTTGATCGTAAATGTGCAGCAGATGACATCTTGTGGTCGGTAGCCATGATGCGCGAGGAGGTACGCGACGCGTGCGGTCAGGGTCTTGGTCTTGCCTGAGCCGGGAGGAGCGAGGACCTGGAGGATAGATGCAGGTGATGCTACAGCGGCAGTCTGGGCATAATTGAGACCATCTAGGATGGGATCCATTGCTGGGTATCCATGGGTTGTGATGCTAAGGTCTGAGTTGCGCTATCACTCGGACGCGGGCAATACGCGGTGTCATGTGACAACAGCTTGCGGCTGTCGACATTTGTTTACCACTTTAACGGATGCTGCTTTTCTTAAGCTGTAGTTTTTATAATAGATTTCTTAGTGGTAGCTAATATTTGATAAGTAGCTACCTAGTATCTAATGAAATGAGCCACTCTTGCACCATCGATAAAACAGATACTGGGACAACTATATATTGGAAAGGTATGGACCTTGTCCAATGCTGCCCCTCAGTACTATGTATGCAAAAGCTGACATACGGAGATACTATGATTAGCCGTACAACACCCTGGCTTCTGTCTTGTTAGATTCTCACCTGACAACCATCCACACTTGCAAGTAACCGATGCGGAGTGAGTTCATCTTCCCGCACGGACCAACTGCTCTTCCGCGGGGATTGGCGTCATCTCACCTCACTCCTCCACTCCACCACTACCAAGCGACAGCTGTATCTCTAATCTTCAGCCGTGAATATCAATGCATACTATGACAGTTCATCTCTGGCTTTTTTGCTGTCGTCCGTTCTATGGATTACTCCACTCTCACCCCTCAAATCGACCTCTATATAAACCCTGTGATTCCACATCTGGAACAAGAACTTACTGACGAGACCCGATGACCTTTAGAACCTCCTAGCCTCACCACCCCCACAAGATACCATCAGCCTAGCAAGCCAACATCAGTCTTACCATCCAATATAATCAGACTCAACGACGGACTAGACCACACTCCCATCCGCGCTGCCATCTAACACCACACCAACTATACGGCATGATATCCCAATCACATACCCAGCGATCTTTTCTGGCTACCCAGACACTTGATATATGATCCATACTACCACGACCTCCCTGTGCAGCATTACAACATATCTGGTCTCCTCAAAGACCAACCCTCGAACCAAAATATCCTTATAATCAATCCACACCAAAGCACAACAGGGATACAAACCACAAGCATAAACCCCGCACCAGATGCATACCCGACATGGACGCTCTCAACATCCAGAAGACATACACTATCACGCCATATACGCTTCAAAGACCCCCCCCCGATATCTATATGCAGTTAGAATCCATATCCCCAAGGATAAGATCGATAAAAATAACCCGCAGATAGAACCTATCAGTAGGATATCAATCGCAACTGCTTGAGTAGCCGATCAATATCATGCGATACTTACATATCTCCCGTACCCCGTACATAGCAGTACATGCAGGGTTCACTTCACCTACTATGCAGTATGCAAACATCACCCAACACCCACCGCAACTATACAAATCCCGACCTAGCACATACACTACCCACCAGCCACACGTATATTATGTATACCTCCCGCATAAATCATACGATGTCCAAGCGTAATCCCATACTGTATGTAGGTCCTATGTAGTACTCATATGTACCTAAGCTCCCCGCGTAGCACAAGCACAGCGGAGCTCTTCCCGGCTCCCGCCGCCTGGCTTGGCACCCCAAGCTCCGGGGTAACGTCACGCCTTGCCTTGCCTTCACATTCATCCTCCAACATCCTCGCATCATTCACCACGAATATCAGTCCACCGCCACCACATCCTCACAACCCAACTCCTCACGCCACATACACATACAACCCGCCAAATTCCCAACCCATGGCCCCCATCCGCCGCTACCTCCGAATAAGCAAACACACGATCCTCGAATGTCGCATCTACCTCGACAATCCCTCGGACGCACGCTGGCTCCTCAACACGCGCGTCGCGGACCCGGTCCTCCCCCGGATATTTGCCGCGATTCGGCCGCTGGTTCGGTTGAAGTTGAGGGAGGAGAGTGAGCGGGTGATGGCGAGGAAGAAGGGGGGTGTTACTAAGGATGTTGTTTCGGATGGTGAGTTTTCTTTGGTTTATGTTTGGGGGTGGGGTGGGGGATATGGGTTTGGGGAAAAGCTGACGAGTGTATCTGTAGAGGATTTCGAGGTGGCGTTGTTTCTGAGAGAGTCGAGGACGAGACATTCGTTGCTTACGAGGGAGAAGGAGTTTGGGGAGGGAGGGGGTGGGAAGGGGAAGGCAGTTGGAGGGGAGATCCTCATTGAGAGTGATGAGGAGGGATCAGAGGTGCAGATGCAGAATATCCCGCATGCGAGTGATGTTCATCATGATACTGGGAGCGGGAACAAAAGGCAGCAAGAGGCAGATGACTCGCCGGATAGGCAGCGCGGATCGAAGCGGAGAAAGGATGAGTTACAGGCAGCGGATGAGGAGGACAAGAAGATGCGCTTCAGGACGAATTACGAGGGATTCAATATCTATGGTTGGGTACTGTGTCTGCTGGTCACTCGGAAAGGGGACAGAGCTGAAACCAAGGCATCGGAGCCGGGTCGGCAGGTTCTGATGGAGGAATGGATCTCTACGCAGGCTCAGGGTGATCTGCCCGAGGAATGAGCGGCCTCAATGCATCGCAGCTGCGAAGGCAGCCAGGGATGAATCTCACTCGGCCGCGTGACAAGGATGCTTCATCGTAAATGATGCAACTGTCAGGCAACCAGATCGTTCGATTCCTGCATAACATGATGTGGCTCAACGGTGCAACATCACGAGTGCAGATTGCTTGTGCGCGTGATACAGGCAAATGCATCCGATCGTCCTGAATGCGCTGGGTAAATTGCTGTGCCACCTGGTACAATGGCGGCCCGTCTGGACAAGCAGCCGAGTCGAGACCAAACGTTCCAAAACATTCTAGTTGTTGTCCAGTAAGGGGCGAAACAGTGGTGTGCGACGGTCTGACTCGAAGGGTGGTCGTGGTCTGGATTGAGTTCTGTGTAACGCCCGGTCCCAAGCACTGCACCCGACCCAGGGACTGATGTTTCGCTGTTCCGATCTGCGGTGTAGGCAACGGTGCAATTGGTCCGGTTTGCTATACTCACTCAGTTTCGCCGAGAATTTTGCGACCACTCGCCGTTAAAGGGACTGATGCCACACGCTGCGCCTGCAGCAAGTACATATGCGAGGATCATTTAGACTTCCGGCTTGCCTGCATAAGCTATGATCCTGACGCATAACATACTGATGTGCAGGGGGTGTTTCATGTGAGCTGGATTGACAGCTCGATTCCGTGCTATATCTGAAAATCAGGAACAAAACGGTGTTTGGGATTGACCTAGCAGACGCGTTCAACGTAGTCCATTGCCGTGCCAAGCCAGGGAGGACCGAGATAATGCCGTTTCGTTTATTTTTCCCAACCCAAGAATAGATCCGAGCGTCGCCGTTTTCTTTCAGAGGCTCCTATCCGGCCGGTTGCGGAGATACCCCCCAAAGCAATTGGATGCGATGGGCCAGGAATCAAGAACCAGGAATTAATAAGCCCGGAAGATCAAGCAAACCCCGACCTGCATGGGGTCCAATGGAGTAATCGAATTTTGACGTCAGTCGAGCGAGACAACGGCAGGTCCAAACAAAAAATTTTCTGGTTCGGGTGTGGATGTCGCTTCGTGGCGCCCAACTAAGGTAGTGGGCGGAGTTCTCCGTACTGTGGAGTAGTACTGACCGATAAAAACGAAATTGTTCCACGGGAGAACCGGCATTCTTCGATTCGATAGATGTAGATGTTCTATAGCGATTCTAGCTGCTGGATGGTTTCCAAATCAGGCAGGGGACCGCGAGGAGAATCGTAGCAAGATTGGGACATCCAAAGTCTGTTCGGTGTTGCTTGAGGGCTCGACAGGAAATTATCGATAGCCGCCCGTGGGATTTGATGCGGGGTTCAAAGGATTGGCCGAACCATAGGGGTTGTCGAAAATCATGATCATCCTGACCCTAGTAGGGATGAGATGCCGCTCACTGCTGACCACGCACGGCACCAGGAAGTGGTCCCTCCGATGTATAGCCCAAAGGAGGGAAAGTGAGGTCGTACAATCGCCTAACAGCCGTCCGTGTCAGGGTAGATGCAATTAGATGAGCGGTGTTTCCAGTGCTAGATACTGTAACTGCTCAATCAACAGAGCCAGTGGGAAGTGGAAACCGTGCAGTGGACCACACGCTTGGCGCCAGGAGACTCGTTCATAATTAGTCGAATTAGTGGCCTTTAGCCCCGAATTAGCGACTTAGCGGCGCGAATGTTGGGAGGACGAAACCTGTGGGCGACACCGCGCAACTAAGGAGCGGTGAACCATGGGTTGCGACGGTTTCTGGAAGGACTGGTACCATTCCACAGAGCGGAGAATTTCCCTGATGTTGATCTTCACGACGGAGTCTGCTGCGGATTCCGATCTTGCCCACATCGGCGTGGGCAGACTCCCGCAGTCGGACTATTGAGTCTTGCAGCATGGAGGCGTCACGGTGATTGTGATAGTCGCGGATGCAGTGGGATGCATAGTACCTGCATTAACCCATTGCTGGGTTACATCCAATAACCCCAGGAACCGGCCGGAGGCTGGCAATGCCCAGGATATAAGGGCGGGAGACAAAGAAGTATGACAAAGGCTAAGTAAGTGCGCTATGGTCCCCACTCTGTACGGAGTACACGATAAACAACCTCCAGCATCGGCAGCTGCCTACTGCCTAGCACAGGAGGATTGAACTGTCGAGTTTACCGAGGAGTGATTTACGCTGCCTCCGCATCCAAACCGGCCCTTGCTGTGATCGGGTGTCCACCTCACCAACGGCGCGGAATGAACTCCCCCAACAGTGGGGATCTCATTTCGTTCACTTGGAACAAGGCTCCACCCTGTCAAGTTCTGTTCCTGCCATGTGTTTTTTGGCCCTCTGCCCCAGTGTGTCCCAAACCGACCGAAGCCATGTGACCTGGCATCGAGGTGGCGATGAGGTCGATAGGATCCAGATGGCGCCAGGAACCGGTTTGATGAAAGTGGTACCTAATGGGAATGATTTGCCGGAAGGACGCGGAATCCGTTGCGTCAGGCGTCCATCACCACCACTGCCCGCGTCAAAAATTGAATACGTAGCAGCCATGAATGATATCGGGAGTCATGCAGGCCAGGCGCTAACAGCGACGCTGCAGCACACTACGCCCAAGGAGTCAGTCGTTGAGGAATGGAGGAGTTAGGCGCCGACCTAGCGGCGTGGGGACGGAGGATGGGTACACTAAAGACTTACTGAGGACGGAGGAATGAAAGCGACGCGAGAACGCAACCCGCATCTCGATGGATCGACCGATGAGTCGATGCTGCGGGCGATTGACGTGCAGGATCAACGTTTCTCCCTTCCAGTTTGCTGCAGATGATCCGGCGTGTCGCCCATCCTCATTAGCAGCATGCGACTAGTCTAGTGTTGTTACTTGAGGGTGCTCCGTACCCAGTAGTGGCACGCCAGGGATCCCTGGGATCAGATTGGTCGATCCCGGATGGCTCCAGGAACTAAAGTGAATCAAATCAAGTCAAATCAAATGAAATCAAGAAATGTAGCCAGAGGAGTGTTGCATCGCATAAGGCTAGTGATAGTTCCTCAGGCGGGAGCGACGAGACGGGATCTCCAGCAGTCCCGCGGGTATCGATGGCTGGTATGGTATGGTATGAGGGAGGGCCTGTAATTACGATAATCCTCACACTTCCCGACGAGAACATCGCCAATGCCAGGCAAGGGACAGCCGCCACAATGGATGGACGAGGCTGTCAGCCGGCATCTCCGTCCATTGGAAGCGCACGGGACTGCCAGACTCCAATCGCTTTCCGAAAACCTTGGGAAGAATGGCAGGATGGCTGACAGGCAGTCCGTCGAACTCAACCACTCCCTCAGCCGCGCGGAGGGCGACAATCCCAGTCCGAGAGCTCGGACAATACGAACGCAGGTACAAGGTAGGAACTAAACCACCTGCAAGGAGCAATTTGGCTGTCGTTGGTGGGCGTAACCCCCGAGATCCGGCTCATTTCTGGGTGCGTGATGGTGATCAGCCCCTGAAACACGCTTCCAGAGGCGAACTGGAACTGGCAAGAGAACACTTGAGGACACGCCATCGGAATTGGTGGGTGTGTATCTTTAGGTTGCGGCTACCCCGTTGGCTGCGACACAGCTGCCGCCCTGTCCAGATGAAACGACCTGTCATTCTTCCTTTCTGATCGAACCCCTGACCCGGCTGCAAGGAAGGACACAGGTCTTTCCACTTCCGTCCCAGACGAGGACCATTCAGCTCGGTCGGTGGTCTCACTCAGCCAGCATGGCTCACAAAAACGGCCGACTACGCCTGAACCGAAAGCCTAAAGGATGACCACAACGGGAGCCGTGGTGGCTTGGATGCTGATTACTCGATAGGTCCGCAGGTCCCGACACTCTGGCTGGAGCTAGGATCTTCCCCTCTCGGGGGGAGTCTGTGTGTCTGGAGGGTGAGGAGGAGGAATCAAATCACACGCAGCAAGTTTCAGGCGAGCAGCGCAGCAGCCGCGCAGTAGGCTTCGGATCATCCTCCTTGTTCCCTTGTCCTTGTCCCTTGTGGTCTCTTAGGCTCTGCCCCCTCAAAGGATCTACGAACTGGCACGTGTTGGCATGGCTGGACTAGCCCCCAAGCCCGTCAGCCTATCAACCCCCGCGGCGCGTTCTCAGGGATGAGGTTGCCTGAGAACATCCTGGTCGGGATGCGGAGTAAGAGCATCCTCTAAGGCTCTAACGGTGGCATTGATCCCTTGGATTGAGTCATAGATAGCCGGCCCGCTTCGTTTCTTCTTCTTCTTCATCATCCTCGTCGTCCGGCTGGTCGTAATTTACGTAACCCGCCGAAATGACACTAGTGCTAGCTACAGTAATCAGTGGTCACATGGGCAGCGTATCGCTGAGGGGAATTTCACTGATTCTAAAAAGATATTCTAAAAAATGGACGGCTGCCCAGAAGACACAGCCAAGAACGGGGTGTAGAACTCCTCAGTCCTCCGTCGATTGTCCTCCATAGAAACCGGACGATTAACGCTATGGTGGGGCAGGAATGCTTGCCTGGTCCAATTTCGTTGTCTCTAACTTTGCTTTCTAATTTTCTTTTCATGGTAGTACTACGATGTATGTACTCCGTACTACGGGATATGATAATTATTTTTAGAGATGTTGTTTCTCCTTCGCGGCTAACTTTTCTGTTCATTGGCCTTCTTGGGTAAGTCCGGACAAGTGACAGGGACAACTCTGTCAAGTGTCAACCCTCAACAGAGCACCACTGGCACCCATCATAATAAACTCCGGACCTGCGCAGGTTAATTCGACCGGCGGAACCCCAAGGAATTAGGGGAAAAGGGGGAGGCAAACTGCCTCAGCGGTGAAGGGGCATCCGCAGCGGGAGTGGAACAAGAGGAGCTTCTAGAAAATTTCCCTGGGATTTCCCATTGGGGCGAGTCCATCTGGCAGCCCACTGTACGGCACTAGTGTAAGGACGCGGTCAGATTCTGACGTAGTTTGTTTCCTCCTGGCCGGGCGGTGGGGCTCCAGCTCCTGTTCCCGACAGGGGGCTTTTGGCCCTTTTCCATTGGGGCTTTATTCTGGCTGTTTTGGTCTTTTCTTCAAAAAAAAAATTAATTTTAAAATTAAATCAAAGAAATCAAAATAAATCCAAAAGAGAAAAAAAAGACGGCCACAAAAAAGAGGTCCAGCTTCCCCAAGTATATATTAGACGCCCTTCTGACCTCGCTTGTCTTGATCTCTTGTTTCCATTCAACTTCATCGCTCCAAACCAATTCAATTCACCACAACTACTCGCGTGCTACAAGACACCGCATCACTACTACTCTACTACCTCCACCACGCCAACCAACCCTCACCTTTCTACCAACCACATCACCATCATCATGCCTTCCATCGGTGGCTCTGCTTCTCAGTTCCCTCCCTGCCCCGGCCCCCCGCCAAAGGGTCCTCTCCCTCCGCTCCCCAAATAAACAATGGGCAATCATCGATATGAACTTGACGACCGACAGACTCGACCTCCACCATAGACAGTGACAACGTGGACTGGATCGAGTCTCTCATGACATGGGAGTTGCACACCTTTCGGCATGGTTAATCAATCACGATTTCGTTTTGGGTCTCACACTACGGCTTTCCTCTATTCCACATACACCATTTATTCCCCATCATCATCTCTTCGGATCTTTCGGACTTTCAATCTTGCCTACCCCGACACATGAAACTCGTCTCATGGCCGGTGTTTTAATCCTTCTTACCATTCTCCGGGCACAAGCGCAGGCGCTCTGCTCCCCTTTTCTCCAATGATACAACACCCACGCTTTGATACTTGCAGCAGCTCACGCGGCTGTGGAGCAGCGGGCCCTATGGCCATGCAGGGGGGAACCACATGCAAACAAACCCCGAGTCATGATGTTATCATTTGCCATCGACTCCCCCCACCCGCCTTGTCAGCTTTTCAAACCCCGCAAGAGAGTGATGACGACGAGACTCTCGAGCATTCGGTTTCATGTGGAAGTCCCTCAGCCAACCCCAGTGAAGTATGGGGGGATTGCGCGATCTCCACCGATGTCAATGCGTGGTTCGGACACCCAGGGTTCGTTTTGCGGATGGTTCCGACAATTACTTAATCACGTTTCTTTCTTTCTTTTTTTCCTCTTTCAGTCATGTGTACCATCTTTGCTTGTTCTCATCATTATCGGGGTCTGAGCTTTTTCATTCTGAATCGACGGCATGTATAATAGACTTAATATACCCAACGGCATCGCATTTGCCTGCGCTTTGAATAATGAGATTATTTCCATTCTAATCATATTTCTGTGCTACTAGACTACTCCGTAGACAAACTGGAACTACACATCTTCTGACGGCTGCATCTGAGTAACTGACCGCGGGGGAAGCCCAAGGATCTGCGGACAGCAACAGCGGGCAACGGTGGCAGCCCAGCAGGGATGCCGAATCAATAGCGCTCCGATCCCCTGTCCCTCCCTCTAGCGCCGGTCCTGTCTGGCGCCTGTACAATGCATGTAGCGCGCTGGATTGAGTAATCAGATAGCGGCATTTAACCAGACGATGACTCGATCATACGGTGATCCAAGCGAGGAATCCTCCGCCTCCCGCGTCTCTTATCGGGGGGGTTAGCAACGAGTATTGCTTTTTGCATGCCCAGTCAGGAAACAATAGTCTGGAGGGGACATCCATTCATCCTGGCTGCGGCCCGTGTGGCGCACCTGATACGACGGCTCTCTTAGTGGACTACCAAGTACTCCGTACTCCGTATTTCAGTGCTAATCAGTAATCACTAGGCATAGTAGATAAGTTGTTCCCCCCAGGAATCTAATCTTGTAACCCGCCAAGCAAACCACATTCACCTGCATTGCATATGTAGGAGCCAAGCCCATGCCCTGCCAGGGCCCAATACCAGTGGTCAGTGGTCACTGGATGGATGCGGATATCTTGACGATCATGATAAGCCGATAATGATGTTATCGTCGACCTCCTCCTCCTCCTCCTCCTCCTCCTCCTCAGTCGTGGCCCGGCCCACCTACTGCTTCTGCCTTGATTGCAGGCGTGCAGCTCTGCAGCCTGCCTTGTTTTGCGTTCGTTTCTCTTACATCTGCTTTAGTCCGAGTGTCCGATCGCAGGTCAACTGACCCGGTGGTACCTGGCTGAGCCAGCTCTCACTCTCACCTTATCCGGTCGTTTTCCGTAAGCAGGGACTGAGCGTTAGACCGGGGGGGGGAAGGGAGCCGAACGTCATGCCATGTGCTTGCTGAATTGGCTGGTAGTGGTGGAAGACTGAAATTAAGTCGGCCAGCGCCAAGGGGGTGCGGCGTCTGTCATCTCATTTCATTCCTGGCATTCTGCAGACTTTCGTTACTACTATAGTAGAGCTGGTGGTCGTGAACTAGTGTAGTGGCTGGTGAGAGTAATTCCGTAGTCAGTATAGCTCTGGTCTAGGGCTATGCTATGCTATCATCTCATCGCTGCCTGTCGGATCTGATCGAAAATCGCTCATACTCGACCATCTAAAGAGGGGTTGACCGCTGAAACCACCGCATGGATTAATAATTTACCTGAGAAAGACACGAAAATGGATGACCCCATCGAACCTGGAATGACATCCCAACCCCGAGGGAATTACTGTATCTGTTGCACTGGCCAGTCGCACCAGCCACTTGCTACCACCACTACTATCAACTATGTATCTAGTCTAGCAAACTCAATGAGGAAGACTGCGTGGATGGATCCACTTACAACCAAGTACCTAATGAAGGGCGATTCCCCATTACGGTAAACGGTAACCCCCTTCTGGCTGGCTCCATAGTTGCCTGTCGGCCTGAGGCGCCCAGCGCGTCGGAGAGGTTCTCCCACGTGATTCGCACCCGTCGAACAACGCAACCTCCATCTGTTTGGGCCTTCGCCGCAACGATCGAAAAGATGGTTCTGGAACTTCATGTTTGGGGTCCGGCCTTTTCCTTGCCATCTATTGATGCGCAATGTCTCGCCGCCATCGCTTATCTCTCCCTGACCCTGCCCCAGGATGCTTGGGTGCTTGTCGCAAGCAGTGATCCTTCCGTGTCCCCGACTTGTATGTTTTGCGGTTTATTCTCCGAGTTCTAGCCTGGTCCCTGCGTGGATGTTATAGGCGTATGTGCGCGTGGACTAATTCCCTCATTGCTAGGCGAATTGCCGGCCCTCAAAAATGACTCAACTTGGGTGAGCCGGTTCCGGAATATCGTCGATTACTTGCGGCAATACTCCAACGGCGAATGGGACTTGGATCAGAATCTCACTGGGCTGGAAAAGGCAGACAACATTGCGTATGCTCTACCCTTGGAACTAATAACGAAAAACATGCGATAGCAAGGAATACATCTAACTGATCATGACAGCTTCTCCGCCTTCCTCGAATCCCGCGCCCAATCCCTTCTCGACCTCTCCCTCTACGTCACCAGCCAGAACTACTACAACAGCACCTCCCCCTCCTACGGCGCCATCCTCCAATGGCCCAACCAATGGATCCTGCCTCCGAAAATTCATACCGCCGCGAAAGACCGCACCGAGCATCTCGGCCTCTCCTCCTTGGATCTGGACGCCATCGAAGAGCAGCGGAAACGTGAGCACTCGGCCGCCGTCGCAGCGGGCCACGTCCCCAAGAACCTCATCCCCCGGCCACGCGACACCGTCTCGTCTCTGCTGGGCAAGACATCGCAGCAGAACCAGTTCAAGCTGGAGGCGTTGACAGCGGAACTGTTCGAGCCACTGGAGGAGATTCTCGGCGACAAGAAGTACTTCCTACACATGAGCGAGGGTGGCCCGACGAGTCTGGATTGTCTGGCATTGGGGTATCTGAGTCTGGCGCTTGTGCCGGAGCTGCCCCACCCATGGTTGCGGGATGCGATGCGGAACAAGGCACCCTTCGTGACGGCGTACACGGAGCGACAGAGGCAGAAGATCTTTGGCATTGTGAACGTCGAACATGCGCTTTCGCCGAACAGTGCGAAGAGATCCTCATCGATCCTCCCCTGGCAGGTGCCGCAACGGGCCCGACTGGCTACAGTTAGCAGCACGCTGTACAACACTCTCGCCGATGCAATTCCAGTCTGGAAGGACATTCGAATGCACCGTCGCATCAAGGATGAAATTGAAGAAAACTCTGAAATCGCCGGCATTGAGCGGCGGATGTTGTCAATCGTCGCGGACACATGGACGAAGGATGTTTGGTTATCGGTTGGCACTGTGGTGGGAGGGATTGCGGCTTTGGCTGGGTACCTGGTGTGGAATTCATCGGGGGGAGAAGTAGAGTATGAGGATGGAGATGAAGATGATGAATTGCAGTTTACACTTCCCGATCAACCCATGCAGGTTGGTGATATGCTTGCGGGGCTGTAATGTATATTAGATATTCCTTTTTATCCTATCTTTATGTTTTTCTCGACATGTACAATGAATTACTGATAATATCCAGATTATTCAACAGTGTCTAGATATAGAGGCGACCAGCCAGGCACCATTCAGAATGAGTCTACGCACATTTCATACTATCTATCCCTAATTCACCCTTCCATACCAACATACCCCCTTGTATACCCCTACCCACCTACCAACAATCCAACCCGTCAATCCAATCCTATTCAACCATCCCAAACACAATCTCAGTACAGAGTACTATACACAACATAAAACCCACCCCTCACACCTCTTCTCACCTCACTAACACTACCAAAGAAACCCAAAGTATACTTTCTCCACAAACCCAAACACAGACCCAGACACAAACACAAGCTAAACAGGCCAGTCGCCAGGCAGCGAGACGGTTAGATACATAGAGTAACGCTGGACATCAGTGAACCAAGCGGGGACGCTGATGGTGACGTTGGAGACGGGAAGCTTCAGGAGTAAACTAAACTAACTAACCCCATCAGCACCTACCTAGTTGTATTGAGTTCCTGGATTAACTGTTGATGTGTTTGGTTGGTCATAATATGTTCGAGGCATTAATTAGGGGTAGATGTCCTTTCTAAGCGCGCGCGCGCGCGCGCGAGAGAGAGAGAGTGTGTGGATGTGTATGTATATGGGCGAGCGAATGACCCAATCCGAGGAAAACCTGGGAAATGAGACATGAGCGATGGATGAGATACGGTTATAGGTCCGTACCTCCAGTAAATTGGAAACAAGCAACATATCTTGTTGAGTAGACACGTAGATACGTATATCTTGAAACCTCGTGGGCCTGGATGGAGGTATGTATATACATAGTCTGTAAGAAGTACTCAGTACATCGTCTGAATTGGATAGGTATATGATTGTTGTTGTGATTCCTGAATTCATATGATGTGTTCTCAAGGGGATAGATGATGTATACATGGTCTGGTTCTAGATGCTGATCTATTTGATCCTTGGTGTTTCAACTTTATTGTTCTGTTTACTATATTTTATGTAGTACAAGCGGTCTTGGTATTTGCGTAGCGGGATAGTATCAGTGATCTAGTGTGGTGGGTGGAGTGGGTTTAATATCAACTAGTTTATGGAGATCCGTACTTGATGGGATATGGGTATTAGTGTGCCGGTTACTTAGGAAGACTAAGAGCCAAGTGTATGTATATATTAAGGATACACTGAATAATATTTACTGCAAATCAATCACCGTGGTATATGTAGGTATGTACAATCGAACGTAACAAGCATATTTCAGGGATGGTGTTGCTGTACGGTGAAAAGTATCCCTCACTGCCAGCTGCGAGCAGTCTTGCACCAAACACCCAACCCAAAGGTATCGAAGGAATATCTGAACAGGAAGAAGCAAATCAAACAAGACATCTAAGCGTAGTCGATGCTGACCTGCAGACGGACAGGACCCGCGGACACGGATCCACCGATGCCGTCGGCAGCAGCAAGGGCAGCAGTGTAGGCGTTGATGACGCTGCTGGCCGCGTTGGTGATAGTGGAGCATCCGCTGCCGGTGTGGTCGCAGATCTTCATACCCTGGATCTCCTGGCCAGCGTTCTGGGCCTGGATGGCAGACACGTCCCAGCCGGACCAGCCATCGTTGCTGGTGTTGCCAAAGTCGAATTCACCCCAGGTGCAGGAGTAACCGCCGTACTTGTCGGTGGGGAGCTTGTCACCCTTAGCAGCACCCCAGCCACCCTGGGAGTTGTCATCGAACGCCACGTAGCGAGAGGTACCGGGCTTGACGGTGAGGGTCAGAGCCGAGTGGCCGTACCAGCCGTTGAGACCACCGGTAGGACCGATCTTGTTCCAGAAGACCACGGTCCAGTCGTCCGTCTCGCTGCCGTCAATGCGGATGACGTGCTTGTACTGGCAGGCGTTGCTGGCATCGACCTCGATGATGTTGCTGCCCCAGGGGCTACCGACGTTGCCGGTGTAGTAGATGGCGTCGGTCGTACGCTTGCTCATCGTCGACGCGCCGAAGCCGGCACGAGAGTAATCGCCGTTCGACAGGGTCTGGGACCAGCTGGAGCAAGAGCCAGAAGCCGTGGCCCCGGTGGAGGCACTGGAAGAACTGGCAGCAGTAGGAACAGCCGAGGCAGAAGCGATGACGGAGGTGGCCTCAGACACCAGGGTGGCTTTGGCATCGACCGAGACCTGGGTCACAGCGGCCTCAGCCTCCACGGCGACGGTGGCAGCGAGACCGGACCACTCGTTGACCCAGGAGACCTTTTCACCGTCAATGGTAGCGACGACAACGTCACCGACGGCACGCTTATCGTTGTGGTGGTGGCGGCGCTCATGGCCGTGCAGGCGGGCGACCGTGGAGCCGGCCGCCAGCGCGGTGAGCAGGAGCATGGAATTCTTGAGCTGCATGGTGATGGAGATGGAAGAGATGAATGGTTGGATGGTGGCAGGCAAAACAGAAGGGGTATCACGGCTGTTTATCAACAAGACACGATGGATCAAAGAGAACGTGGATTGCACTGTAGTAAGGAGTGACAATGATGCCTCAACCTGAAAGCAACACACAAAGGAGCGAGGTGTGTTCAGAGGAAGGAGAGCAAAACAGTGCACAAAAGGGAGAGAGAAGGCGCAAGGATGGAAGAACGGGGGGGAGATCCGAAGAATAAAAAGCCAGCGGAAGGCCTGGCCCGGTTCCTGGATGGGCGATGGGCACCTTTCAGTCCATTCAGCGATTCTTTCCTCTGGCTGTGCGCTTTGCAACCCATTCAACCACCGCCATCCGTATCCCAGGCCCCGTAATTGGATTTCATTTAATTAAAAGGGGGGCGATCAGGGGAACACCCGCAGGTGCCGGCTCTGATTGGCTGAGAACCAGCAACGGTTCCTGAGCTTGCCGGTTGGCGCTCGGATGGGCGTCCCTCATTGGTGATAAGCCCCGCCCGGGCGGGCAGTCGAGACTCGGAATCCCTGGATGGGCCCCGCCGATCCTGTTGGCCGTGGTACCGGTACTGTACCTGGTACCTTACAGCAGCATCCGGGATGTACCATGTACCTCACTCAGAGTTCTGCATCGATAGATACTCTGCATACGCTGCAGTCTACACCGTCTCTTGAGTCCGTCGATATGTCGAAACTGGTGAAGCAGACTCGATGCATCACTCGCCAGGAGATCAGGGCTTTGCACGATGGTCGATTGATTAGATGCATGGCGTCCAGTTGGAATGCTGCCCGATCCCAAGAATCCTATGAAGTTAATCGCACTGCTTATTGATACGTCACCCTGGCAATGCGATGGACTATTACTTCTGCCTGATGGTTTACTTTGATACCGACAGGTCACGACACTTCACCTGTGAGGTCATCTCGTCTGCTCCGTATCCCGACCTGGATGCCGGGGAGCCATTGCCACGTCAAGACCCACGTCGGATGGTGACTTGATCCGACAAATTCGATGGTGTCCAGGGGATCCAGGCCAGACCGCGAGCTCGTCCCCAGTCGGCAATATCTAAGACAACTGGCCTGGTGGAAGTTAAACGGTAAGTAGTCTAGGTACTAGGGACTTTGTGGTAGGACTATGTAACGACTTAGTCGTACGGTAATTTCAGTACGAGACTCGCGACTGCAGGACCCTAAGGGTCTTTCCCCTCTGCAGTCCCTGAATGCCACGGCTAAAACCAACCCTGCCGCAGACCCTGAAAGGCCCCCAAATTCAGGGACGCGGCCACACCAACTTTGGCTCCTTTGCATGCCCATGGGCTGCATCCCCAGAGCATACCAACCGACCGGTCGGTATCGAATTCACCGGTCGTCCCATGGACCATCTGGCCAACGGGCCACTAGAGTTTAGAACCGCGACAGTCCGGTAATCTACAGCCCGTGTCCGAGTCCACCGCAACTGTCATTGCCTGTTGTTGGCCCGTGACAAGCGAGACTGGGTAACGATAGTCGGTCTTACCCACCATGGTTCTGTGTCTGCCTGGTTCTGGCCACTGACTGACTGCCTCAGCAGGTTGCTGGTCTGCTCACAGTCGGTTTCTCAAGGGTATGGCATCGTGTCATGCAATTCGGCATATCTACTTCTCCTCACGTAAATAGAGAGCGTTCCTTGGGTCTCTGTTCCATGGATGGCAGCGGAACCAGTTCTGCAGCAGAAATTGCATAAATGATAGTCCGGTCCTCCCTCGACATCAGCCGACATCCCCCCTGATGGCCTGAGCAGCTCCTTTTTGGCCTGGGGCCGTCCAAAATTAGAGCGTTGTTCCAACTTCCCAGCCCTGGATGCTGTCGATTCCTGTTGCGACTCGTCAGCTTCATTTTGGGCCGATGATCCGGGCTGACTCAGCACCTCCTGGCCGGTCCCGTGTCAGCTGATTCTCCAGGATGCTCACCCACTTCTCACGCCAACGTTATGGTTGCCAACAGGCAGATGACTGTGCTTTCCATGTGCTGAACAGATAATTTGATTCTATTTACAGATACATGCTGTAACCTTCATCAGGTTACCAAGTCGATACGGACTAATCCCACTACTGCAGATCCACCCCTCCCTCAAAGGCCGCTCCCCCCGCCTGCGCATCGACCTTCATGCTCTCATCCAGCCCGCACACGCGGAAGAGCATCTGTGGTGTCATTTCCTTGTCCAGCCCCGGGATCCCGTCCTTCTTCAGCTTCTCCATCGCTTCGCGCATCGCGGCACAGGCAGGTCCCAACGCCGCAAATGGAAAGATGATGATCCGGAAGCCCATCTCCTTGGCCTCCGCTGCTGAGATCGACGGTGTGGCTCCATGCTCCACCATGTTCAACAACAACGGCCACGGTGCCAGATCCTGGACCACTTGGCGCGCCATTTCCCGGGACGTGATGCCCTCCAGGAATCCCACATCCGCGCCGGCATCGCGTGCGGCCCGCAGTCGAGCCACACTCTCTTCATAGCCGTGGGTCTGAAGGGAATCCGTCCGAGCAATCACAACGATGTCGCTACCAATCCGCTGTCGTGCCTGCACCGCCGCCCGGATGCGCGTCACGTAGGTATCTTTGTCTACGAGGATCTTGCCGGCCAAATGTCCGCAGCGCTTTGTCTGCACCTGGTCCTCCAGATGGAAGGCGGCTACTCCGGACCGCGAGTATTGCTCGGTTGTGCGCGCGACCATGATGGGGCCGCCGTAGCCGGTGTCTGCATCGGCAATCACGGGAGTGCTAGGGGAGATGTTGGAGATCATTTCGGCGTTGGTGCGCATGTCGTTGAGGGTGCAGATGCCCAAGTCCGCTTGGCCATGGACCGAGGCAGCGGTACCGGCGCCGGTCTGTGGGAGGAATAAGTTGGTTAGCCAGCGTGCCAGGTGACATTGCCGGCAGGTGACATTCGCCACTTACCATGTACAGAGCGTCGAAGCCCACGGAGAGGGCGATGCGGGCCGAGAGTCCATCGTAGACGCCCGGGGCGACGACGAACGACTTGGGGTCTTCAAGAGCCCGTCGAAGGGTGGTGGCAGCAGTTATCATTGGCATGATGTTGGATTGCACAGGCGCAGATGCCGGTCAATATTAGAGGGTTGTACTGGGGTTCGCGATGACGTCGAGACTCGCTGATGTCGACGGGGGATGGTGTTGGCTTTATAGGCTTGGAATTGCGTAGATCCACCACTATCGCCTCACGCAGGCTGTTGACTAGTATCTTGCTTGAGACCCAGACATTCTCCTCTTCCCCACAGGTCTACGTTAACGAAGAATTTCAAGGAGAGCCATGGCAGCCAACCGACATCGGCGGAGGTTAGGTAATCGCTCGGGGATGGTTCGGGATTTGCTCATGACTCGTAGTAGTCGATCCTGTCCGGGCAGTTGATCATCCTGTGTCGGTTGTTGCTGAATAACACGGTGGTGCATGGATTGATTGTATAGACACTCAGTTGCGACCTTGAATCTCCGGTGCAGGCAAGCAGGATCGAGCCCGCGGCCGAGCAGCGCAGGTGATCGTCGGCTTTTTCTGCCGAACTCCAACCTGCAACTCTTCTTCGTCTTCGTCTCCCCGCCACGTCCTTTCGCCTCCACATCTTCCCGCGTACGCAAGCATGATCTGAACTCAGAAGCATCCCTCTTACCGCCAGTCGACCCTCATCTTCCCCCCCGACCATCCCTCGAGATCCGTCCCCATGGCGCGCTCCGCCATTGTCCAAGAATACGCCGCTCCGACCTCCGCGCCCACCTTCTCCGACGACCGCAAAGTCATCCACGAGCGCCAACAGAATAGCATCGCTCGTCCCAATGGCTACCGCGTCTCCTGGCACGCCAACCCCGCCGTCGAACCACACCACTTCGGCCAGTCACATCCTATGAAGCCATGGCGGTTGACCCTCACCAAGCAGCTGGTCATGGCCTACGGCATGCACCATGCGATGGACCTCTACCTGGCGCGCGCAGCCACCTACGAAGAGCTCGCCGAATTTCACAAATCCGACTACCTCGATTTCCTGCAGCAGGTGATGCCCGGTGATATGGAGAATCCTGATCAAACCGAGAACATCGCGCGCTTCAACTTTGGCGACGACTGCCCCATCTTCGACGGTCTCTACAACTACTGCTCCCTCTACGCCGGCGGCACCATCGACGCAGCCCGCAAGCTCTGCAACAACCAGTCGGAGATCGCAATCAACTGGTCCGGTGGCCTGCATCACGCCAAAAAGTCCGAAGCCAGCGGGTTCTGCTACATCAATGACATCGTTCTCGGCATCCTGCAGCTCCTCCGCCTCCACCCGCGCGTCATGTACATTGACATTGACGTCCACCACGGCGACGGCGTCGAGCAAGCCTTCTGGTCCACCGATCGCGTCCTGACCGTCTCCTTCCACAAGTACGACAAGGACAATTTCTTCCCCGGCACCGGTGCACTCGACAGCACGGGGCCGACACACCCACTCAACCCGGGCGCCCACCACTCCGTCAACGTTCCCCTCCACGACGGTATCGACGACGAATCCTACATCCAGCTCTTCCGCGACGTGGTCGGCTCTTGCGTCGACGTCTACCGCCCCGGTGCCATTGTCCTCCAATGCGGTGCCGACTCCCTCGGTTGCGACCGTCTGGGCTGCTTCAATCTCAACGTCGCCGCCCACGGCGCCTGCGTCGCCTACGTCAAAACCTTCAACCTCCCTCTCCTCGTCGTCGGTGGTGGCGGCTACACCCCACGCAACGTCTCCCGCGCCTGGGCTCACGAGACCTCGATCCTCATCGACGCGCAGGACGTGATTGATCCTCACATCCCGGAAACCGTCACCTTCCGCAACCACTTCGGCCCCGACTTCTCCCTCTTCCCGCCACTCTCCGAAATGCGCAAGCTCGAGAACAAGAACCCCCGCACGTACCTAGCCGGCCTCGTGCAATCCATCCGCGAACAACTCCGATACATCCAAGGCGCTCCCAGCGTACAAATGAGCTTCATCCCGCCCGATATTCTCGGTCTCCGCGAAGACACAGAGAAAGAAATCGAAGAGGAAACCGCCATGATGGACGAAGAGCGCGAAGAACGCACCGGCGGAGGTAGTCTCGGGAAAGCAAGTCGCAGGAGAGATTTAGAGCGGGGAGCCGGCCAACGAGCAGAATTCTATTGACCCCCTCCTCTTTCTTCTTTCCTTGATCTTCCTTTCCCTTTCATTGTGAGCTACACGAATCATTTCAGGAGTTGGTCGGTGGTTGGATCTATCAGGCTGGATGGCGTTCATGTTCATATTCATGTTAGGGTTCTGTCTCTCGTAGTTCCATTGTTGTTTCTGAGATGGGGAAGTACATATACAATACCTTCCTAATCCTAGACTAGAAGGATAGGACAATCTTATACCCTTATCCTACACGATACTCTACTTTAAATCCTATGACCGACCCTATAAATACCCACCTGTCCCACACACACACTCTCTTTATCATATCGGCTTTTTTTTTCGAGATCCTAAATAACTACTACCCAGGAAAGAGGCCAGGGTTTAGAATGTGTGAATGGGTTGAGGGATCTGTTCAATTGCTTACTTTAGGCTCGCTCGTTTGGGGTTGGGGCTGCGGTTGGGGTTATCAACATATGAATTGCTATTGTTCCGTTGCTTTCTTGATATTCATCTATCTTTTTTCTTCTTCTTCTTCCTTTTTTTTTTTTTTTTTTTTTTTTTTTTGAGGGGCGGGGGGGAGCAGAAATGGTATGGTATGGTATGTATGGTATGGGATGAGGATGGAGATGGAGATGGAGGGGTCGTTCTTGTATAGATAGTGACCTATTTACTGTGGACGGAGTACTACTACTTGCTTGATGGGCGGAGGTGGGATTGGATCGGGGGTGGGTGGTTATGGGACTTATTTACGGGTGGGTAGGATAGGTAGGATAGAATAGTTGGGTGAGGAATGATCAGATGAAAGCATCCGATTACGGATGAATATTATTGGATGAATCTAACAGATCTAATAAATCTGAAATCAAAGCCAAGCTAACGTCCACAAAGCTGGCAAATGAGGCCATTTCTCCTGCCACTCGGCGAGGATCTCCGGCACGCGGGCATCAAAGTTCCGTCTGGCTTCGCCCATTCCGTTCTCCCAGCCTTCGGAACCAGTGGCCTTCCTCTCCAGGGAGGCGGCTTCGTTCAACCGGTTCGCTAGCTCCAGGATTGCCTTGCCGCCGACCAAGGCTTCCTCGTGGTTATCCTTAATATCCACATTAAAGACATGCACGGGCCGGTTCAGTGGGGAACCCTTGTTCATGAGATCGTCCACCACGGCATCCCAGCACCGCTCCTCGCAGGTGATGATCACGTCGACGACGCCGCCTTCCGTGCCCAGGGCGCCCTTGTCGCCCTTGGAGACGTGGTCGACCCGCGGCTGACCCGGTACCCAGTCCTGGAAGCGCTCCGGGCCCCATTTCAGGTTGCGGTTGCGTTCGAGCATGTTCAGGAGGCCGTTGTTGCGGTACAGACGCTCGTCTTTGGAGTAGAGCTCATCGTACATTTGTGAGTACGAGGTGGTGTTGAAGTTGTAGACGTTGGGTTGGGTGATGGAGGGCCCTGGGAGCCGGACGAGGGAGCCGGTCCCGAAGGAGATCACGGGGAAGGGGCTGGGGGCTGTGGAGAGACGGAGGTGCGCTTCCATGGAGCGGTTCTGGTTGGAAGCGCAGACGGTGCAGAAACGGAGTTTGTAGGACTCCGAATCTGGGGTGGGGGTGGCCTCGTTGGAGGGGGCGGGTTGAGGTTGTTGGGTCCTCATGGTTTCCGGGGGTGGTGGCGGAGGGGGAGGAGGGGAAGGAGTGGTCGCAGTGCCTGCACTGGGGAGTCGGGGATCGTAGGCCATTATGGAGATGTGACCGGAGTCGATGCGGTGAGGTGGTGGGGAGATCGTGAATTGAGTTTGGTGTGGTTTGGGGGGAAATCAAGGAGGCTGAAAGGTGTGTTCGCTTGGGTCCTGTGATGACTACTGACAATTAGAATCGGTGGCAGACGCGACGAGAAACAATGGCAGTGACACAAGCTGTGGTGACAGGGGCAGATTCAGATTGAATGCGTATGTAATTAGGTTTGTCCGCATAATGTGCTCGGACAGCTCCAATATATAGAAGAATTCATCATGCTGCAGGGGAGGGCGGGCTGGAAGCTGGCAGATAGTCGATACATACCTTGGACGAGCCTCGCATCATCTGCAATTCAATAATTACGGGTGGTCTACTGGTGTGGCTGGACGGGTTTGATGAAGGGCCGCAGCCCTGAGGTGACAAAGTGAAGAAGTTTGCCTCGCCGGTTTTCGCGCCGGTTTTGTGGTCATGTGTGCTGACTCAGCCGCCTGCTGCTACGCCCGATTCGGACAGCTTCAACAGCTCGATGCGATGTTTCCAGTGGGAATCGGCCTATTCGGTCGTGTTCCTGGTCTGTCGTGTTCAATGCCCTGCAGCTGTCTTATTGGATTGGCTTGCATTCTTCAGCCGAGAATTAACATGCGGCTCTCTTCACGCCATCCTTGCAAGATGCACGCCCATCGAGCGGGGTCTAAGGCTAGCCCGGCGATATGATACGACAATAGGTACCTACATTTCTTCTCGTTTCCTCAACCCAGCTGACTGGTTATCTAGTAGTCGACTGGCCTGCATACAACTATCCTAGTCTGAGACCGTCACCGACATAATCGAACACTCAAATCCAACAGCTGCAACACTTGAACCATCCAGCTAACGCCATCCAAAATGAAAGCCGCTTTGATCGTCGTGGACATGCAAGAGGACTTTTGCCCTCCCGTCAGTCATCCCTCAACCTATTATACAATGCTCTACTAACAACCCCAGAACGGTTCCCTCGCCGTGCAAGAAGCCCGCGACCTAGCCCCAACCATCAACACCCTCCTCGCCCACCCGGGCTTCACCCTCCGAATCGCCTCCCAAGACAGCCACCCCGCCAACCACATCTCATTCGCGCCCAACCACCCCGCCCCCAACAACCGGCCCTTCGAATGCCACATCGAAATGGCCAACCCGGCCCCAGGCAAGGAATCAGAAACCAAACCCCAACGCCTCTGGCCCATCCACTGCGTCGCCGGCACCAAGGGCGCGGAAATCATCCCGGAAATCGACACCGCGAACATCGATCTCTACGTACAAAAGGGCATGGATGCCCGGGTGGAAATGTACTCGGCGTTTGCGGATGCGTTTGGGAATCTCGATGCGGAGGTGAATCGGTCGTCGGTGGATGTGCATCTTAAGGGGGTTTTGGAGGAAAGGGGCATTACGGATGTGTTTGTTGTCGGGGTGGCGGGGGATTATTGTGTCAAGTTTACGGCGGTTGATGCGGCTAGGGCGGGTTTGAGGAGTTATTTGGTCGAGGATGCGGTGCGGTGTGTTGATCCCGGGTTGGGGTGGGAGGAGGCGAAGAGGGAGTTGAGTGAGGCTGGGGTGAGGGTCGTGAGGTCGGATGGGCCGGAGGTTGCGGGGTTGGTTGGGTCGGTGTAGTGATGTTTATAGAGGTTGGAGTGTGTAGGTTATGAATCGGGGGATGTGATTGTGGCGGCTGTATGACATACTTGACGTGCATATGTACATGCTGTTGTGACAGTACGGTGTACGGAGTGCATCGTCGTAGGGACTTGGCTACTGTGTAGGTAGAGACCAGGATGTGCTAGTCCGAGTGGATCACCGCCACATGGCCTATAAGTACAGTGTTATAGGGGAACTCTGGAAGGATGGTAGTTCGGGATTGCTAGGGATGCGTTCTTGCTTTGTTGAAGGACGACCGTGGATAGCGACACAGCCAACCCTGGCAGGGATATGACAGGGCTCCACAGTGGAGTTGCGGACGTTGAAACGGTCTTAGATCATCGGTTCTCGACCAGATCGAAGAGACAGAGACCACAGGATAACTAGCAGTGTTTATACATAGTAAAAATCCCTAGGAATCCTCCTGGTCGCCTACTTATTGTTTCCCCTCTCCTTAATAACATGACCCGTCAATCCCTTCTGGAATGGGTAGCGGGGCCTGGCTGACTTCCAATAATCAATAATGCATCGCCACCGCATCCAGAATCGGTCAGCGTGATATCAGCTCTCCCTTGGTAATCTGGACAGCTGGATCGGTTGCTTCTCTCTGCTTCTCTCCTCTCTCACCTTTGTCTTACCTACGGGTTATAAACTAGATGTCCGACACTCAATAAACTCGCCGTCTTTAGAATCTAGTCTGCCTTTCTTCCGTCCATCCGGTCGCCATGTCGTCCACCACTGCCACCTTACGACCATTTCACGAGACGTTTACTTCTCCGGAGGTAAAGACCTCTGCTGCCCTCCTACGCTCAGCGACCAGTCTCCCCTCCAAGTCCCTATCGTACTGGCTCGTCAACGTACCCCCTTACCAATGGACCGCAGAATGTCCCGGCTTCCTACGCGACACCTCGCAGAAGAACATCGAAATTCTCTCGACCCCTGACGAGCAATATCGGAGACAGGGGTGGGAGCTAGTCAAAGACATCGTCCGTATGTGGGTTGGAGCCGTGCGTTAGGGGGTGGGGACCCGAAGTGGTGTGCTAACGGCGATGACAGGGACCAACCAGATTGATCGGTTTCAGCGTCTCCCCAGCGATCTGAGGAGGTATCTCGAGTACAAGGAGTATATTATCGCGGAGTATGGGTCGATTATGCGGTTCGTGGTGAAGGAACGACTGCGCTGGGGTGAGGGAACGGTCGAGGATTTGAAGCCGAAGGGGCGGCCATTTGAATATGCCGGTTCGTTCGATCGCACCTGCTCTGTTCGTTATTGTTGCGATGAGATGTGTTCTAAGCAAGCTGTCACGTAGAGGACATGCGAATTCTGTTCAATGACTGGCCGTACGGGGTCGAGGACGGCATTGTGCATTTGGTGATATGGACCAAGTTCGAGCTGGAGGATGACCCGGCCACGGATGACTTGACGCCACGCGCGCGCCAGGAGATCGAGGAGTATGTGCAACGGACGTTTTGCTCACGGATGCCGGCCGACCAGGTATGTGTGTTCGCTGTCCACAGAGAAGATTGGCTCTGGGGGAGGAAGAATGTGGGGGACATTGCTTTTGCTGGCGCTAATGTGGGCGCAGGTCATCTGGTTCAAAAACTGGAAGTCATTGAAGTCGGTGCATGCCGTGGAGCATTTCCATGTCATGCTCCATCATCCCGATGCGGAATTTCTGAGGGAGATCACAGGTGGCGATGCGCCGCTGAAAAGACAGTCGGCGTGATTGAGCTCGCGATGTAGATAGATGCGGATGGGGCCTAAGACTAGGATCTAAAGATTAATACCAGCCATCATAATAGAGAATCATCGAGAGCGATCGTCGGCGCTGCTGACTTGATGGGCCCATGATTTGCGTAGTACGTATTCGTATCGCTTGTCATCTGTCATCCCCACCGCCAAGCCTGGTGCCCCTCAGGATCGGGCGTTCCTCAGCGAGGGGTTGTTCAGCAAAGGGAATGAGCATGAGACCAGCGAGCAGAGTCTGTATATAAGTCCGCTGGAAGATGTTGTGTCACTGTGATGGATGGGGGGAATGGCTCCGGGAGAGCAGCGCAGGGGAAGAAGAGGGAGCTGGGAATCAAGGCAGTCCCATCAACGTCATTCATCGTCCATCCAGATCGGCCAGACACACCGTCTCTTGTGGCCACCAGCAATATTTATTGCACGGGGAGCCCCGGCACCGCTGGTCGCTCTGTTGCGCATTGGTGGTGGTTTCTCGCGAATTTGATCCTGACACTTCCGAATACGACCTGGCTGAAATTATTTGTGGTTGTTTTGACTATTATTATTCACATCCATCGCTTGGTCGCTTGATTAAAATTTAATTAAGTCCACGATAATAAAAGAAACTGAAAAAAAAAGGGATCAGGACCCTAGAGGAAATTTCCCAGGCACCGACACGCCCAAAGCGACACCAGATACGAGTCCTACCCAAGTACCAGTCCGAACTCTCCGGTTGCATCAGTTGCTTCAATCCCTCGCCTAGATCTTTAAGCAGGAGAAAAGACAGGAACCACGGAACAGCATGCCCATCTCCGTCCCGCACATCCGCCATCGCTCGTCACTTTCCAGTGAGTAGTTAGTGTTTGCGTGGTGAACTCTGCTGCCGTCATCTTGTTACTCGTCCTGTGCTGCTCCTCCCACGTCATCCTGCGGCGGCCTCTACTTCTGCTGCTGCTGCCTCACTCCGTCCTTTTTTTCCCTCTTCCCCTCCTCTGCCTTCCACCGGCTTGCTTCCCACCCCATCCGCGCATCTCTTCTGCCACCATCATGTCCGCTGACTGGGGCTCGTTTTTCCATTCTTCAGGTAATCGTTCACACGATGAACCCAAGGCTGAGCCCGTGAGCGGGGACGACGAGGTCGTCGAGCCCGACCAGGGAAATGGTATGTAGTCCACCTGGACATCCCAACGACGACTGAAGGGAAATCACACCTACGTCGGCAACCCTGCAAATAATCATCTCAAAATTGTTCACGCCTGCTAACCGTTGCAGTCCTCTCCCACATCATCTCCCAGCTCCGACCGGGGGCTGACCTCAGTCGGGTCGTCCTGCCCACCTTCATCCTGGAGCCCCGATCCATGCTCGAGCGCATCACCAAGTATGTCAGAACACCTGCGGCGCCAAGAAGTAGCGACTAATCTATTTTCTTTGCATTCAGCTTCATGGCGCACCCTGAGACCTTGCTTCCTATGCCCACCATCGATGATCCCCTCGAACGATTCGTCTCCGTCGTCAAATTTTATCTGAGCGGATGGCACATCAAACCTCCGTATGTTCTCATACATTCTGAATGATTCGCTGTCGCTGGTTCCGGTCTCGCTGACATCTTCCGCAGAGGAGTGAAGAAGCCGCTGAACCCGATCCTTGGAGAGACCTTCACCTGCTACTGGGACTATCCCGATGGCACCCGCGGATACTACATTTCCGAGCAGACCTCTCACCACCCGCCCAAGTCCAGCTATTTCTTCATGGCACCTGAGCACAACATTCGGATAGATGGCACCCTGAAGCCCCGCAGTAAGTTCCTTGGGAACTCGGCCGCCAGTATGATGGAGGGTATTGCTATTCTGCGGTTCTTGAACCGTGGGGAGGACAAGGAGAAGGGCGAAAGATAGTATGTGGATCTCTATGCGCACGATTATGACAACGCTAATACGGCTTAGCATTCTGACGCAACCGAACATGTACGCCCGCGGCATCCTTTTCGGAAAGATGAAGTACGAGCTCGGCGACCACAGCTATGTGCGGTGCCCGGAGAACAACCTCGTTGCGGATATTGAGTTCAAGACCAAGGGTTACTTCTCTGGCACGTATAACGCTATTGGTGGAACCATCAAGAACGAAAAGACGGGAGAGGTCTACTACGAGCTGTCTGGTCTCTGGAACGGTGAAATGCACATCAAGGATGTCCATGTAGGTGTGATCCACCGTACGAAAAGCCATGTCCTAACAGGAACAGACCCACAAGAAGGATCTCCTCTTCAACGCCACGAGCGCGAAGCATACCCCTCCTTCCAGCAGGCCCATTGAGCAGCAGGGCGAGCGCGAGTCGCAGCGTCTGTGGCACAACACCGTGAAGGCCATCATTGCGCGCAACCACGAGGCGGCTACGGACGAGAAGACGAAGATCGAGGACCGCCAACGAGAGGAAGCAGCGAAGCGGGCCGATGAAGGCGTCGAGTGGCACCCCCGCCTCTTCCGACGGGTGCAGGGCGGGCCCAACGGCCCGGACGAGGGAGAAGAGGATCTGGACTGGATCATTAATGCTCAAGTGTAAGTTGCTCGGTGAAAGCTGTATTCCGCATGGAGCTAACCGGACCCAGCGATTCGCATAACCCCGAGGTCGCCATCAAGCAGATTCTATCCATTGCCCCTATTCTCGAAGGTCAGAGCGAGCCCTCCCAGTTCCAGATTCCCGCGCATAAACCCAAGGATTCCGTTACGACATCCGAACCGGCCAACGGCGCTGACTCCGTCCCGAGTCAGACTAGGAAGGAAGTGGAAGAGGCAGTCGAGCGGAAAGACTCGCGGACGTCGGATGTCGATGCCTATGTCGATGCCAAGGAGAACTAGGCAGCCTGCTTCGGTGATTCCAGTCGGCATTGCCATGTCAACACTGGATCTTCGGAAGATATAATGGCTAGGCACCTGGTAAAGGCAAATAGAAGTGAAACATAAATTAGAAAACAGGAAACAAAGGTAGGGCGAGCCGTGATTTGGATCAGCATGGTTGACCTGACATGCTCGAGGTCATGGCGAGCAACGAGTCCGGCCAACCACAACCTTGGAGACATACCCAAATGCCCACCATTTCCATCAGATCGATTACACTGGATACCCGATTGATTTTATATTCAAGGAACATGCGACAAAAGTTGAAAGAGGGACAAGACAGGATATGGAAAAGTGGCGGGGTGCGCGATGCTATTTGATATATGGGATACATATCATCATCATGTACCCTGACGTGGATGGGCACTGATACAGCTAGCGTTTAGGTGATTGATTTTTAGCATTAATATAGACTATGGTTGTGGATAATACATAATATTGACTTGATGTAGCGGCGAATCCCTTTCTTGCCAACGCCATCCAATGGTGTCTGGCACGAACATGGCCAATTCTATCACATAATGTCTGTTGTAGTCAAGAATGATCCGACTGGCCCAAGTCCAAGCTGTACCCGGATAGCCAGCCCAATAGCCTTTCTACTTGTGGAAAATGCACAGTCCATTGAGCGGTTCGCTCTATACTAAGGTGCATAAGTACCAAGTCGGAGACTTGGGCATCGGGCCATGTAAAATTAGCTCTCAGCCTCGCAGTAGTTGAGCGTTAGTAGAACTGTTGGCCAATCACCTCGGCATGAAGCCCGACGGTTTCCGACGGAAGGCTCCCTATGCGTCTTTCAACGTTGTCATTTCTAATTGTGTACCTACATAGTAAATGTAGTCCAGGGCTTGAGAAGAGTGATATACACGTTGAGCCACCGTAGCAAGACCTTCACTAACGTTGAGATAGAAGATTGGCCTTTTTTGAACTGCGAAGGACAGGTCTGGTAACCTTGTAATATCTGGAATCTAGGCTAGACAGGGATCCAGCCCTGGCTAAAGTAGTAGAACCTAATTAGCTACTCTATCCTAACGCGATCTAGACCTTCAATAACGACCTTCACGGTGATTGGCAGTTGCCTGGGGAAGTCCAGAGTCCAGATAACAAACGCGCAGCTGGTTATCAATGGCTTCACGACCATCCACTACGTAACTTAGCGCATCTAATCCTTGTCACCCCCATATAATCCCCTTATTTCCCATCTATTGGAGCATCCTTTCTCCTGACTGTCCCTGTTGCTTCATGCATTGCTTGAAATGACATGGATTCAATCAATAAATCAGAGGCCTGCATTCTTGCAGATGACCACTTTGGTCCCCAGGTCCAGGTCCGCTGCCGCAGTTTTGATTTCACCGTCACCTTTGAGCAAAGCATTCTGTCTATACTTCCTTCAGTGCTATTCATTGCTTCAGCTGCTTTTAGGATCGCTCTTCTTTACAAAGCGAGGCCTAAAGTCAGTGCGAGACTATCGCAACACTTGAAGCTGGTCAGTACCATACAACCTTGTTTTCTGGATAATCCAACTGACTCTTTTAGTCTCTGGGTATAGTTTTCGGCCTCCTGCAACTGACCCTTCTGGTACTTTACATTCTACCGCAAGATAACAATCAGCAGCCACTGGCAATCGCATCCTTGGCTCTATCGGTGACAGATGCGGCATTCCTCTGTGCGCTCTCGTACTTTGAGCACGCAAAGGCGATTGGACCGTCGACTGTGTTGCTCACTTATCTTTTCCTGTCGGCCTTGCTCGATGCGACTCGGCTTCGAACTCTGTGGCTGCTTGGTGATGGCGGGTTGCCATTCAAAGCGATTTCGTCTACCAGTCTAGCGGTCAAATTGGCGATTCTCTTTATCGAATCGCGAGGAAAGACGAAACACTTTCTCGATGCAAAAGACACTAGTCGGTCTCCTGAAGAGACGGGAGGAATCTTCACCAATGGCTTGTTCTTGTGGACTAACCCGCTACTTTTGAGAGGATTCAAGAAAGTGCTCTCTTTAAGTGACCTCTATCATCTACCACAGAACTGTGTGGTTATTGGGCAAGACCAAAGCTTCAGGGAGGCGTTTGAAAAGAGCCAGGTTAAGCGGTATAGGCTTGTGAGAGCTGCTTTGAAGATCTTCAAGTATCAGCTAATGTGGCCGGCTATTCCCCGACTGTTCCTTCTTTTATTCACCTTGCTCCAGCCAATTTTGATGCTGAGGCTACTTCGATGGCTAGAGCAAACATCTCATCGTGATCACGACATTGGCTACGGTATTCTAGGCGCCTATGTTATGGTGTATGTTGGTTTGGCGGTCGCTACTGGGTCATATTGGCGGCTGCAGCTACGATTCATCACACTGCTCCGAGGAACTTTGATTTCAGCGATATATCAGAAGACACTCACGCTGAACGATGCGGATGCAAAGAAGGCTACGGTATCCTTGATGAGCACCGATGTGGAGATGGCATGCAACGGATTAGAGCAGGTACATGAGATTTACTTCAGCCTGTTGCAGATCGGCATAGCAACTTGGCTCTTGGAGCGGCAAGTCGGAGTGGCGTGCGTGTCGCCTGCTATCGTGGCAGCAGCTTGTGCTATTGCCACCTATAAGCTCTCACAACGTGTTGGTAAAAGCCAGAAGGCATGGCTGGAGGGTGTGCAGCAACGGCTGAGTAAGTATACCACTTGAATGGTGGGACAGTCGCTGATATTCTTCTCAATTGCTTTCTCCACATCGTGTTCAATAGATGGTCAAGCTGGCCCTTTCTCTAGGGTAGATCATCTATTGAACGTGTCTTGGAGAGAGCATGAGAAATCTCTACAGATGCTACTTCATCGGTCTTGTCAAACATGAAAACCGTGCAAATGTCCGGGTTCGCAAAGAACCTTTTCAAGAGAATTTACGATCTCCGAGATGCTGAACTCAATTATGCGTCGAAATACCGTACGATCCTTGTGTGGGTTATGGGTTTGGGTAGGTATGGTCCATATCATCAAGGGTTTGATCTGACCTCCATACACAGCATACGCTCCTTCGGCAATATCGCCAGTTGTTACCTTGACAATCTACGCTGCCATACGATCTGACACCTGGAGTGCATCAAGTGCATCTCACATATATACTGCAATTTCGTTGATAGGCCTCATATCCTCACCTCTCGTTGCTGTCTTCCAACAGGTGCCTATGGTTGTAGCGGCGTTAAGCTGCTTGGACCGAGTCGAAAAGTTCCTCGCACTTCCAAGCCACAAAGATTACCAAGATTCAGCCAGTCTACATGTGTCCCAGATCGAATCGAAAAAGCAGGCTACAGAATCCATCACCGTTTTGCCAGATCAGAATGCTGTAACCATCCACAACGCAGACTTCTCGTACCCTGATTCTTCGTCCACCGTACTTCAGGACATCGCTGTGAACATCCCACGGTCACAGCTCACTCTGATCATGGGACCCGTTGGCAGTGGAAAATCCGCATTCTTGCGAGCCATAATCGGTGAAATGAACTTGCTTACAGGCAGTTTTCAAAGGGACATTCAGAACTGTGCCTATTGCGACCAGTCTTCCTGGCTTCAAAACGAGACCATCCAGAACAACATCATTGGTCCCAGTCAAGACTTTGACAGTGAACTCTACAAGAAAGCAATATGGGCCTGCGACTTGGACCACGACTTGAGCGAGATTCCAGAACAGGACCAAGCGAAGGTTGGAAGCAACGGAGTCTCACTGAGTGGGGGACAGAAGCAGAGAATTGTAAGCAGTCATTACCTCTTAATATAGGTATATCATCTGACATCGTTGTTGCAGTCCCTGGCCAGAGCGGCATATGCTCGCAAAGAACTTATTGTCTTGGATGATAGTTTCAGTGCCCTTGATCCGCGGACAGAGGAGAATGTGACACAGCGTCTTCTCAGACCCAATGGCCTGATGCGAGCGAATGGTCAGACCGTGATTGTTGCTTCTAGCAGAGGTAAGTAATGGTTAGAAGCGATGATTCAATGATTGACACATGCTATTTTAGAAGGACTATTGCCGTACGCGGATTTTATTATTCTGCTCAACGACGATGGCAGGATTCAAGCCCAGGGGTCTCCAGAAGAGATGGCACCGCTTTTCACTACTCGAAAGAAGGGAATCAACTTTGAAGATGAATGTTGTGTCACCGATCAAATAACACCGTCCACCCCCGACTCATCCTCTCAGAAGCATGAAAAGCGTACTGAAAAGAAGGAAGACAAACCCGAACTTCCAACCATTTCGGTATACCTTTCTTATTTTCGATCAATGGGCCTCTGGCGGGGACTAGTCCTATGTGCTTTCCTAAGCCTCCAGACATTCTTCTCCAAGTTCCCAAGTACGTCCGTCCCAAAGCCGAGGAGAATGATGACTTACAGAACATCTAGCTGTATGGCTTCAATGGTGGCTGGACGGGGATCCATCCACTATGGGCGGTTCATATGCCAAGTATATCGGGATCTACAGTTTCTTCCAAGGCGCGGCCATGATCTTCACCCTTCTCGCTGCTTTGTAAGACACATTCTAGCCTTGTCATGTTCACCACTGATCGAGATATAGTCAGCAACTGCGCGTCGTCATGCCAAGAACAAGTCGGTATTTTCATACTCGGCTCTTGAAAGCAACTATAAGGTGAGCTAGACACACTTGGATATGTCAATGGATTGATACTAATGTTGTAGGTTGCCCATGCCTGCTTTTAGCTTGATAGATACGGGGTCGATTATGAACAGGTGCGTGAGCTGTACTTCACTGTTAGAGAATGGGGTTAACAGACAGTTCAGGTTCAGCCAAGACATGCAATTGATCGATTGGAACTTGCCAGTGACGTTTTTGAATGCCTCAGAGGGTATCCTGTCTCTGTCTGTATGACATAGCTTGACTATCTAACCCTATCCTCTTACAGGCGCTCTCGGGACCCTAGCTCAAGTCATCATCGTCGCAAGGTAAGTATACCATATGATATCCTAACAAAGTCTTAACATATCCAGTTCCTTTCCCTACATCTTCATTGCCTTCCCAATCCTCTACACCCTCGTCTTCGCCATCCAACGATTCTACCTTTGCACCTCACGCCAAGTACGCGCCATGGACATTGAAGCCAAGAGCCCTCTACTGTACGTCCCCCCATCCAATCCCCAACAACCATCTAAATCCAACACCAACACAACCCACAGCACGCACTTCCTCGAAACCATCACCGGCCTACACACCATCCGCGCCTACAACTGGCAACAGACCCACCAAACCACCTACACCACTCTCCTCAGCGCCTCCCAACGCCCCTACTACCAACGCTTCATGATCCAACGCTGGCTCAACCTCGTCCTCGACATGGTCTCCGCCGGCGTGGCCATCCTGGTCGTCAGCCTCGCAATCACCCTCCCCACCCGCTCCTCACTCGTCGGTCTCGCTTTGGTGAACGTTATATCCCTGAATGAAACCCTCCAACTACTCATCCTGCAATGGGCGGTGATGGAGATTTCCCTTGGATCGATAACTCGTCTAGAGGAGTTTACCGTCCACGCCAAAACCAACGCCGAGAAGACTCCCAACCCAACTTCCCAAACTACAACTACACCCACAGCCATACCCACAGCATGGCCCACCCAGGGCACAATCGAATACAAAGCCCTCACAGCACGCCACCACCCCTCCGGCCCGGACGTACTCAAAAACATCACCCTCACCATTCCCGCAGGCAGCAAAGTAGGGATCTGTGGCCGGACCGGTAGCGGGAAAAGTAGTCTCATTTCAGCCTTATTCCAGATGATCGACATCACGAAGGGATCTATCCTCATCGATGGAATCGATACCGCAACACTAGACCCGGAAGTCGTTCGAGAGCAAGTAATCGGCATATCCCAGCAAAGTTACACCATCCCGGGTGTTTCGCTTCGGGAGAATTTACTCTTAGGCTGTCCTGACCTAGATGAAGAAGGGTTAAATAACAACGACTCACACCTCATCACCGCCCTAACCAAAGTCCACCTCTGGCCCACAATCACCACCCACGGACACAATCTCTCCTCCATCCTCAACAAAGACCTCACCCTATCAGCAGGCCAAACGCAACTCCTCTCTCTTGCGCGCGCGCTCTTACGGCCCGGGAAGATCGTGGTGCTGGATGAGCCGGGGAGTTCTCTTCCTGCGGAGATGGCGAAGTTGGTGCACAGGGTTGTGGTGGAGGAGTTTCGGGATCGGACGGTGCTGGTGGTTATGCATCGGGTGGAGAGGCTTTTGGGGTTTGATTTGGTGGTGGGGATGGAGGATGGGGGGGTGGGGGAGGTGGGGAGGCCGGGGGTGTTAGTGGGGAGGGAGGGGGGCCTGTTGGGGGGGTTGGTGGGTGTGAGTGCTGGGGTTTGAGATGAGAGTGTGGTGGAGTTGGGTTGGGGGGTGGTGGGGATAATGGTAGTTCATCTCTTGCTGCATCCAACTTCAAAGTCATGGGTATTGGTTGATAGGGGGTTATACTGGTTGAGAGAATCGAATATAAGATAAGACTGGAGGGTATCATTCGTACTCTTGGTATAGGTAGGTAGTAGTGGGTATATATGTCATAACCAATGTCCGATCCAGATCGATGCGGTATACTATAAAGTAGAAAGTTTCTCCCGTCGTTCCGTATACCACCGTTCCAAACAAGCCCGGCGTTGTGCCTGGGTCATTCCCTCTACGACGAGCGCAAACTCGGTTGCATTCGGGAAGCCAAACCGTTTCGCCATGCTGCAGAATTGCCGTTTCATGACGCCCTTCGGGGGATGGAATTTGTATTTGATGGGTTGGTTGGTGGTGGAGGATGACTTGCCGCGAGACTGGGACTGGGATTGAGATTGCGATCCTGCAAACACTTGCCTGTCGAGGTTTTTGTTCTCGTCGGCGAGTTGGGCGCGACGGCTGAGGTGTTCTTCCACTTTCGAAGATCCGATGACTTCGTTGTTGAGGTGGGTGTATTCGACCCCTGCGCCGGCTAGGATGGCTTGGATGGGGTCGTGCTTGGTGTTGATGGGGGTGGTGGGGGTGGATTTGGAGTCGGTGTTCCCCTCGCCGCGGATCATCGCGGCGAGTTGGCTCATGACTTCGTTGGTGTCGTCGGATTTGCCGGTGGAAGTTGAGTCAGAAGCACTGGAGTCCAGGTCAATATCAATGTCCATGACCTGGACGCCAGCTTTGCTTTCGGCGACGTTGGTTTTGTTGACGATGTCACGAAGGAGAATATTGTGGTTCTTATATTCGAACATATTATTCAGACCGAAGAGCTCGCCCTTTTGGTCTTTCTTTTCTTGGACTCCTTTAAAGTAGCGTCGTTCGGAGCTGGCGTTGTAGCCGATGTTGGCCTGTTGTTGTTTGTAGATCTGGCGGGCATAGACGATCTCTTCGATGGTGCCGGCGGAGATGAGACGGAAAACTTCGACATCGCGGGACTGGCCGATACGATAGGCGCGGTCTTGCGCTTGGAGGTCATGCGACGGATTCCAGTTGGGGTCGACAATGACGACCTTGTTGGCCGAGGTGATGTTGAGTCCGACGCCGCCAGAACGGGTGGAGATCAGAAAGACGAATTGGCGGGGGTCGGAGTTGAACTCATCCACCACCTTGGTGCGTTCCTCGTAGCTCATGGATCCGTCTAGGTAACTGACATTGTAGCTGGTGTAGTGGAAGAGCATCTGGAGCATCTTGAGCAGGCGCACGCTGTGGCTGAAGACGAGGACCTTGTCGCCATTGGCGTGCCACCATTTCAACAGACGGCGAAGGACCTTCCATTTGCCGCAGAACTCGGGATTGGCGTAGTTGACAATCGAGTCGCGCGAGCGGTAGAGCTTCTCCCATTGGTCTGGCACGGCCAGTTCGAGCATGTCCTTATCCTTCTCCTGCTTCTCGTTCGAATCAGCCCCCTGCGGGATGAGGATCGCAAGGTGGTTGCTGAGTTTCTGCAGCACCGCAATCGCGGGGAAGACGTAGCTCCTCCAGGTTCCCCCGGATGGCAGAAACTGGCGGCAACACCAGCCGGCTTTCTTGCGGGAACCGCAGTCACAAAGGTCGGTGGAGTGCTTAATGTAGCTGATGATGTCGCTTCCCAGGAGGTTCTCGTAGGCGTCGGCCTGAGTGTCTGTCAGCGGACAGAAGACGACGCGGTCAACCTTCTTGGGCAGTTGGTCTGCAATCAGGGCCTTCATCCGGCGGAGGAAGAATTGCGGGAGGAGGTTCTCGACCAGCTTCTTTGCCGTTCCCCGAGCCTTGCGCAGCTGGTGGACCGTGGCGTCGTGCGACTGACCGATCCGTAGCGGCTCAGAGATGGTCTTCCTCCAGACCGTCACTGGGCCGAGCTTCCCTGGGTTCGTCCAGTTCAAGAGTGTCCACAATTCCTCATACTTGTTCTGAATGGCGGTTCCGGTCAAGCCAATCCGACACAGCGCGTTGATCATGTTCATGGCCTTGGTCGTCTCGGACTTGCGTTCCTTGATGATATGGCACTCGTCCGCTATCACACAGTCCCAGTCGACCATGTTTACAGCATCTTTATTATGGAGATAGGTACTGTACGTGGTGATCAAGATCTCTAGTCTTCCAGACCTCGCAGCGTGAAGCGCAAGTTCCTTGTTGTCCCCATGATAGGTGTCGACATGCCACCAGCCCCAGCGTGAAAGCTCGGCCATCCAATTCGTGAGCAGAGTGCCTGGACAGACGATCAACGTTCGCGGGTACCACTGATCTCGCCCGCTTCTCCGCACTTTTCGCATCCGCTTCGCGTCTCTCTCGTCCCCAGTTTTCCCGTATGCCGCAGTGAGAAATGCTATCACCTGCACCGTCTTCCCCAGACCCATATCATCTCCAAGGATGCCACCTTTTTGGTAAACAAACAGCTCGTGCAGAAAGGCAGCCCCATCAACCTGGTACTGGCGCAGCCATTGTGCGATTGGGGCTGGTATCAGGCCCAACGAGTACGGCAGCGTCATGTCTTTGTATGGGTTGCATGGAGTCATGTTCTCAAAAGCAGGCTTCTCCTTCAGAAATTCCAGCCGCTCGTCATCTGAGAATTCGACATTGTCATAGTCCGGCGGCAGTTTCAGTCCCGACTGCTTGAGATGCTCGGTCCTCCGGTCGAACTGCGATCGGCGTTTCTGCAGGTAGTCGGGGAGAGTGTATTCCATCAACTCATCCTCAGACGATACCTCCTCCCCATAATCTCGCAGAGGCCGTCTCGGGCGGGCTTTCCCATCCGATGATGGGAGCCGGCCAACGAAGGAGTTTGCGGTTGCGACTCTGGTCACCTTGGTCGGTCTATTTTTCAAGTTGGCGGTGCTGCGCTTCCGTTTAATGGCCTTTCGGTTCTTGAACTCTCGGTACGCGGCCTCCCCCTCATTCACTGACTCGTCACCCGTGTCTGTTTCGAGCAGGTCCACCACCGCAGGGGCCTTTTGGTCGAGTGGTGAGGATTGCTCGATCTTTGCGATAGTGGTTGGCCGGCGTGGTGTCACGGTTTCGGGTTTGGGGGTATGGTCTCTACCTAGGGTAGTCGATGCGTTAGATATGTCCTGCTATGGGTATAGATAAGATGCGGAGACCGACTAGCGAGAGACAGCGAAGTCGGCTGTAAGACCAACGGGCGCACCCCGTCGAGATCATCATCGTCCTCTGAGCCGACGGTGGTGGCATCGGTATCCTCGACTTCCCAGCGTGAACCCATGTCAGCTCCAGGGGTAACCGACAAACAGGGATGGCGAAAGAGAAATGCAGACAGATTGAAGATGAAATGCGGAGACGCGATGGACGGCGGGCTTCCCGATTGGGCAAGCAGCTGACCGAACTGAAAGAATTCCGCGCCGAAAAGTCAAAACTCCGCAACCTCCCCTCACCACTTTCCCCTCATTGCTCGCCCTCTGCTTCGATCGGAGCCAGTTTTTGTGTCAGCCAGCGCCAGTCTTCGAATTCAATCCCCCGGTGTCCTTTTCTCATCTCCGACCGAAATTGCCAGCGCACGGTGCGGGGAACCACGTTAAATTCCTCTCCATCTGGACCGCCCAGATCGAATCGACACCATGCCTCTCGACACCTCGACCACATACCCCCTCACCAAGCTGCGCCTGGATGGCCGCCGCTGGAATGAGCTGCGGCTCCTCCAGGCCCAGATCTCCACCAACCCCGCCAGCTCGGGCTCCTCCTACCTGGCCATGGGCAACACCGCCATCCTGTGCTCCGTTCACGGTCCCGCCGAGGGACGTCGCGGCGATGCCTCCGGGGGTGCTGCCGGGTCTGCCGGTGCGGTCGTGGAAGTAGACGTCAATGTTGCCGGATTTGCTGGGGTGGATCGCAAGCGCAGAGCTGGTGGAAGTGATAAGTATGTGTGCGCGAGACATGACGGTCATCACTTGTACTGACTCGGTCTGAATAGACAATCCAGCCGCATTGCTACGATACTACGCTCCGCTTTCCAGTCGCATCTTCACACACACCTCTACCCGCACAGTACGATCAGCATTCACGTCTCGGTTCTGTCGGCAGATGGATCCCTCCTCGCCGCGGCGGTCAATGCCTGTACGCTGGCGCTTGTGGATGCCGGTATCCCCATGCCTGGACTGCTTTGTGGATGCACAGCGGGGATGAGCGGGAGTGCCTCGACGCCACGGGATCCGAATAATGACTTCTTGGATCCGTTGCTGGACCTGTCTCTGCCGGAGGAGCAGGAGCTTCCATTCCTTACCGTGGGAACTACGACAGCTGTACCGGTGGGAGAGGCAGCCATGGTGAATGACGACGAAGACGAGATGAAGGTTGCCATGTTGACAATGGACTCGAAGGTGCATTGCACGTACGTCGAGACCATGCTGGCGGTGGGAATTGACGGGTGCAAGCAGATCCGGGAGATCTTGGAAGGAGTGATCAAAAAGTCAGCCCGGCGGTGATGTCGTCTTAGTCATTGTTTTGTACTGTCTCGCCAGGAAGTATAGTAGCGAGCTTTGTTTATACCCAGTGAATGCCATGGGAGGTGTTGGGCGTGGGATGGCTTTATCAATTGCAATGATGTTTCTGATTTCCAGCTAGACGTTGCCTAGTCTTGTCCTCGAATCTGTTAAAAGCAGCTGGTGATCAACACAGCATGCTATTCATTCAGCTCCTTCACTTCGATACGTGTCCTCTGCTGCATCATCCCCCGCTTTCTCTTCTCTTCTCCAATCCGAACATCTCATCCAATCATCTATAAACCTCTTCCACCCCTAAATGCTCAGCAACCATTTTAACACCAACCTAACTCATCACTCATATGCTCTAAGCGACGACTCCCATCAATACCAAATATCAACCACAACAAAGCACACTAACCACCATCACAACAAGCAGTCACCGACATCCCATGACCCCTTCATCCAGCTACCAGGTCTCGATCTTTACCCAAATACTCAACTAATCCCATTAACCAAGGCCGGATCAGATATTCTAGAACCGACACACCATGGGTACTATACACTGACCTCCTCACCCCAATACTAGGGTGCTAATTCACCAACCTCAGGTTTATCCCTGAATTCTAGCATAATACCTCAGCGACTGGACCATGTTTGCTGGCTCGTGCATCATACTTGATTGCTTCTCATTCTACAAAATAGGGTATTGGGTATTCGGTTGGGGTTTAGCTTAGTCACGAAGAAGAAGGAAGAAGGAATATATGCCTCCTTCAGGTCCCTAATCTCTAATCTCTACCTAATACATGTATCTCTGTGCAAGATACATGATTACGGAGTATAGAAATAACGCCACATACGCCTAAAGATCGCAGCCCGCCCTTGCCCTTACCCCGGAAAGCTTAGCTGGACATACATACTACATACGTCCCTTCCCACTATACCTCGATTCCTCGTTGTGAATTAAGTAATACAACTAAAATAGCACAACATCCCTCTATACACCGATTAAACACCTACTATCTATCTTACTGAATACGGCGGAAAAATGAGAATTAATTACCTTAGGGTTGGGCAGGCTGGCAACTCCGGCCGGATTCGGAACCCGGAAGGAAACCAAGCAAGCAACCCCACCGGGCGTCGAGCGGGGTACATCCCACCTGTTTGTTCCCTTTGGCGGTAAAACTGGGAGGGATCATGGATGAGGTGGATTACTAGGTTGCCACGTTCTTGGGGGGTGATTTCATAGGGTGTCACTATGTCAGGGAGTCGTCATTGGTTTTTTGCGAGGAGGATGGATTAGTAATATATGGTTTATGATAGCAATTCCAACTACGGATCTGGAGGGTTAAACATTGACGATTGGTATGGACACTCTAGATTACACCGGTAAAGGGAAAAGAATTGTCCACCATTAATGCCACTGCCGGCTCAGGCCAGCGGCGGACGTCCCAATTTTGCCATCTGTTATCCTAGAGACATTTACAGCTCACCGCAGTCAACGATGGTGGGCTTGATGTTGGAGCGGACGGAGCCGGAGGAGCTGCCGAGAGCCTCGATCTCCTTGACGACCTTGAAGGACTCCTCATCGGCAACCTCACCGAAGACAACGTGCTTGCCATCGAGCCAAGAGGTGACAACGGTGGTGATGAAGAACTGGGAGCCGTTGCTGCGATACGGTCAGCGGCGAGCTCAAGTTCAGAGTTACGGGATAAACTTACGTGTTGGGACCAGCGTTGGCCATGGAGAGGATACCGGGCTTGGTGTGGCGGTAGATGAAGTTCTCATCGGCGAACTTCTCACCGTAGATGGAGCGACCACCAGTGCCCTATATAAAACGATCAGTCAATGGTGTCCAGACCACGGACACGGTCAAAGCAGGCAGGGTACTCACGTTGCCACGGGTGAAGTCACCACCCTGGAGCATGAACTGGGGGATGATACGGTGGAAGGAAGAACCCTTGTAGCCCTGGCCCTGGGGAGCCTTGCAGAGCTCACGGAAGTTCTTGGCGGTCTTGGGGACGTCCTTCTCGAAGAGGTTGAAGACGACACGAGCCGTCTTGGCTAGAGCAGGCACCGAAGATGTCAGTCCAAGATCCGTTGCCATTATCCGTTGCCATTGAGAACGCGATGGTGGAAATTTCGAGGAATCCTCGGTATCCCAAGGAGGGGTAAAATTCCCGACTTTGCCCGTGCAAGCAGGCAGAACGGACTCTACAGCAGAGAAGGGAAAAGAACAACTTACGGGCACTGGAGCCCACAGGGGCGTACTGGATGTCGAAGAAGGCCTTGGTGTTTCCAGACATGGCTGCGGATGTTTGATGGAAAGAACGAAGAGAGAGGAAGGAAGATTGGTTGCAATTGGGGATGGAGAAGAGGGGACGAGAAGCGAAGGGCGAGCAAGGTGGGGTTATTGTTGACCTCAGGCTTCGGGAGAACATTGTTGCTGGAGGGGCACTGCCGCTAACCGCTTGAGGAGTTGGGAGCCTGCACCCGTGCTCTGCGTCAGCCCATACGCGCCAATCATGCAACTTGCCCGCCCGCTGGCCGTGGGCCTCAGGCCGCCCCATGGAAGAACATGGAAGTCCTCCGACCGTACGGCCAGCCCGTCCGGCGCTCCCCCAGGCCGTCGCTGCAAGCTTACTGTCTTCCCCCTCGACCGCACGCGGGGGAACGCCATTGGTCCTTTCATCTAGCCGGGCAATGCAACGGGGAGCTTCACTTACTACTAGTGGAAGATCACGTCTTAAAGATGGGGTGTGATTGCTGCTTGCTGGCGCGGAGAGCAAAAGGAATTGGGGGAACGCGGTCGGACAGCTGAGGAAAATATTCCTGCTAACGCCCCAAACAGGGATAGCTCATGCTTAGCTAAGACGCGGTCCGAACGGAAGCAGACTAGCCCCCGGAGCTTCCAGTTCCCCGGCCAGAGCTCCAGCTTGGGCACGTGATTGGCACTTCTCCATATTCAGTTCTCCGTAGGAAAACGGAGGAGTACCCTGTAGATAGTACGACTTAGACTGCTGAGTTACTGGTAGTCACAACGGATTCTCATTGCATCGCGGGAGCAATGGCCGCTGCTAGAGCATCCCGGCCATCACTCTCACCCAAGTCTATTGGTTTATTCATCCCCACGGACTCCAAAGCAAAAACCAGCACGATCACGGAATTCTTTCACGGCACAACGGAGGCCCCAGGATGGTTAAAACGAAAGGAGAATAGAAGAGGTCCTGGGGCGGGCAAACAGATATCGGAAAGGCTGTAGAAAATTCTGGGGGAATAAGAAAAGTCAACCGTCCCACCAGGACAAGTAATCGTCCAGAAGAAAGGGAAAAGCGCTAATAGAAAAAGAAGACAGCAACGGCAATCAAATAATCAACAGAAAGAAAAGAAGGCCAATAAAAATACATCCCCGAGATCCGGGGTGCGTCTCCTGAAGAAATAGTCATAAAGCTCCACCAGATTACAACACTTCGTTCCACGTGGTTACTCGTTGTCATGCGTGATAACTGCAAAAGTAAGAAAGCGAGATTGCAAGATCCAGCAGTTCGGTCGGTATCATTGTGCCAAATCAGTGTGCTAGAAGGTAGGAAAGTAAGGAGAAAACGCCCGAGCAACTCTCAGGCCACTGTGAAGAAGCTGGAACGAAAGAAAGTATCATGAAGACCGTGAGGCCGACTACCGAAAGTCGTCCTCTTCTTCGAAATTAGCGGGGTCCAATTGGTGAGCAAGCTCCTTTGTCACCCGGGGAATTTCGAAAGCGATAGGCGGAAGCTTGTTGGTCACCTCACGAAGCTGTTCCGGGCTGGTCGAAGCCTCCCCCCCGGCTGCGGCTCCCATAAGGCGGTGCTTGTGATATTCCAGCATCTCGATAATCGGTTCGATGCGTTGCCGGAGAGCCGGGTTGGCCTCGGGTCTTTTGACAAAGTGTTGGGTTGAGGAGGTGACATTCGTCACCACGGAAGATATAGCAGAAACGTGGGTGTTTATCGCGGTTAGACCACGGTCGGCCCGGATACTGTCAATGAGGGCTTGGATCGACTGAACGACACCATTCGTCTGATCCTCAACGTAAAGCTGTAGGCCGCGTTAGCAAATATCACTATGACTACAGGGATTGCAACATACCTTCATCTCCTGAAGCTCGTGGGTCTCAGACTGCGAGGGATAGCTTTGCATTGCTGCTGGCATACCATTGGGAGCATCAGGCGGAGGACTCATAGCGCTGTAGACGGACTCATTGCGGCTGTGTCGGCTTTGGCTAGGGGCCACGCTGAAGTAGTCCGGAGACTTCATCTGAGTAAACTGCGCATCTTCATCGTTCTCATGGGGATCCTCTGCTGGGGTGGACCGGATCTTCACCAGGCGGATGAGTTCAATGACAGCCGTTGAGAGATGAGAAGCAGCAGCGTCCAGGAGGGAAACTGGCGATAGCCCATTGGAGGACACAAAGTTCTTGGCGGCTGTGATCAGGTTGTTCGCAGTGGCAGATAACTTGCTGATAGCCTTGCTACGCAGCGCCGACAACCCGTCGCTGGGATCCTGGCATTCCTGGACGTCATGCAGCAAATGCCGTACCGCAATCACGACAGCATTGATCTGCCGTGTGACAATGTGGTAATCATCATTGCGCGCAATGTGTAGCAATTCGTCAATGGCGACTTGAAACTTGGCGACATGAACATCCTTGACCAAGCCATCCTCATGGAAGAACTCCGGATCCTTGGCGATGCTTGTAGGGTCTGGGCGGATTTCCGTGATACCAATGGAGGATGTGCGGAGGTGCTGTAGCTGAGCCTTTGCCTTCTCATACCGAGTCTTCCACTGCTTCACTTGCTCCTCTAATTTGTGGACCTCGGTAGTCAGTCGCTCTTCATGCTCCCACCGGGACTGGCTTTGCTCCGACAACGCCCTCATCTCCCTCAAAAAGCCAGCAGCCTCGCGCCTGACCTCTTCCGTCACATGTTGTTGCTCTTGGAGCTCAGTCTGCAGACTCTGGTGCTTGATCTCAAGATCAGCGAAGCGGGCCTCGAGCTCCGGATTTCCGGTGCTTTGCTGCGACACCTCCCCAAGTTGGTTCCGAAGGTCCGACTCCATGGCTTCATGGTCAGCCCGAACTTTATCTAGCTCAAACTGCAGAGAGCTGTTCAGATCCTCGGCTTGAGAGATTTTGCGCTCCAGATCCGACTTCAGAGCCTCCCATTCTTGGCGTTCTGCACTACTGACCTGTAGACGTTGTTAGCAAGCCCCCTTGAGAAGAGATCGGCGCAAATCTCCGGCGTACCTCGGACGTATTCTGGTCTTCCTGGTACTTCAAGAGTTCCTCGTCCTTGGACTTCACCAATTCCTCCAACGTCTCAACCTTGTTCTGATCTTCCTGATACTTGGATATTTCCTCATCCTTGCTCTTGAGTAGGTCCTCTAGTTTGTTCACCTTATCCTGCAGAGCAGACACCTGCGATTGAGTCTCCGCCAAGGCTTTCCTGTCCGCGTCCGCCAGAGTCGCCCCAGTCCCTCGTCTACTTTGCAGAACCGCATCCAGAGCGAATGCGTCGCTCCGCGCATCGTAATCGTCCTCTGTACCAGCGGCATCATCGTCATCCTCGACCATCGTACTCTTGTTTGGAACAATGGTGTTGCTCTGGAAAGATTTGGCCATCGGACCACCATCCCCGTTCATGCCGGGAGGTGGCCCACCAAGAGACCCTTGACGTGGGGGATACATTGGACTAGCCGGAGGGCCACCAGACGGGTGGTACCCCATCCGGGACGGGGGTCCGCGAGACTGCGAACGCGGACCTCCTGGGGTCGGAGGGTACCCATTCGGCGGGTAGCCGTTGGATGGCCGTCCGCGAAAACTAGGAGCCGGACTCAACCGGCGAGATTCCCGTGAAGGGAAGTGAGGGAATCGTCGCTCCAGCTCAGTGTAGACATCGGTCGCCAGGTCCCGGAACCGTTGGTGCTGAAGCGAAGCAAGCTTCTGGCGCGCCTGGTTGCGCTTTTCATGGAAGTCCTTTCGCGGCGGTAAAAACGGAGGGACATCGGGGCGAGGAGGTCGATTCGGAGACGGCATGGCTTGCTGGCGTCGGAGCAATTCATCAAACACATCGGTACTCAACTCGTGAAACTGAGTCGAGGAGAGCCGCAACAATTTATCCCGGGCTTTGCTGGACTTGTTGTTCCCTCTGTCATCGCGGTAAGACGCATGGAGAAATCGCCTAAGGGCAACATAGTGTTGCCCGAGGACTTCCTCCATCCTCTTCTGTCGCTTGCTGCGTTGATCGCCCAATGTTCCATCACTCGATCGCGCGGCCACCGAGCTTGGGGGAGACGGGTTTCCCGCGTCACTGACGGGCCCGGTGGCACCGTTTGGAAGTCCTGCGCCGCTAGATCCACTGGGAACACCTGAGGTCGGGGGTGTGGCGAGGTTGCTGCGAGTCGAGTAAGTCGGGGAGAAGGGGGGATCCGACTTCTGGTACTGATTGATGCCGGACCAGTCACTCCCGTCTACGGAGACAGGCGACATGGTCCCTGAATGAGCGTTCATAGGGGGTTGCGTTGTCGGAAGACCGAACTCTGCAATTGCTGGTATGAAGGGGAGATCTGGAGCGGTCCAAAGCGATGGTGCTTATCACTATGCATTCGAGGTAGAGCGAGCCTGCGACACGAAGGCCATCGAGGGGGGGGGTTCAAGGAAGGATATCTGGGGGATCGGAGGATTTCGCTCGTGGCGGATGATAAGGAATGGCGACGGCGGCGACTGTTGTGCTTAGACTTAGAGCAGAATGAAAACAAAGGAAGGAATCCGAGGCGGAATGTAGAAGAGAACGTGATGGAGGCACCTGTGTCAACCGACGTCGGCACGGGGGGAGCGACCGATCACCAATGGGAATTCCGATTATAGCGACCAAGCAGGATGTAAGTAAGGTAAGGCGGCGCTCTGGGGAAGGAAAATAGGTTGGAAGCAACCACTGCAGGAGTGAATAAAGATGGTTTGGCGAGGCCCCCAGGAGTGGAGGAGGCCGGACTAGGGAGCACTTGGTAGTGGACTGGCCGGACTTTTTGGGCCGGTCCCAAGCCCCAATGGGATGATGAGTGGACGAGTGGATGAGATGAGATGAGATGGCCTGGGGGGACGGGCGACGACTTGCTGGACCGGGAAATTATTTGGCGGCTGAGAGATACCTCGATACCTTCTGCCAGTACGAGTACGGCCCCCGTACATACTTCAGGGGTACGGTACGGTATGTTGGTACCACCCTCAGGCCTCGCAGGCCTCTCAGGCTCATCCTCTTCATCCTCGCGGAGTTCTTCTCCACGGATCGTGCGATCTCTGATGCGCGATCCCCGGGAGATATTCTCGCCTACTAATACTAGCAGATAGTCCTTACATCTGATGCGGCGAGAACTAAGACATATCTACACCTGTGACATCTGGCACTAGGCTCGAGTGGGCTTCTGCAGCTGCTTTTCTGAGACACCCAGTGTAGCTCTCTACCTACCAGCGTTCAGCAGGCCGGGGATAAAAGCAGGACCGGGACCCCCTTGGGCCCGGACGTTCTGGTACGTACCAGACCAAACCAAACGATACTGGATGGCAGCGGCGCAACTCCACCGCCATCCGCCAGGAACCGATCGAGCCTCGCCGGTGTGGCGGTGATGGTGGCCTCCGATTCTCCATTCCCGCGGCTGCACCTCACGTCCATCCTCCATACATTCTGCACCCTCCGATGGGTGTGATTCGCTGGTCGCTCCTGGCGGCAGCGAGAATGAAGTCATCAAGCATCTGAGGTGTTCCTCCACGCCTGCACACCACCGGAACGGCTGTTGTGCACCGGACGGCGTCGACCAGTTCCCAATTCTGGCCAGCCCCCAACGCCGGCTGCTCCATTGCCAACCATCGCCCGCCTCCACATAGTTCGAGGCTAGCTCAGGAGTTGCTCAAATTACTGCCTACGTCCACCACTCGCGGGCTGCAAATTTGGGGTCCAGACCTTCCCTCCTCTTCATGGATGCTTCCTGGCGAGCTAAAGCACTTACCTGGTTGCCTTGGCTAATTATAATTTTATTTACCCCAGCACTGCCCGGCACTCGCAGGAGATTTTGGTGATTGGCGAGCAAGTCGACTTGTCCATCAGGGGCAAAGGAGCCCGGCCCGGACGGAGTATGTAGGTAGCGGAGATCCCGTGCCTCCTCCCATGAACGATTCACCACATGCCGGAAGGGATCACCGGACACTTTACTCGGAAGTTCTGAACAAAGAAATTCCCCTAAAAGGGAGCCAGAAGGTAAGAAGCACAAGGTAGGAAATAAAACAATCCCCTGGATATCCATACTCCGTACATATCCCGGTCAACAATCATGTCCGAATCTTTCCAACAGCAAATAACCCCTGCTTTTGTCGGACCGGACGTGACGGGCCCCCGGCCATTGCTGTGTCCCTCTGTCTATACTAGACCCGTAGTCCAATCAATTCACGCCAAACCACATCGACGGTCCCATGCTCCACCCACGGACCAGCCTGAAATGCGCAGGCCACATGGAAAATCCACAAAGTATGTATAGGTTATAAATGTACAATACAGGACGCCGCTCGGAGAAGACAGCCGGCGAGGCCATCCCAAGTAGCGGCGGGCCAAAAATGCCAGAAAGGTATCAATCATGTAGGGGTGAAAGAAAGAGCGCGGGGAGGTAGGATCGGGGAAGAGAGTCTGCTAGCAGCAGTATTATCGGTGTACATAATCTCATCACGTTGCGGGTGGGCGAGGCGAATATAGCGCACTATACACCCCCCGTTCATTTCGACGATGTCATAGCAAGGCCACGGGCCGCGCCAACGGCAGCAGACACGGGCGTCGCTGAGCGTGTGGGAGCAGCACTGCGGTTGTGAGCCATGTGCGCCCGGACAAGGTGGCCTGCGGCAAGCGCAGAGCACAGACTCAGCTCGCCGGCCAGAACTGCAGCGCCCACGATACGCGCAAGCTGGCGAGCATTGTCGCCTGGAGTGGTGGGGTGAGATCCACGCACTCCCAGCATCTCGAGCATGGCAGACTGTCCCTCCAGAATCGTACCACCACCGATCGTTCCAACTTCGATGGAAGGCATCGACACGGCAATCTGAAGGTTGCCGTTGAGACTGCGAAATATCACCGTTAGCACAATGTTTCCCAAGCCAACCCCACGGTACAATCTCCTAGAGACGGAGACAACTTACTTTCTCATAGTCGTGATACAGCTGCTGCTCTCCACATTCTGCGCAGGGTCCTGACCAGTGGCCAGGAAAACAGCAGTGACAATGTTGGACGCATGCGCGTTGAAACCACCCAAGCTTCCCGCCATTGCACTGCCAATCAGGTTCTTGCTGGTATTCAGCTCTACAAGGGCATTCACGTCACTCTTGAGGACACTGCGAACGACGTCACCAGGAATGATAGCCTCCGCCACAACTGACTTGCCACGCCCGTCGATCCAGTTGACGGCAGCAGATTTCTTGTCAGTGCAGAAGTTTCCGGAAACCGAGATCGTAGCCATATCATCGAAGCCGCACTCAGTGGCCATCACGTGAAGCGCCTTTTCGACACCCTTGGAGATCATGTTCATACCCATGGCGTCACCCGTTGTCGTCTTGAACCGGATATACAAGTAAGTGCCAGCGAGAGCGGTCTTCATATGTTGAAGTCTGGCAAAGCGACTGGTAGAGTTGAATGCAGCCATCATGACGCTTTGACCTTCCTCCGAGTCAAGCCAGACTTTGGCAGCGGCGGCTCGGGCAAGCGTAGGGAAACCAACACAAGGACCACGCGTCATACCGTCGCCAGTCAGAACAGTAACCGCACCACCTCCAGCGTTGATAGCCTTGGCACCACGGCTGGTACTAGCCACCAAGACACCTTCGGTAGTGGCCATGGGGATGAAATAGCTTTGGCCGTCAATCGTGATGGGACCGGCAACACCAAGAGGCAGAGGCAAATAACCAATGACGTTCTCGCAGCAGGCACCGTGAACCAGAGTGTAGTTGTAATCCTTATAGGGAAGCTTGGAGTTCTCCAGTGAGTTCGTGAATCCAGATGTGGCCGCCGTCCTGGCTACGACAGCTCTGCGAATCTTGACCGCCCGGGTGAAGGCATCAACACGACTCATAAGCTCCTCATTTTCCATCGTCTTCTCAAGGGCATAGCCCGGAATCTTGCCGCGCAATGACAGATCGACCAGTTCTTCGTCTGACAAGTAAGATGCCCGCTTCTCCTTCAGAAACAGTTCACACTCCTCGGGGGTTCTCTTAGGGCCCTCTTGGTTGTTCAAATCAATCTTTGGGTAGACCTTAGGCTTCGGGGGCTCCACCTTGGGGGCGGCGGCCTCGGGCTCCTTGATACTCCATCTCGCGGCGTTGAAAAGATAACCATTGAGGATAATGCTCAGGGTGAGGGCCGCGATGATCCACTTGCTGATGATCGGGTCTTCAATGCTCTTGAGCAGGCTTTCAATGACGCGCCCGCCAACAGCATCCAGGAACTGGTCGCTATACTCAATGTCAAACGACTGGCTTTCTCCAAAGGCAGCATAGTGCACAGAGGGGTATTCCAGCTTGTACTTGATCGGAGGGATGACAGTCACAATTGTTTCCATCATCTGGCTCTTTGCAGAAACGTAGATCGAGTCGAGTCCATTCTCAGCCACTTTGAAGGGATCAATCGGAGTGGGAGCGAGCACGTTCGAAACCCGTGACAGTAGGGGAAGGCCGGTGGATTTCCGGAAGGGAATGGCGGACAAGTTCACCACATTGATCAGGATGAAACCTCCGACCATGAGGATCTTGAAACGGCGCACATTGCTAGACTTGATCTTCTTCCCAAAAATGCTGGTCTCACTGGTTCCATCATTCTCCGATCCAGCCAAGGGCCAGTCGTTGTTCGAGGCGACGTTCTCAGCGACACGGTGAGTGATTCCATCTTCTTCGAGAGCCTTGCGGAGTGCCACATGACGCTTGATGCGAGTAATCTCGAGTTTGATGCATAAAATAGTGGTGTAGAAAGTGAACAGCAAGAGACAATCGAAAAACAAGATCCAGGCGGCGAGGAAGCAGAACTGCCTCAACCCGCCCTGGACTCCAGAAGCTGCACCAGCCACGAGAATGGCAATTTCGATGCAGTAGTCCCTGACAATCTCGAAACCTTGCTTCTTGATGGCAGTTTGGATGGAATCCTGGATGGACCGGGGGTTGCCCGTGGTCGTTGGGGCGCCGGTTTTTCCGGCCCGGGAGACGGACGCGCTCAAGACCGCCCGTGTGAGGATAATCGGCTTCTCGAATCCAATGGTCACAACAAGGAAAGGGAGACCCTCCGACAAAAGCAGCATGTTAATGGGAACGCCAAGCTTTGTTGTCACCAAAAGACCAAACAAAAAGGCAAAGCAACCAGAGAAAAGAACCGTGGTAGCCAGCCAGAAGTTCGAACCCAAACGGCGCATCGAGAAGAAGAGAGAGACAAAGCTGAGATGCATCGAAAGGTATCCCAGAGTCATGATAACGATGTCAATGGTTTCGGCATGCTGGATCAGGTTAGTATTGACCGGATCAGATAAGCCCTGGAGGCGAGAGGCGTACCTTGACCAGATCCACGAAGGAGCCCCATGCGTCTGCCACCCAGAGCTTGAGGGCCCCGCTAGATCCGTAAGCCGGACCACGAGCAGCGCGCATAATCCACTTCTTCTGTTCGCCTTCATCTTCGTCGACGGAAGGCTCGGGAATCTCCTGGACTGCCTTCAAGAATTCAGCAACCTGTTCATAGGGAAGCGTGAACACGAGAGACGAGTCATGGGAGAAGGGCGAAAAAAGGTTCGGCGTGTGAGGCACCCGTTGTGCGGAAGTGTTGGCAGGGATCGGGACCCCATCGGCAAGAGGAGCCGTGGAAGCCGACTTCGACATAGAATCCGGGAAGATAAAAGTGGTCAATGCCATGTGCTGAGCAGCCTGTTGCGATAGAAATGGTCAGAAAAGATATACAGAGCCAAAATAAGCCATTACACAACTTACTTGGTAGTCTTCGGCAGTCAAGGCATCTTCCACCTGCCACTTCCAGGAGGTGCTCTCCCCGAGTCGTAGATTTCTACTACCCTGAAGAAGAGTGTCCACATCCACTTGACCAGCAACATTTCTAGGATTTCTGAAGGAATCGAACAAGCTACCCTCCAGGAGACCAACATACGTGGTACTGGCAAGGAGGGCGAACACGACGATGGTGTGGATGGGATGAAGACAGGCACGGCGAGAGAGGAATTGCAAGCCACTGGTGACCTGACGTCTGAACCATCCGGGCTCAACATCGTCATCCACGTCCGCCGGCCGAAATTTTCTTGGGATCAGAGTCGCGGCCATGATGGTTGTTGGCAGGCAAGGACTTGAAAAGAAAGGAGCGGTGTGGGCCTCGCCTTAGGGGAGGCGCTCTGATATAACGATGGACGCGGTGAAACCTGCGAAAGAGGCTGGCGCGAACCGTCCCACGCTTCACAAAGAAGACTGCCCTCGGTATCAGACCCTTATAGGTACCTCCTCAAGGGTCAATGGCATGGGGCGAAGGGGATCAAAGAAGCTGTCGCTTATCGGGACTGCAGGGATGATAACATGCGTGCGATCAGTACATTGGGCCATGCAACCCGCTCTAAACGGAACAAGAGGGGCGCGGAAGGGAACCTACCTGGCAGCAGAGAAGAATGTAACCCGTCTTCTGCTATGCTTCGGAGCCAAGTTCCCAGCAACGGCTTTTGGCTGGTGTCACCCCTTTAGGGACTTTAGGACTTGATCACGGCCCCTGAGAAGGAAATGTGGAAGCACTTCCACAGCGTGGCACACAGGCGGTGGGATTATCGTAAATCCGCGAATTTCGCCGCCTGAGCCACAAGACCGCCAACGGGTGCAGCCAATCGAAGAGCAAGGCGGATATGCGGACCGCTGATAGTCCGTGGGTAGTGTCGGTAGCAGGTCCCAACAATCCCAGGCCACTGGTCTGCACCTAAAGCAAGGCCGTATGCAAGCACTAGGATCGACCCTTCTACTTTGCCGATCAGATAATGGAGGGAGGAGGCAGAGAAGCAACCCAGTTCCAAGTTGGCAGCAGAGAAGAAGAAGGGGATGGAGGAGTGGAGAGAGAGAGGAGGGAGCGACCGAGAATAAAGAATAATTGAAATAGGAAGAGGTCGAGGTAGCGAGCACCGGCCCAGTCCAGACGGGAATTACTTGAATAGTCCTAGTTGCCTGGAACGGTACCATTCTTCTTTGCCCGGTGGGTTCCTGTTTTTTTTTTTTACACCGTACGAGCCATCCCGTACCAGCCTGATCTTCTCCGCTTATCGGGAAGCTACTCCCCTCCACGCCTCCCAGGGCCAACAACCTGGGAATGGTAATCTGAAAGATCAGTTGCAGAAAAATCCGCCAACCTCCCCTCGGTTCAGGCTCATTCAGTGGGATGAACCGACAGGGCAACTGCAGATTATGCCGCACGCAGTCTGCTAGAGATGTACCATATCGCCTGATGCAGAACGGCCAATGCCACCGAAGTTCGGACACACCAGAACAAACAATAGGACCTTGGGGCTTTCCGGCAAGCAATTGGATTGGTACACCCACTACATTATCACAGGGTCTACCCTAGTGATCCATGAGGCATGGCCATCTCACGGACTAAGTCAAACGGAGTTTCTTAGATGATGGCCCAAATCATGATCCAGCACCCTCCATCTATCATGGGCCTCGCTTCAGCGAAGGTTGGCCTGAGTTGGTGATGATTTTAGAAACTCCAACCCACCGCTTATTCTTGTCAAGCTTCCATGAACCTCATCAAAGTAAGGGGCTTGGAAGATTCCTCTCTTTTCAGGTCCAAGCAGGCAGTTGTCCTACCATTTCAGAATGCCGTGCCTAACATATATGTGTTTCTGCCGTGTCGCTCGTTGAAAAGCGGACCGTTCGGGTTTGTTGCAGATTGCAAACCGGACGCCTCATCTGATCGAATAACGGCGCTTTTCATAAAGAAAGGATGCTCAGCAGCACCTGAGTACCGCGCGACTCTGATTGTGAAGGAGATACATCTCCTTACTCTGTACTTCGTACGCTCTCTGTATTTGACACACAAGACGTAATGCGAAAGAATATGTTAGGTAACCAGAAGTCAGTTCCCATCATCGGGTCTGTCATGGCGTCCATCTGAGGGAAGCTGCATCCACATCGGACTCCAACCCGCAGCCCAAGGTTCTGAATATTCCCTCATTCTCTTGGGGACGGGTGGGACGGTGGACACCGGGACAGGAGACCATGGCCACTGAAGGGTCGTGATTCATCGGAGATAACGCGTGATACCCACCGCTTTTCATCTAATCAATCTCTGCATCTGTGCCGCAAAGGGTTCCATCCGGGTCTTTGCTCCTACGGTTTCAGTATTCTTCGCTAGTTGATTTTGTATCCCGACGGATGAATGGAAGATAGGCGTCTCATCTCACCGTTGATGAGCGCTGACCCTTCGGGACATATGGAGTAGACCAGAGTTTTCTTCGGCGTCAGCAGTAGACACTCGGGAACCTAAAAGAAAACAAGTTCAGTTGCGGGTCAAGCGCGTACGCAACCAGGTTCGATCAGAGTGATATCATCATAGGCACCTGAAGCTTTCGGGACTGCACAGTTGCGTAAATCACATTACGGAATGTAAATGCTAGGGTTTGGAAGATTTCTGCGCAGTCGGGCAATACTTGCGGGATCGAAGTCGACGAATTGGTGTCATTGGTGCCATGTCCAAATGGAACGGTCGGCGGTCGGACACGCTGGAGATTACCTGATCTAGGAATGGGGACGGTGGGGATCGCGTAGCCGCCAAGCACGAACAAGATGAAGGTGGCAGAAACAATTCAGCCTGCAGAGGGCGGACTTCAGATGCGACAGAACCAGCCCTTGGATGGGGAACTGGCAAGTGCGCCGGCAGGCTGGACACTAATCGGGACTTGGTAACCGAGAAGAATGTCGCTCATCTCATCCCATGCATGACTTGCACACTAGAAGACTCCCAGAAAGCTTGGTGGTCCCAACATTGGGGGAATTTTAGTTTTCACCTTCCTTGCTGCCTGATCAAGTGTCATCTTTATCCCACAACTATCTCAATAACTCACTATCTAGCTTCCCTAGGCAATAGATGGATTTTGTCCGCCGCTTTGTTGCTGCTTGGGCTGGAAGAGCGGGGCGCCCGTGTTTCATCGCTCCCCGTCACGGCGCCTATACATCCAATGTCTGTGGATGCCTGCCGGCAGGCGACTGAACATCCTGGAGCACAGGTTCAGCACCTCAAACACACTACGCATCTCCCAGGCATCGCTCAAGGTGTCACCTGCTTGGTTCTGCATGACGGAGCGCTGTGATGGAACCCCAAACCAATCAGCGAGCTCCTTGTTCTACAACGGCTTCACTTCTGCAACACGGGAGATCTTCTACTATGACGCCTAATGTCATGAGATTTCACTCCAGACCGGGTTAGGCGCCGCTGCTAATTTCGGAACTTGATACCCCAGGATACCTTGTCATGCATGATTTGAGTCAATCAGGTTCTTCAGGTGGCTCAAGCTAGAAGCTACTAGCAATGACTCAGGACCCTATACACGCGACATATCGGGACGCAGGAAAGCTTGGTCGGGCGAATCTGCGGATCGATTGGCCTTGGAGACACCATGACAAGGACTACTTCAATCGTATCTGGCATCATCCTTAGCGCCTGTAAAGCATGCGTCCTCTTGACGCTGGTTCATTCACTTCCTGAGATGGTTGTGTTTCAAATGACCTGATCACATTGGGCGCAACAATGATCCCTATATCTTCCTCTTGCACTGCTAACAAACATGAACCACAGAATAAAGGTGGGGAGCGAAACATTCAAATTAATATTTATTGTGACCCCCTTCGGTTGTCAATTTTAGTGAATCTATTGGTTTTTGTGTTTGGACAATCTCTTTGTGCTTGGGAGGCACCTCGTTGTCTTTCTTATTGTTACTGTTCCACCTCAGGGAGCCTTCCGACAACGCAAACTTCTCAAAGGGAAGAGCGAGGTGAAACTTTTGGGATGAGTATATAGTTGGTACGAATCCTTGTACTCGCTCGAGGAACTTTCTCAGGTGAATGCTGTTCTAACTACTGACTTTAGACAAAGACTACTCTCCAACTTTTATGCGACCCCGCTGGCCGGTGTCTTATCTGCCTAACGATATCTTGGATCCTGCCCTGTGACTCAGACATAAGGGAACAAGGGAGATTATAGAGCATGAATCATTCCTGCCTCAGCGCTCTGAGGTGGTTCCTCTTAGTCCTCCTCTTCTCAACCGTGAGCGCCCATTCTTGGATTGAGCAGCTGCTGGTCATCGCAGCAAATGGGACTTTTGTTGGAGCTCCTGGCTACGCCAGAGGCAATGTCTTACGCACCGACCCTAGCTTTAACGACAAGACCATGACCTATCTTCTCCCGCCAAACGGTCAAGCCAACCAGAGCGTAATTGAACCTACCGATAAGTTGTGCAAGAGCACACAGCGAACACAGAACCAAACTGAAGGCAGCCCCCGGCTGCAGGCAAGTGCTGGCGCTGCCATAGCCCTTCGCTTTCAAGAAAACGGCCATGTGACATTACCCTGGAATCAACCAGGAAAGCCGAAGAACCGAGGGACGGTGTACGTTTACGGAACCACAGAGCCCAAGGAGGACGAGAACTTTGTGGACGTCCACAAGGTATGGAACCGAAATGGCACCGGAGGTGATCGACGCGGCGTCCTCTTGTCGCAACAGAACTTTGATGACGGCCGATGCTACCAGATCAACAATGGTAATATCTCCGAGCATCGCCAAAAGGCGTTTCCTCACGTGGCGGACCAAACGATGGGAGCCGACCTGTGGTGTCAACAAGACATCGCGCTACCGTCCGATGCACCCTCAGGGAAACTGTATACACTCTACTGGGTCTGGGACTGGCCCACGGCTCCTGGCGTGGACCCCTCGCTCCCTAACGGCAAGCTGGAAATGTATACGACTTGCATTGATGTCGAGGTGGTTGACGGCGACAATTCTACGACTGCTTCGCGTGTTCGGGAGGGATATGTGGAGGATCAGTCCCTTGATCGAGCAGCCATTCCGTCCGAGTTTGCCGAGATCATGAGTTCTGGCACTAGCAAGGAGGCTGGAAGCAGTCTTGCGCCATCTTCGTCGACCACTCCGGCTCCAACCTCAACTCCAACTCCGACCCCAGCCCCAACGACGCCCCCTCGGGTCTCCATTGTAACGACCTTTATCACGAGTTACGTGACCGTGCAACCCACCGGGGGCTGAGTGGTGGGAAAGACCTGATTTAGGGTCTTGCTGTTGGTGCAGGATCCCTTACGTTCACAATAGCTGGAGAGCTAGAATGTGTTTTAGTTTGATACCCCTCCAATGGAGCCCAGTGGAAGGATCAGACAGTAGACACAGCCATCCGCTCAGCCTGTCCTTTCTTTTTCTGTCCCTCGAGCTAGGCGGGCCTGGCCGGGGTTGATGACTTTCGCTATCATTGATATTCTTCCCTTGTTGATCGCCACTTTTTCTGGTCCATAGACATTGATTTATGCGATTGTTGTCATTTCTCCTCCATCATGGCACTCATGTTACACGAGATGCAGAAATCCTTCACGCGTAGAGAACCCTCAGTAAATTGGAGTCGAGTGGCTGGGGGGATGCAAGGCACGGAAGGCAGGCATGCGGGCGGCAACGAGCTTAATTGCCTGACTGCTGAGGCTGCCCAGTGGCCCGTTCGGGGATGGCCCGAGGCATCGACACCTGAAACACGCTAGGCCACGCGTGGGCAGTCACGTGCGGGGACGGCTCTTCTTCAAACGGGCGGAACAAAAAACGACCCAGCGATCGATCGCCGGCGATGCCTCATTCATTATCATCATCATCGTTGGGGTTGAGTCTGTCGCAACCTGGCAGTGTGAAGTGTGAGGCCTCCTGGCTCGTTCCTTGAGAAGTGGTGCCATTGTCGAGTGTCCCTGCATGCCAGCCCGCGGGCTTTCTGAATCCTGAACCTGAACTCCACCACACCAGTGACTGCGCCTCGTTGATCCTTAACGCTTCAGTCGGAGCCTTCACGGCAGGTAAGTTAGCAGTAATCTCCGGCGCGCCTGGCAAGCCTCTCTCTCGCCCCTACCACCTCTACCACCTCCTCCTCCACGTCCTCGCTCCACCGTCCATTGTCATCTTCTCCTACTCCTGCAGCCGGTGTCATCCAACTACTGGCGCTCAGCCATCCATCCCCTCTTTCTACGCCCCCCTCCCCCCCAGATCCTCTCTCCTGCCTCCTCCTCTGTCATTGGGTTCGGTAGTCGCCGTCTGCTAAAAGTGGCGCTTTTTTCCCTGCCCTCGTTGCTAAATTTAGCATCCCCAGTTTTGCCCTCGACCATCCGAACTCTGAAGCGCGGGACCCAAACGCTCACGAAACAACCTCCTCTTCTTACTTTGCTCAACCACCCCCGGGCATTGGCCGTCGGTCCTCTGACTCCTCTCATCCTCTGCTCCCACCCCTGCAGCCGCCTGGTCGGTGCAGTCCACATTCGGTCGTGTTGATTGATTCTTGGCTTGTGGAAAGAGGGGAGCTGTCCGTCCTGACGATCCCCGCTGAAGTCGATAGCCGCGCTGTACCTGTCCGTTAACTTGTCGATTGTTGCCGGCCCTGTCAGACATTCACTGCGGCCACCTCGCTTCTCTGGCGTCTAGCCGCAGTCCATTTATCGCCGTTCGTCCAGTGTGCGCCCGGTTGAAACAGACTTTCCTCGGCGCAGCCTCCTCCAGAACCAGATCTGCATCGTGCTTGCACGCAAGGAGTGCACCAGGCATACCCTCCGAGTCGAATCGCATGCTTTCGCATCTGCTTCCTTGGTGCGATTATTTCCTGGCAACAATCTTCAGGCGGGTTCTGGTAGTAGAGTTTCGTTGAAAGGGCGATCGCGATGCGAAACTAGGGCGGACCGGTTCTCCAGCTTTTCTACCCCCCTCCCTCGAGCGACAACTTCCGACCTGACGTTACCTTCACACGACATCCTCGATACGTAATTATCCAATCCTTTACTCTGATCATCACCTGAGAGACACTCATGACCACCGTCATGGCTTCCACGACCTCGCCTCCCTCGTCTCAGCAGACGGTTTCTTCCACCTTGACGGTTTTGCCGCCTATAATCACCGACACCCCAGCGAAGCGGCAAGGCCGTCAGCGGTCCTCGTCGTACGCAAAAGACCGTCTCTCCACACACTCTAATGTTTCCTTAGCTTCTCAGAATCGGTCGCGGCCGGGATCTCATGTTTTCCCTGTCTTCCATTCCAGCTTACCGTATGCGCTGGTCCGCGATTTCGCATATCCTGCGATCCACCCTCTTCACTATGGCCCATTGCCACCGCGTGCGTCGGTGGTGTCAACCCCGGCGAGCGAGCAACGGCGCCTCTCCGATCCCCCGGCCCCGTGGGACAGCTCTCGTGGCCAGTGGTCTATGGGACCGTGGACTACTGACCATAGCTACGGGCACCAGCAACTTCCCGCCATGTCCTTCGGGGATGGGCCACCATATAGCGAAGACGAAGACCTGCACAGCCCAGTGTTTTCTGCCCCCCGTCACCGAAAGAACAAGTCCACCGGAACCGACTTGAATGGGCGGAAATCCCGGGGCCCTGGCGGCCGTGAGCATCAAAGCACGGGCTATGAGGGAGACGCCGATCGGGGAACGCTGGTCAGCATGAACGCAGACGGCAGCGAGACGTACTATGTAAACGATGACGACGCCATGGAGGACGGACCAGGTGGCGAGTATGTCACATATCCGGCAAATGAAAGCCGGTATTCCCATATGGGCTCGTATGACGACTACCAGCGTTATGGACATGATGCGGACTTTGATTCTGAAGACGACTATGCAGGCGATCATCGGTATTCGCGTGACTTCCAGTTTGCCGTGGGTTGCCCTGACGAAGAGATGCACGGCAAGGCAGTTGCGCTGTTTGACTTCACGAGGGAACACGAAAATGAGCTGCCCTTGACTGAGGGACAGGTGATCTTCGTCTCATACCGGCATGGCCAGGGCTGGCTTGTTGCAGAGGACCCCAAGACAGGGGAAAGCGGGTTGGTGCCTGAGGAGTTTGTCCGTCTGCTTCGAGACATCGAAGGAGGGTTGACGTCGTTGAACGGCGAGCCAGACGCAGATGAAGAAAGCCATACGTACCTGAGCCCGGAGTCGACCGACTCACAGCAAGCGTTAACGCCCACCCAAGATGAGCAGCTTCCCTTGGAATCGACCTTCGTTAGCGTCGAGCATGTCTCCAACGGGGAGAAAAGGGAGTCTTCACGGCTGTCCAGCGGTGGCAAGACGGAGTCGAACACGTCACATTTTCTAGCAGGAAATCAGGGGATCGACGCCCCGCAAGACCTGGCCGAGAAGAAAGCCCACTAGAATACCTCCTTGGGTTGTTACTCGTTGCAGCCTTGGAGCCAAGGCCCTGCCAAAAGGGTGTATACGATGTTGGCTCGCAATGACCTAGTAACTGCTAAGCCATGAGGGGCATTGGCTGAGTCCGGCGTGGTTCTCGAGCCCAGCATGATTGCATCATCTTTTCTTTCTTTTTTTTTCCTTACTGTTCTTGTTGTTCCCCGGCTGGAACTGCTATTATTGGAATACCTCCATTTGAACAGGCCGGCCGTTCGTGCATGCATGCATGATATGATCCATTTCATGACGAGAGTTGGGGGAGAAAGTATGTCTGTGTGTGGCTGTCTGATGTGGAAATGGAGTGGGTGACATGCCTGTATATATGTTCTGTACTTGAGCGATGGCGTCAATGCATTAGATTATGGTTGTAGGCTGGCTTTGTGAAAAGCATATTCTAGCATACTACAGCGTGTGATCGAAGTATTCATATACCTCCAGCAGCGGTGTTTCTTGTTGATTCAGTTTTTGATGGAATTTATTATCTGTGATTTGTGCTTTGATGTATTTACCTACTACCACCTACATATCCTCCTGCTCCGTTAGCAGAATCCTGTACCTACTCATGCTATTATTTTGCCCTGATGATATGAACCTCAAGATACTATACATGCATATATGATTTATTTGATATATTGAAATCCACCTCAGCGGCTAACATACACTATACGGGTACTGCTACTGCTGCTGCTTTCGAGAGACATGGTTACGTATACCAGATTCGCAATTTAGAACAGGTCGCAATTTAGAACATGATCTCCATTCGCTGAGTTTCCCTCATGTCCTGATCCATAATCTTTCGATGATTCCTTCTCGAAACCCCTATTATTGCACTTGGGATATATCGGTTGCCTAGGAGGTATCCCTTATCTGTAACCGATAAGATCCACAATGATGGGGATGTATCCAGGTTAAACGAATGAACGTCGAATTGGTGCGAGACCGAGAACCTCACAGGGTCTCTGAGATTATTTCTAGGGAGGGTCGGTATTCATTTCGTTCATGTTATCTTGCGTAATACTTTGACAAGGGGTAAGAGAGTAGTAATATACCATAAACTGGAACGGATTTATACAGCTTAGCCACAGTGATGGCTAGAAAGAAGGAAGGGTTTTGGTAATCGGAAGTTATGTAGTAGATAGGTGTAACTAGTTAGAATAGGAATGATTTGTCAGCTGCTTCTTGCTTTTCCCTTCCGTTCGATGTTAACACAGATTAAATCAGTTCTAAGGGGATCGGATCACATAAGATCGTCCAGGGGGTTTGGTAGGAACCGCGAGAATGAACTAGACTATGGCCCACGCCACAAAGGAGGGAGAATATGGCCCACATATACACATCGAGAGTCGAGTCCGTCCGTAGAGGGAGGTATGTAAATAGATAGATAAGTAGGTAGGCCTGCTATTTTAGATCTTGCATGGATTCGATCAAGCAAAATAAAGAAAGGAAGAAAGGAAGAAAGGAAGAAAGGAAGAAAGGAAGAAAGGAAGAAAGGAAGAAAGGAAGAAAGGAAGAAAGGAAGAAAGGAAGAAAGGAAGAAAGGAAGACTCGCACTACGGTATGAACACAGACACATTGCCCAAAAGAAACACAGTAAAGAGAAGATGAAGTAAAAGGTATAGATCCTAGCCCAACAGATCATCCAGTCCGGAGCTGCCGGTCTTCGGTGTTGCTGATGTGCTGCGGCCCTGGTTCGAGAAAGGACTGCTTGAAGCGGCCGGGGCCCCCCAGATGCCGGCGCTGGCCTTCTCCTTGGCCATACTGGCTAGATTAGGCCCCTTGTTTGCGGTCGTAGGGGTCTTTTGCAGGCCGGCGCTGGCGCTGGCGGTGGACCAGAGCGAGCCGAAAGCGTCGCCGGAGGCCTTGGGGGCAGCAGGCTTGCTGGCGGCAGAGGTGGTGGGCGTGGTGGAGCTGAAGGAGGAAATAGACGACATGCCGGGGCGGTGGCCCACGGCGGGTTGGGTGGTGTTGGTAAGGGAGGAAACGGAGGTGTAGTAGTTGGGGGTGGCGGCTTGGAAGCCCGTGGGCTTGGGTTGCGCCAGGGAGCTCTGCGAGAGCGTGGGAGAGGCCATCGTGCTGGAGGTCGGAGTAGGGGTCATCGAGGTGAAGCCTACAATGCCGTTCAGGTTGGTACCTTGAGTGGCCGAGATCGGCTGGGGGGCCGCAAACTGCGTGCTGGAGGTCGTGCTGACGGTGGAGGCCGGCGCGGGGATGGAGAACTGCGCCGACGATGCAGGCGCGGGCGCGGGCGCTGGGGTGGCGGACTGGAAATCGTCGAACTCGTCATCGTCATCAGCAGGCTTGGAGTCGAGGATATCGAGTCCGCTGCTGGCCGTGCTGGTGGCAGGCTTCTTGGCCGCACTGACCGAAGTCGTCACGGTCTCCTCTCCAAAGTCGAACAAGTCGGGCTCGGGGGCTTTGGGAGCTGCAGCTGCCGGCTGTTTGGTCTGTCGGGTGGTCCGAGGAGGACTGGGCCCGCGCCGGCGGGGGGGACTGGCATCGCCTTCATCGTACTCGTCGTACTCGTCGAACCGGTTGGAGCGTCTCCCGGAATCATTGATGTCCGCTGTGTTGCCTCCGAAGCCACCGCCGTCGCCGTAGACGCCTCCGCTGTAACCACCAAACGACAGACTCTCACTGCCAAAGCCGCCATACCGGCCGGAGCTGGAGCTGGACATGCCACCACCGATGTGCGAACCACCCTCAAAGCCACCGAACTTGTTGCGGTTGGTCCGAGCCTTCTTTCTCTCCGAGCGGATCAGGTCGACGTCACCGAGCAGCTTCACCAGCTCCGATGACCGGTTGCGCACGTTGATTCCCTGATCTTTTCCGTTCTGGTCGATGAAGTGGAACTGGCGGAGCATCCGGATCAAGGACATGTGGGAGCGGGCATCGTCGACAACGCGTTCGGATCCGTTCTTGATGAGGAACTCTAGCAGTTGGAGCGCCTGCCGCGCATCGTGAGCCGAGACCTACAGGAGGTGTGTCCGGAAGACAGTAGGACCAACCTTGTAGATCTGGCGCCATTCCTCCGATGTCTTGTCTGTGAAGCGCTTGTAGATCATAGGCATAATCTCGTTCAGCAATTGACTGCATGTGGCGACAGGTCATCAGTACTGCGGACGCCTCGGTAGTCCATGCGACGGGGGCGGGGAGACTGACTAGCTATGGGTTCCGCTGGCGATCTCATGCATCAGGGTATTGGAGGCTCCCCAAGGCTCATTGTTGGTAGCTTCTCGAACCTAATAGATGTGAGTGTTGTGCACAACGGACACCGCAGAGGGTGCGGAGGCAGGGACTCGTGGCGGGACGGAACTGGCGGGAGAGTAGGAACGGACCTTGGCCTCCATCTCGGTGTAGTTCATGACCGCTATCAGAGTCAGTGGATCGCCTGTAGCACGGGAGGAGAATCGGAAGCCATCTCAAAGGCCAGGAGGGTTTGGGGGTTTCCGGCGGGGACGTACCATTCTGGACCTTGCGGACTCCCGCCTTGAGGTCATACAAGGTCAGGTTGCTGACCTGGTCTTTGAGGCTGGCGAAATCCATGGCGCTCTCAGCACGGAGGGAAATTCTGGCACAGAATCGATTGAAGCCGCGACAGGAAGCGAGCGGCGGGGACAAGGGCAGGAAGTCAAGTGGCAGGGGACGAGGAGGCGGAAGTTGAGACGGCCATCGCCTCCAGCTGGCATCGATCGCCGTTGGGCCCCAAGCCGTCACGTGGCGCCCCCTGACCCGTCCATCAATAAAGGACCTACACATCTACACTGATTGATCCGTCTACAATCAACAACCCCTCTCCGAGAGATTCCACAAGGTATATACCAGAGCATCATCATCATTCCTCGCAAGGCACCTATAAGGGGTACGTACATACATATATTTCATTCATTCAATCATCAGGGGGACGCAAAAAACACACAGCAAGTATATGGGAATCACTGGCTCATCTTCCCCATGCCATCTCGGGGTCCCATCCGGGATGAGCCTTTTCATCGGCAACATGACACAAAGAAAAAGGGATATCACGAGAGAAATACACATCGCAAAATACAAGCAAAACAAAAAATCAACGAATAGAATCGCATCGAATCGAAGCAACTGGCATACCGTTCCATCACTCATTATAGAATTTCCTCATGATCAGATGCAGGAAAAGATTGACGTTGACCCGTAGGTGCCCATCGAAGAAATCCAGAAACTGCATGTTGTTGAACTGGGCTTGCAGCAGGTCGTCCAACGGAACCTGCGCGTTGGCACCGGGGATCATCATCGGTCCACTGCTGCCATCGATAGTGAAGACACCGACTTCATTACTCGAGATGGTCAGGTCGACCCGGTCCCATTGTCGCTCGGTATAGCCCTTCCAGTGGACGAGAACACCCTTGTCCGCTAGGTTGCGTGCCGAGTACTTATAAGATCCGAACTTGAACACCTTGCCCGATTTCTGAAGCTCGCGCTGGTGATCCCACTGCTTGGTAAACGGCATGAGGAACCGCTTCTTTCCCTTCTTGTTCTGCAGCGTCACCATAGCCTGCTCGATGTAGTCGTTATATGTCTTGAGCTGTTGATCCAGCCAGATGGCTTGGTCGTTTAGGCGGGTAAGCGTCATCCGAGCGCTGTCCAACTCCCGTTCTCGTTGAATCCGTCGGCGATGCTTCGTGCGAATGTCGATGGCAATCGCATTCAGGAGATCCTGGTAGTAGTTGTCACGGCGGATCTTGCCGGTTTGTTCAAGTTGTAAGATATTCTCCAGGGCCGTCTGCTTTAGTTCGGAGTAGCTCATCGAGGCAAGGTCAACCATGGTGTTGGCTTCCGAGTATGCACTTTGTCGGGGATTGTTCGCGCTCAACTCGTCGCGCACCAGCATCATCCATTTGGCTTCGTCCTCCTCGGTGGGCGGCTTGACCATGATCTCCAGCAGATTGGCGCCCGTTTGGACCCGAATAATGTAGAGTATGCATCGTTTGGTCTCCATAAACAGTGCTTTCACATCTGCTTCTGGGTCTAATCCAATTGTCAGTCCCTGGCGCAGCCTAGTACTGAGGGAAGGGGGATTTCTCACCATCAACCTGAGCCAGCTTGGGGTTCAGGGTGAGACTGATTTCAGAAGAGTTGACACTCATCAGCTCGCTCTCGTTAGATTTGACATTACCCAGGTCGCGAATGACTTCCTTCAGAATATCGTCCGGATTCTGGCAGATGTAATGGATTTCGCTGGCGATAAGTTGATGAATGGAGAAGATGTCGGACATTTTAATGTACAACGTAGGCTTCGTCTTGGCATAGAGGTCATTGAACTCGTCGATGTCAAAATACGTTTCTGCGTCCTGAACGGAGACCACTACAACAAAGTCAGCACTGTCAGAAATTGCATTTAATGGGAAACACTCACTGTCCCCCCAGATCTGGCCAAGCCGTTGGATGGAATCCCCGATGTAGTCGTTTAGTGGCTGGAGGTAGACGTTCTCCGTGCCAAAAAGCCGGCCGGAGGCTATCTGCGCGATCACCTTTGAGATCTCTGATAGGTTTCGCTTCTGCTCTTGGGTCAAACCCCGGTCCACCACTCCATACCTCTCTGGTTCGACCATGGCAGGATGGAAGTAGTTCCTCCACACCCAATGGCCCGCAGTCTGGAGGATAAACCCAGAATCTTCCCCAGGGAATCGATGGCGAAGGCTCTCGTACATCTGTTTGGCGATATACCGGATTCCAAAAGGCATTCTGTACAAGAGCTCCTCAAAGGCTGAAAAGAATTGGTCGGCAATATCGCGAAGATCTTGGAGGTGTTGAATGAACGTCGCTCTGGTTTCTGGGTCTTGGATTGCCTCATTCCTCGGGATGTCCAGCCGGCGTCGGCTTCGCTTGCCAGTCCGGAGCTCTTCGTTGTTGATAGCCGAGCGGTAGATCTGTATGGGGTCGCTCTCCAAATCCAAGTCTGGGTTCTCGACCACATTTTCTTTCACGATGGGGCCTAGAATGTCGCGCATAAACTTTCGATCCCGAGGGGACTTGATATAGGACGCGAACAGCTTATTCCAGAAAGAGCTGCACCGTAAGTACTCATGGAGCGAATCAAAACTTTCAATCTCCTCCCTAGCGGAGCGGGCGAGTAGCTTGATGAGGTAGTATTCTTCACGCCTCTTCTGAGAGTATCCAAAGAGACCCATCATCAGATGTCTTATCCGCTCATACTCCTTCTCCGCCGTATTGAGCTCACGCAGCCGTCGGAACAACCGCGCCAGGTATTGAGACTGCGTCTGGAGGAGGAAGAAGAAAACTTGGTATTGCTCCAGCTTCCTTCTCGACGTCTTGTTCAAAGCCTTGAGATCGAATGGGTCTTTGGACGAGATCTCGCGGTTTGGCAAAAGACTTCCAACGTGACCACCAAAATGCTTTTGGTGCTTCACGACTTCATCGAGGGTGATTTTGTTCTTGACAAGGAGGGCAATTTTGATGTCAAGCTGACTGATATACTGTTCAGCCAACTCGTTTTGCCGAACTTGTTGAACAACCAGTTTTCTCGTCCGCTCGAACTCAATTTCCTCGTCAAAATCGAACTCACTATCGTTCAGCAGATGCACGAATCCCTTGACAGTTCCTACAGGTGGGTTCTTTCCACTTGTAAGGCTCTTGTATGCTTGGCCCTGGATCCGACCTCGCACAAAACTCTGCGCTTTGATTACCTTGTCCATATTTTCTCTGTAATGACGGCGCTTTGCTTCGAACCTTGATCTGACGAGATATCCACGGATCTGCGACTGAAGATCCATAACCTCATCTTCGGCAGCGGCCAGGTATGCAAGGGTTTGACCGAGTTCGACCCGAACAAGCATGGCTCTTATCTGTGCTTGGAGCTGGCTAACTTCATCCTCGCAATCATCTAACTCCTCAAGTATACCACCGACGTCAATTCGGAGGATTGCGGCGCGAATAAGAGCTTGGAGGTTTGTTATCACCAGATCTTCCTGCTCTAAAGCATCCGCATCCGCATCCAATCTCTTTCTGAGAATGAGACCCCGAGCCATAGACTGCAGGCCCAGTATTGATGCCTCCTCTCCCTTCAAGAATGCGCGTTGAGATTCCAGGAAGGACCGGGTAGCGTTCGCTCTGGAAATGCTCTGAAGCTCGACAACTGCGGGTACATGCTGGTTCAAACCTTGTCGGAGATGTTCGAGGTGTTCTCTAACAGCATTACCGCGCACGATCGATTGAAGAGAAGCGCACTCATTCTCTGTTCTTGCAAGAGCCTCTGCTTGCCGCTGTTGGAGGATCCTGACAGCAAAAGCCCGAGCGCCTGCTTGAACAAAGGTGATTGACGGAACTTCCTGAGTAAGTGAGGACTTCGTTTCTTTAATTCCGTTCCGGGCCAACATCCCTCGGATGAGCGCTTGCAGAAGTTCAGTGCCTACTCCAGCCTCGTCGATCTCCGCGTACTGTGTGCTCATCTGCTGCCGGACGAAGGCACCTCTGATAAGAGCTTGAAGCTCTATCACACCTGATTCGGTAGACCGGGTTGCTTCATACTGCTTCATGAACTCACTGCGCTGGATAGCGCCTCGGATCAGAGCTTGAAGCTCTACCACGTCCGGCTCGGTGGACCGTACTGCTTCATATTGCTGCGTAAATTGCCTGCGCTGGAGTGCTCCTCGAATCAGAGCTTGAAGCTCTACCACGTCCGGCTCGGTGGACCGTACTGCTTCATATTGCTGCGTAAATTGCCTGCGCTGGAGTGCTCCTCGAATCAGAGCTTGAAGCTCTACCACATCCGGTTCGGTGGAATGTACTGCTTCATATTGATGCGTGAGCTGGCTGCGCTGTAGCGCACCTCTGATAAAAGCTTGAAGTTCTATCACACCAGCCTCGGCCGACTGTGTTGCTTCGTATTGCTTTGAGAACTGCTTGCGCTGCAGAGCACCCCGAATGGCAGCCTGCAGCATTAAAACCTCTTCCTCCGCATCTCTCGTATCCTCGTAGAGTTCACACACGGTCTTCCGTTGAAGCGCTCCTCTTAGGGCTGCTTGGATCATTTTGATACCCGATTCCTCTTTCCGCATAGAAGTTTGAATCTGATTCACCTGAGCCCTTGCCTTGGCTCCTCGGATAAGGGTCTGCAGCCGCAGTACATCAAGCTCCTGGGCCTGGTAATTTTCTCTAACGCCTCTTTGGCGGTTTCGTACCAGAAAGGCTCGACAGATCGCTTGCAGATTTGTGGCGAATATTTTCATGTCCAGTCGGTAGTGAACGATCTGACGGGCCCAATCGCCGCGTATCCTCGACTGCAGCTCAATTAGGAAAGGCTCGAAGTCCCACAAATCGTTCATCAAGTTGCCGAGCTTCAATCGTAGCATCGCTCCCTTAATCTGAGCTTGGAACTCCACAATCGACGCTTCGTTTTCGTGCAGTTCGCGATCGATCCGATCTTCCTCGGATTCCGGCTCCGGCTCTGGTTCAGGCTCTGGTTCGGCTCCGAAGTTGGCAGCCATTCCCGTGAAACTGGGCATGCTGACGCCCGCCTTATCGAGACCCTTCTGTGTTTGCTCAAGTTCATGATGTTCGAATTCCAATTGACCCACCAGATTTCCCATTCGAAAATCGACGAGGCCTTTCTTGAACATCAGCCATGACAATGCGTGGACGCAGTGGATGACCTTGGGAAGGTTTTTCTTCTCGTAGAGATCGATGAGCTCGAACCTGAATAGCTCCGGCAGCTCGACTTCATCCAGGAACCGAAAGAACAGTGCTATGTTGTCGGAATGGCGATACTGCAGCCGCGGGTGTCTGAAAATCCGGAAGGTTCGGTTTGGGTACATTGCTTGAACCACCTCCGCGAGCGTTACTCCGTCACGCAGGGCTTCTTCCAACTGAACAATCGGCGGGATTTGTTTCTGAATGACCTCTTCGATCCATTCCTTGGCCTCTCCAATATGGCAGAGGTACTCGTATGCCTGTAGGAATTGCCGTTGTTTATCCATCCAATTCCCAGCCGCCCACGCCGATGCTGGCTTCTTCCGTCCTACTATAGGACCATTGTTCCCAGTCACTGTATCGGCTCGCTTCAAGCGTCGTCGCCCCTGCAACCCCACCACGGATGCACCATAACTGTCAAGAGCGAATTCTTCCGTCTCTCCAGACTTTGCAAACTTTGATAATGTTCGAAGGTGGCCGGTTGAAGATTTCTGGAATGTCTCTAACTCGGGGGCCGACAGGGTGTGGGTGACCTGCGGCGGGTTGGACAAACTATGAGCATGATGCGCTCTCACTTGTGGCTTGGTTTGAGGTGAGACAGCATGCGGGGACCAATTATGGGGCGAACTGGCTTTCGTAGAGCTCTGGTCGTTGTATGACGCTGTTTCCTTGGGTGTCTCAACTTCCTGGTGATGCGCATGACGGGGTTCGGGGGTCTGTGGACGATTCTCCTTCCAGTACTGAGGGTTGTCGACTGTCTGGCTTCGGTTATGGCGAAAGGCGGGTGGTTTGGTAGTTACAGGAGATGAGTTGGGAGATGAGTTGGGGGCTTGGGACAGTGGTCGCAATGAGCGGCGGATATTCTCATAAGTGGCGCCCGCATTGGCCCAACTTTTCCCTTGGGAGGCGCCCCCCGACATTTCCTTGAGGGTCGTGGTGTTTACTTCGCTCTTTCCCCGTCTATGGCCAAGCACAGACCCAATGGACGCGACTGAGGAGACGGTGCTCGTGCGACTGGGAGCAAGTGAATTCGACGAGACGGTGTATATGGATGAGTTTGTGGAGGCCGTTGATCCATGGCGGAGTGGGCTCGATGTCTGGTCAGGAAAATCCGTCTGTGTGCGTCGGAGCGATGCGAAATGGCTTGACATCACGGTTGCCGATCTGAAAAGAAGAATGCGATAACCAATGGAAATGGAAGAGGCTCAGCTTCAATTGGCCGCATACCTACCTCCCGGACCGAAGCAGCAAGCCGACAAAAGTCGAGCGCAGAAGAGGTTGCGTGGATATCACTGGGATGGAATGTTCAACCAAGGGAGAGGCTGCATGACCCTGTGGTAACGGGAAGAATTGGGCCGGGAAGAATCGGTTGATGTAGAAACGGAAGGGCTTGGGCCTGAAAGCGCCTGATAAGGGAAAGATCAGAAAGCACAGCTCAGACGAGCAGGAGAAACATTAGGGGGTTCCACTGATCCCACTCGGTCGCAAGGTCCAAAATCTGAGTTGCGCGCAGATGGATTGATACTTCGTGAAGAAGAATACTGCAGCAACAGGAATGAAAACAAGAGGGAACTTGGAAGATGGTCAGCGCTAAAGCGGGGGTTCGGCGACCAAGTAAATCGGAGGCAGGAACGAGGGACGAGGAACGACCCCCAGCCCCCAGCCAAGAGCGAAAACAAATCTCCCAATCGGGGATGGCGTGCACGGGCAGGTGACTGTGCCGCCGATTGCCTCGACCAGTGACGTCGATCCGTGCCTCAGCCACAGGATTGTGTGGCTGGTAGCAGTTCCCACGATGGAATGAATCAATTCTCCGTCCCTCGTGCGAGATCGGGTCTGTCCGATCGATCGATAGTGGATTTCGGTTGCTGTCATGGGAAGACCTAAAGAAGCTGTCACAATGGATACCTAGGAGATTCCCAAAAATTTCATAGCTGTTTGCTGTTTTACGAGAAGGGAAAACACTATTACTAGATATATATCCCGTCACCCACCCATTCAGTTAGTGTACCCATATCCATGAAGAACTTTTCATATCCGAGCTTGCTCTCAGTAAATACTCTATTGCACTTACTCGCATCAATTAAACAGTGGCAGCAAATTGCTTTTTCAGAGAAACATTGTCACCTATCTTATCAGGATCAGCTGCGGGTAATTGACCAAGGCGCTCGACCCTATGAAGGAGCTAAGACCCCAGTGGATTTGATCTCCTAGATAAGGCTGCAGCGAGTGCAAACTATTTACAACATAATCTCCAAATCCTCATGCCTAGTAGCATCGGAAGGTAGATCGTGAAAGTAAGTAAACCATGAGGGGCGGGATACCGGATACCGCCGCGGTCACGGGAACCCGAGGGACAGACATCGCCGCCGCTTATGACGATGAACTCATGGAGGGGTGAAGGATGGCCGTCCCACCCTCCCCCCACTAGCGTCAGTTATCGCCATTCCGTCGGCAGACAGAATCTACAACTCTACTCATTCACCACGCGCTCCTCTTGCCCGACTTATCAGCGCAGACGAGAAATCACATCAGGGAAAATGACGGACACCGAACCCCTCTACGTCTACAAGCTCATCCCGTCTACAGCTCCGGTCCGGGAACCTCTCCCCGAACGGCTGCCAGTTAGCGAGCTCGATGAGCAATCGGGATTCGTTCACCTTTCCACTGCTTTCCAAGTACCCAATACCCTCAAGTTCTTCTTCAAGGATGAGCCGCTTGTCTACGTGCTCCGGATTCCGTTCGAACGGGTATCCGGCCAGGTCCGATGGGAAAACCCCGAGGGGACTGTATGCGGACCGCGACCGAAAGAGGGCTTGTTTCCAGTAGGTTTTGACCAGCGGGACGACACTTGGCCATACACGCATGTATCGGCCGGAGATTACCAGGCTAATCGTCTGAGTAGCATCTGTACAATGACCTCAAGCTGGGTAAAGACGAGGTAGAGACCGTTGCGATATGGAAGAATGAGGAAGGCTGGGATAAAGCGCTCATACAGGCGAAGCCGTGGCTTCTGTATTGATCGCTTTACGCATTACACTGAGATTCAAAGCTATGATACATGTACACATTTTCTCATAACAAGCCCCAGAGATATGTTCTGGAGCGAGTCAGTAACGATGGAATGCAAAGTCGTCATGGCGGCAAGCCGACGATCACCTCCGCACCATGAAACTTATTTTAATCCCCTAGGGGATAGCAGTGTAGAATCTGACCGTCTATCCCGAGTTAGCAGATACAAGAGGTAGACCTGCAGCCTTTGCCGCAGACAGGGTAAGAGGAGACTTACAAAAGAGCGAAGCGTCTGCGCTCGCCAGAAAGATGAAGCTGGTAGCGACTTCGCTTGGCTGGCCAGGTCGACCGATAGAAGATCCAGCCCCAAAGTTTTCCATCTGTTCGGGCTCTCGGGTATCAACCTGAATGGGTGTATACACGGGACCAGGGCTGTCAAGAATCATGGTCAACATTGCATCTGCTCGTGAAAGGGCCTGTTGAGCTTACGCTACTGCATTAACGCGGATACCCTTCGGCTTCAGCTGCGCGGACAATGATCTGGTAAAGCTAACAATAGCACCTTTAGTCGCACTATAGTCGACCATGCTGCTTGTGCCTCGGAATGCCACGGTGGAAGTAGTGTTTATAATGCTAGAAGTCCAGTTAGACATAACCAGGTAATTTCGCTCAACGAGGGAGGAACTGACGAATCTCCCTTGGACAAATGCGGGAGGGCAAATTTTGTGACGGCGAACATCTGGATAATGTTGCTTTCGAAGGTGTCGGTAACATTGTCGAGATCGATCTGCGAGAAATCTTTGCACATGTATTGCTTCGAGGCATTGTTGACTAGAATGTTCAGTTTCTTATAACTGCGCCTGCCATCAGCAAGGTATCCTGGACAGATGGATGATGACAAGCAACCTACGCGTTCATGTGCTCCTCAACAGCCTTGCGACACGTCTCACGATTGGCCAGATTACCACCAAAGAGGTGACATGATCTGCCCTCAGATTCAACCATTTTCTTGGTATCTTGGGCATCTTGTTCCTCTTCTGGCAGGTATACAATCGTGACGTCGGCCCCTTCTCGTGCCATTAGGACCGCGACCGATCGGCCGATTCCCGAACTACGAGAAGGTTATTGTCCGATCTTGTTCTATCATGTTTCTTAGGGATACATACTCGCCGCCGGTGATGAGGGCCTTTTTGTCCTTCAGTTTCCCAGAACCGATGTACTCAATGAAGGTTCCACTGGATTCCAGTTTGGTGGCTTCACTCGCGGGTGCCATTTTCTTCTCCAGCCTGATATTGACCTTAGCTTTACCGAGCTCCTGGCAGCCATTTAGAGATGTAGGGAAAGACTACCCTGGCTTGGCTTGGGCTTGAGCTGCCTGGGGTGCCTGGAAGACCCCCTCCTTGCCAATTTCAGATGCCATTTTGTTCCATGTAATTGTGTTGTGAATGTCCTAAAAAGATATTGACAAGAGGTAAACCAACCATGGCTTTGGCTGTCTATATATGCCAAACAAACTTCTTTGCGTTCGGTCACCCTGGCGTCATGGAGTTGCACTACGTAATTAGCCGGTGCCACATCTCAGCAATACAAACACCTCGATCTTCACGGTAATCCTAGCAGCATCACATCATCGCCTCAGATTAGATGCATGAAACGATGAATCTTTTGTTTTTGTGTAGTACAGCTGGATCATATCTGTTATGGAGCTGTAACAGATCATACTATGTAAACGTTTGAGCTTGTTGTCCACGGCCGTGATCGCCACCAGGGACGGTTAGTACCAGAAGTATGACGGAGTGAACTAGACAGAGGACTTAGTACCACTTTAGATGACCCAGGTAGACTAATAATAGCAAAGAATCATTGCTAGCGTTCAGACTTCTTCTAGTGCTAGTATATACTACTCTGTATATTGTAGTAGTTCATGCGCTCTCCAATTCTAAGACATTGCAATGATCTAATTAGATCCAAGGACTACCCCGGCAACCCTACTGATGTACGTTGGGTGGTACATCGTACTTTTGTAGATAACTTATCGGGAAGACTGGCTAGTGCTGATTAAAAAAAAAGAAGATCCCACCAAAGGTGCCATCGTGGGAAAAGAAACCGCACACCAGTCTGGAGGACCGGCTGTTATCACCGCAAGCAGCAATGAGATACTGTTCCACGAAGTAACCTCAAACCCGGGAGCGTTCCTATTATTAACACGCGAGGGGAAATTTTTCTGATTCCACTTGGATCAGTCAGGATTATTAAAGCCAAAATGTCACCCCTCCCTCTCACCGCCTGGCTGGGGTTCGTTTAGCAGCCAATTAGAACCCCCAGCGCACGGCGGCGAGACGAACCATACCCATTGCGGCAAGTTTCCTGCAGAGATTGCTAGCGGTTAGCGCCTGCCGCAGAAGTCAAAAGGCAATTTTTTTCTCCTCCGGTTTTTCTTCTTTTTCCTTCTTTCTTTCCTTTGGGAAAGGAAGACTTTCTCCATCAACAGAACGTTTCTATCGTCGATCTGTTGATTATTTCTACTCTTGATTCTAGAATTCTTTCTCCGGGGTACGATAGAATCGGTAGAGTCTTTTTTCACAATGCCTATCTCCAACGGTGACTCTCTTGGCCGCGCCATGCAGGCCGAGATCCAGGACCACACCAAGGCCCTGGAGGTCCTGGCCCAGGAGTACACTACCGGGGACGGTCTTGACATTGACACCCTGCTGGACTCCGACAAGCACGGAGCGTTGACCTACAACGACTTCCTCATCTTGCCTGGATACATCGGTAAGGCGAACATTTGCAGCCTATGGTGATTCTGATCGAGCTCGGTTGCTTATGCCCATGACAGGCTTCCCTGCCTCCGATGTCAGTCTGGACACCCCCGTCACCAAGCGTGTCTCCCTGAAGGTCCCCCTTCTCTCTTCCCCCATGGACACCGTTACCGAGCACAACATGGCCATCCACATGGCTCTCCTCGGTGGTCTGGGTGTCATCCACCACAACTGCGCTCCTGCCGAGCAGGCTGAGATGGTCCGCAAGGTCAAGAGATACGAGAACGGTTTCATCTCGGACCCCGTTGTGCTTTCCCCCAAGGCCACCGTCAGCGAGGCCAAGGAACTGAAGGCTAAGTGGGGTTTCGGTGGTTTCCCTGTTACTGGTGAGTCCAAATTATTTCCTACTTCATGTGCCCCCTTCATTGTGATGATCAACATCTTTTTTCTATATAACTTTCGTTCCACTGGAGCAGCGAGAGTTGCGATGTAGAGAAACAGAACCTATCTGACCCTTCATGCCATCATGATACGTTATTGCTTGGTTCAAGTCAAAGTCATTGATTCTAACTGCATCTATCATGATAGAGAACGGAACTCTTCGCTCCAAGCTTGTCGGTATCGTCACTTCTCGTGACATCCAGTTCCACAACAACCTCGAGGACCCCGTCACGGTCATCATGTCCACTGATCTCGTTACTGCTCCGGCTGGTACCACCCTGGCTGAGGCCAACGAGGTCCTCCGTTCCTCCAAGAAGGGCAAGCTCCCCATCGTGGATGAGAACGGCAACCTTGTCTCCCTGCTGTCCCGCAGCGATTTGATGAAGAACCTCCACTACCCCCTCGCCTCCAAGCTGCCCCAGTCCAAGCAGCTCATCTGCGCTGCCGCTATTGGTACCCGTGAGGAGGACAAGGCCAGACTGAAGTTGCTCGTCGAGGCTGGTCTCGATATCGTTATCCTGGACAGCAGCCAGGGTAACAGCATGTACCAGATCCAGATGATCCGCTGGGTCAAGGAGAACTTCCCCGAGATCGATGTTATCGGTGGTAACGTCGTTACTCGTGAGCAAGCCGCAGCTTTGATTGCTGCCGGTGTCGATGGCCTGAGAATTGGCATGGGCAGCGGCAGTGCTTGCATCACCCAGGAGGTCATGGCCGTCGGTCGTCCCCAGGCCGCCGCTGTCCGCAGCGTGACTTCTTTCGCCGCCCGCTTCGGTGTTCCTTGCATTGCTGACGGTGGTATTCAGAACGTTGGCCACATCGTCAAGGGTCTGGCCGCGGGTGCCTCCACTGTCATGATGGGTGGTCTCCTTGCCGGTACCACCGAGTCTCCTGGTGAGTACTTCGTCAGCAAGGAGGGTCAGCTTGTCAAGGCCTACCGTGGCATGGGCAGTATCGCCGCCATGGAGGACCGCAAGGCTGGTGCTGGTAGCAAGGACAGCAAGGCCAGCAACGCTGGTACTGCTCGTTACTTCTCCGAGAAGGACAGCGTCCTGGTTGCTCAGGGTGTTGCTGGCTCCGTTCTTGACCGTGGCTCCATCACCAAGTTCGTCCCCTATCTCGTTGCGGGTATCCAGCACTCTCTGCAGGACATTGGTGTCCCCAGCCTTCAGGCCCTGCACGACGGTGTGAACAACGGCTCTGTCCGCTTCGAGATGAGAAGTGCCAGCGCCATGGCCGAGGGTAACGTCCACGGTCTGCACAGCTACGACAAGAAGCTCTACGCTTAAGCGGTGAAAGCTTAAGGGATGGAGTTCTTTTTGTTTGTTTATTTTTATTCAAGAGCCTTTCTGTTCATAGGTCTTGTTACATGATGATATGTGGCTGTTACGAAAAACAAAAGCTCGGGCATGGGGAACAGGAGTTCGACTTGTGGTGACGCACACCTTCGGTTCATGGTTATCAATGCATTATGCCTTTCTTCAATAATTATACCTACAACCTAGACTTACGACAGTCACCAATATACATATTTCTGTCAGATGTACATCTGTTCTCCGTAGCTGTAGATCATCGATAAGACTTAGTCATCTGGCAGACTACCGCAGAACGCGGGGTCGGCACCCTTGCCTAGGCCGTGCAACCGCGGCCGGGGATCTGGTCCCTTTGGCCCGTCATTACTTTCAAGTTGCACATCTATTGCCATCCATCAATCAGGCTATCCGTCTCAGAGAGTCTGCTCACGCGCCTGTCTGCATTGACCTGGTGCACCATGATTGCAAACCCTCACGGGATTTCCTGGTTCATGTGTAACTCTCTGCCTTACCGGCGGGAAGTGGCCCGAGGTATTCGGCTCTCAGTTTCTAGACTATCATATAGACTCCAGCAACCCTGGTTATGCCACAGCCGCTTCGGTCATCCTGTGTCTAGATCAAGCTCTTCTGTTTTTAGGCATCAGCAAGCATCTGCAGCCCGGAATATGTCGTCTGGGAAGGTTCCCAAACCCAAGGCTCCGCTGGCCGTTCCTCGGCCAAGTTCAAGGTTCGTCGTCGCTAGCATAGTCTCGTCGCATGATAGGCCGACTATCCTCGTGTTTCACCAATCCTATGAGGTGCCAAGTTTCGCAGCTAACAATTCCCAGTGTAGTTCTCATATCTCCCCGAAATGAGGTCCTGCTCCTCCACCGTGTCAAGACATCCACGTCGTTCGCATCGGCGCATGTCTTTCCTGGAGGTAATCTCTCCAAGCAGGACGGGTCATGTCCTCCGCCCGAAGATCTCTCCCGACACAATGATGGCCCCTGGTATCGTCATGCCGCTATCAGAGAGCTTTTCGAAGAAAGCGGCATTCTCCTAGCCAAAGACCGCGACTCGGGAAAGATGCTCGCTGTCTCGGAGGAGCAGCGTGAAGCTGGTCGACGCGCGATCCATCAGCACAAGATCACGTTTACGGATTGGCTGAAGGAACAGAATCCTGCTGCAGTACCGGATATAGGTAGGATAGGCACGTTCTGTCCGTTGTGATCGGTGCTAATGGATTAATACCCACAGATCAATTGATCCCCTTTACGCGATGGATCACGCCTACGAATGTTCCCAAACGGTATACGACGCAGATGTACCTTTACTTTTTACCCTTGCCGTTGGAGATTGAGAAGCCGATTCTCGATGAGATCCCGCCGGAAGGGCAGACGGAGGAGATCCAAATCCCGACGAGCGATGGCGGAGTGGAGATCTCCGAGGCGAGGTTCCTGCCTGCGTCGGAATGGGTCCGGATGGCGCGAATTGGTGAAGTCATGCTGTTTCCGCCTCAGTTCTTGCTTCTACATCTGGTGGCGGAGTTTCTAAATAAGGCTCCCCCAGGGACAGAGTCAGTTGAGGAGCTAGGGCAGCGACGAGCAGAATTGATGCAGTTCATTCAATCAGGCCAGCCACCCTGGACGGAGAAATGTATTTGCCCGAAGATGCTCAAGGTATCGTCTGATGGACGGACCGTGCTAGCATTAGACCAACCTGGACCGGAGCTGAAGACAACGGGTCGACAAGGAGAGACAGAGCGGGTTGTCCTTGTGAAGTTCACCAAAGGAAGCGTACAGGATGTCGAGGTGCGATGGAAAAAGGACATATTCAGCGAGAGCCATCTGTAACAACAGCATACCAGTATACCACCAACCAAACCACAACTTACCTGGTAGTGTACATACCCAGTTCATTGCCTTACCAGGCACACCCAGCCCTGTACCATACATACATACCATACATACCACCTCTCACCAGCCACAATCCCATCACTCCCATCGCCACACCCCACCCACCCCTCCGACCAATCCCAACCCCGAACACCCCCTTAGTCATCAAGCCCTCGACAAACAATCACATGACCCACAACCCGCATTCGCCAGAAGGGCAAGAAAGTCGACGGCGGAATTTCACGCACCGTCCGCCAGTTTAACCCGCCAGCGCAAACCTCCGTCCTTCTCACCGTCGTCAACCTCAACCCCTCCCCCCCCAAAACCAACCCGCCAAAATGGAGAACGAGAAGGGAGAGATCGTCGATCTGTATGTATACCTTTTCTTTTGTTGAGCTGCCAGTTAGGATGGGTGCGTGATGGGTGGTCTTGGATGGGATATGCGATCGATGGTCGGTTAGTCGGGATGAATCCGTGGAAAATGAGGGGATTACAGATCGGTGGATGTTGCAGGGGGATCATGTTGTTGGAATTGGTTGAGTTGGATTGGATTGGATTGAATCAAATCGCATATTCGAGAAAGAGAAGGACAGGACATGAAAGAATGACCGACCCGACATCGCATCGCATATCCCATCCGACAATCGCGCATCAACCACCCATCTCTCCACTCTACTATAAGAGATCAATCCAAAAATGCTAATAATAATCAGCTACGTCCCCCGCAAGTGCAGCGCCACCAACCGCATCATCAAGGCCAACGACCACGCCTCGGTCCAGATCTCCATCGCCAAGGTTGACGAGAACGGTCGCTACACCGGCGAGAACCAGACCTACGCTCTGTGCGGTTTCATCCGTGCCCGTGGTGAGAGCGATGACTCCCTGAACCGCCTTGCCCAGCGTGACGGCTACGTCCGTAACGTCTGGTCCGCCTCCAGCCAGCGGTAAATGTTGGTTACGGGGTAGATGGATGGGATGTCTGATGAATGTGGGTGGGTGTTTGATGATGGTACGTTATACTTCTGCTATCTTGGACGATGTGTGGGTGGTCTTAAGTACAATAGACTAACAAGAATAATGGTATAGGATGAGGACGATATTCAATATCTCAAAATCTAATCTTTCTTTCTCCCCCCCAATCCCCTCGGGGGAAAAGAAAGAAAAGTGAAATGCAAAATTTTTCCTTTAACAAAAATTTTATTTTATCTTCCATCAATCAATATCTACCTACTTCATCTATCTGCTTTCCTTTTCCTATTCCCGATATCTACTTATTCGTTCCTGTTTCACCGTAGTACTCTACCTTCTCTGTATACATTTCTTATTTCTATTATATTGAAGGATCCGGCATATGAAATCTTCTCACTCAGACGAGATCGGATTGATTGGTTCTCAAACTAATTATCTGATCAACGCATCGTCTAAACACCATGAGTGAGGAGGTAGAATGTAGAAAAATACAATCCATCGCCGAAGATTACGCTGCCGCCGACTGAAGAGCCACTTTTGCAGAGATGTGCACTGGGGCACAGATACGGGTGGGACATTTCTTTCATTTCTTAAATAGCTTAGCAAGTAGCTCTGTTGGTAGTGAAAGTGAAGAATATGTGGAAATGCTTTTCATTCTACTCATAACTGGCCTGTTGTCTCGTAGTCTTTTTTAACTGTTTTGTATGCTGGTGCTAGATGGTGTCTATGTGGAGTTTGGATTGAGCGGGAACGTGTAGTCTAGTATCTAGTCCTTCTCCAGTCTGACGGCCGGGTTGGTCTCGATGAAGTTGAGATCGACCTTGTGGCCCAGCAGTTCTCGGATGTTGCTGACGCCGTACCTGTAATGCATCGTTAGTCGCGATCTGGTCGAATCCATGCGAGCACTTACTTGATCATGGTCGGTCTCTCCAGACTCAATCCCCATCCGTACACTTGCATGCCCTTGGGAATACCCATCGGCTCCAACATCTCCGGTCGGAACATACCGCTGTTGCCGATCTCAACCCACTTACCAAGGCCGGCGTGGTAGCCGAAGATCTCCATACTGGGCTCGGTGTACGGGTTGTAGGCCGGCTTGAAGCGCAGCCCGTGGATGCCCATCTTGGCGAAGAAGACCTCCATGAAGCCAATCAAGCCACCCAGGGTGAGGCCGAAGTCGGCAATGACACCCTCGATCTGGTGAAACTCGGCCAAGTGAGTCGCGTCGACCGCCTCGTTACGGAACACTCGGTCGATACTGAAGTATCTCGCCGGACGAGGGTTGGCCGCGAGCTTGTGCAGAACGTATGTCGAAACCGAGGTGGTGTGTGTGCGGAGAACCAGCCGCAGCGCCTCGTCGGCATCCCAGGGGTAGCGGTAACCAATAGATCCGTACTTGCCATTCTCGTGCACCTGGCGGACGTCGTCCCAGTACTGCTTGTAGTCGAGGGGCTTCTCCTTGCCAGCGCCCGACGCGGCGTGGACGGTCTTGAGACGGTGAGGGTCGTTTGGCGGGTCCTCACGGGGAGGGTCGGCCTTGGCCGGGTCGGCAATATAGAAGGTATCTTGAAGGTCACGGGCGGGGTGTTGCTGAGGGACGAAGAGGGCGTCGAAGTTCCAGAAGCCCGTCTCCACGAAACGGTTGGTAGGCATCTCCTCGAAACCCATTTCGAAGAAGATATTGCGGAATTCCTGGCGCACCTTGTTGAGGGGGTGGAGAGCACCAGAGGGCGTGGGAGCACCCTTGGCCTTGAAGTTGTAGGGCTTCAGCTGGGCCGTCTTCCAGGAGCCGTTCATGAGCATCTCCGCGGTCAGGTCGGTCTCCTCCTTGACGAACTCGCGAGCGAACTTGGGACCCTTGGAGATCTTGAAGGAGATGACCTTCTGCAGAGCGACCAGCTTGCGCCGCTTCAGGTCCGTGAGAGCCTTCTGGTCTGCCAGACTCTGGGTGTTCTTGACGGTCAGCAACAGCTCCCGGGTCTCGTCCACGATGGTCTCGGTTGTCGCCCGCAGAAGGTCCTTGTCCTTCTTGATCCAACCCTTCTTGAAAGCATTGCCCTGGCCGATCTTCGCGTTCTCCTTTCCGACAATTCCAGGCAATTCGCCGATCTTCAATCCGTCCAGGGCAGCCAGAACCGCCTGGAACACCTTGGCTTCGTGACTGCCGTTGGTGGCAATTTCTTCACCTTCGGGCGTCAGAGCGGCAACTTCCTTGTCGATGGTCTCATACTCGACCATCTGTCGTGAGGCTAGACGGTCGAGCGCCGCCTTGATATTGAGTGAGGGGGTGGAGGGGAAGGCATCGCTGGAGAGGATGGAGGCATCGGACGCGGACAGGGCGTCCAGGATGGGGTTCGTCATATCGGTCGCCATGATTGCGAGTCGTAGACCCCGAGGCACGGATCTGAGGGGCGTGAAGAAGTGGTGGAAAGACCGGAGGGGCGATTGAGGACTCAATCAGATACTGCCCACTTTCCGAAATTGTGACTCTTTCGGGCAGCCCAGTCCGGTACGGCGGACGCTTGCGACCAACCCTGCCATCCCGTGACTTGCCGTGGCTTTTACCCCGCCATCCGTTTGGCTGTCTACTTCCTCCGTACTTCCATACTACGACTAGTATCCTCTATCCAGATCGATGTACGATGGCGATCTTCAAGGGGCGAATCGATGTGATGGAGTCAACTTGACCGGCTCAGCTCCTCCCAGTCTGGCCTCGCAGTTTCTGATGCAGAGACCCGAGACTGGACGCATCCTCGTCGCCTTGCAGCTGAGCAGGACTTGTTCGCATGATCGAGCTCCCAGATCAAGCGATCAGATCAACTGCAACTTCTGCTGTGTCTATGACACTGGGCGGTCTCCGGTATCCTATCCCTTCCGCGAGTGAAGGCGGATGGTACAGATAAGAGTGCGTGACAGAGAGATACTAGAGCAACCAGCTGTCCCTGCAAAGTGTATATATAGTCCGGTACATGGAACACTGCACCGAGATCTGCCCCTTTGGGCAAGGCACAGGGTCCCGTGGTATCCCCGTTCCAGCTGCCGGAGTTCAATGTATCCTGAGACTTCCACCCTGCATTTGCATCCCAACTGGTCTGTCCAGCCATGCCAATGTTCACGGATGACTGCATACACCCCGAGGACTCAACAGTGGCTATGTTTGATGAGCTACTACCTGCAATTACACGGATGAGGACCGATCCTCGCCAGTCCTGGAGGCTATCTTATGCAGCAATAACATCCCCAGTATGAAGGAGTGTACTCCGCATCGACTATAACTTCCCGCGAATACAAGCAATGAAAGCATCTTGCTGACTGACTGGATTGATTGAACTGCGTCAGCGCTAGTGAACCTTTGTCTCCCGCGAGTCCCAAAGCGCAACGGCCGTGACCACAGTCCGGGGACTCCGTAAAGTGACCTGGCCGACCCAGCGAAGGTTTATCTAAGTTTCGACCCCATGCAATCTGCCGCTGGACTTGGAGAGCTGTCAGCCGTGGTGGCTGGCATGGATAGATACCGCACCTTTTAGTTCGGCTGTCCAAGCAAATTAGCTCCTTACCCAACGGTTAGGCGAGACTTAAGGCGGGTTAGTGGTCGCCCTCAGTCGCAGCAATTGGTGGCCACGACTATTCCACGTACTACGGAGTACTCTTTCAAGTCTTCACCACACAAGTAGTAGATGTCACCGGGCCATGACTGACCCGCGTATCTGGGAAATCTTGCTTTGGGGCGGTTCTTGAAGATCTCGAACAGTCGGTTACGTGAAGTCATTGCCCGGCAGTCTTAAAAAGTCGGTTCTTGACTTTTGGTCCAAACACGGACCGAGACCACCACCACTGGGCAGGTACAAACCCTGGGAAGCACTCGATTGTAGCTCACATCATCCAGCTCACGACATCAAGGTCTGATACATCGCCGCCATACTTGTTACAGGTACCTATCCGGATTCTTACAACCTTGAACCTCGCATGAGCGTCCCAGACGGGCCTAGCTCGTGGGGCTAGAAAAGGCCCTCCGAGTTGAGCCGGATCTGATTGGCCCATCCATGGAACCGATGGGTCTTCGCACGCGACCGTTGGGTCTGGACTGGCGCCGTCGACGCCCCGGGGATCTTGTCTCCCGGCCTGGTACGGCCTCCCCCCGTATGAAGATTACCTCCGTTACCTGTATCCGTCATTCATCTCGCGGGCTCTGCTCTCGTCCAAAGGTAAGCTCCCATACTCTTCCCCCCCCCACCGTTGATGCTCATCACCTCCGGTACGGAGCCACAGTCCGACTCAGAACGGATGGGACGTCTAACTAAGTTCCAAGGCCTACTAGTAGGTCGACGAACCTTGGGCTTGGGACCTCCATCGAGGACTAGGGGATCCGTGAGATCTCCGGCCAGCCGGGAATTTTCCAGACTGAACTTATCCGGTGAACGCGAGGGCTGATTCATGCAGCCAAATAGGCAGCAGCTCGGTAGTTAAAGCCCACAAAGGACGGGATCTTCAAGCAAGGTCGACAATCCGGTTAGGCAGTACCATCGTTGTTCGGATAGACTGTGTGTTGATCTACCTCCCTGATCATCCCCCCGATCAACGGGAGACGAAGTTGAGGAACCGCTTCCTCTGGCCGGGGACGCGGCAGGTCATTTCCTGTTCCTGCACCTCCCTGTCCAGTGTGTTTAGACTAGGGGGGTCGCTTGTCCGTCATCCTGTCATGGCTCCCGCCGGCGTTGACTCGAAACAGGCATGAATGGTCGGCGTGTGATAGGTAATCTTAACCAGGGCCGACTCCCGACTCACCCATCTAACCTGCTGGAGCCACGGAAAACCGATCGCCACTAGTTTTGGAGTCGATCAGCTGTGTTCCAATCATGACACGCCGTGGATGGGGCATAGCGAAGGTCGACCATCAACACGCGCGCCTGGCGGACGGACCGTAAAATTGGCGTATTTGTGCTGTCTCTGCGATATATCCGAGGGAGGTGTGTGGGCTACATTCCTGGTTGAGCCAAATCTCTTTATCTGCCGCCTAAGGAGGGCTGTCGACTAGCGTTGTTTGTCATGGACCAAAAGTCCAAAGAAGTTTAAAGGGGAGACAGAAAGTACGTCCGTACCTGCCTGACTACTTCATTGATCCAAGCAGGGATGCCCGTGCGTTACAGGACACCAAACCTGCAGAGGCCGTGGCAATTGTGGAGGTTAGGCCCCGAGTCGGGGGGCCGTCGTGCTGGCGTTGCCGGTGGTATGCTTCTGCACACGCACCCACGCTGGGGACACCGGCCCAGGGCACACAAGGGTTCGGACGTGGGATATTGAGGTGAGACACCCAAGGGACCACTTGCTATTATTATTTCCTTGAGACATGGCGGTCACTCTAGTTCATACCCTTCTGGGTCGTAGTGGCAGTTCGACAAGTCAAAAAAGCAAAGAAGCAAGCAGTCAGATCTCCACCTCGAAACGAGCGTCTGTTCCTACTCGTAGAAGAGAATTTTCAAGGCCGGGCCCAAGGGCCCTATCATATCTGGGTACGTATCTCCTCCGTGGGAGCAGGACTAATAGTAATGATAATAATAGTCATGGCGATGGAGCTGAAGGTCGCACACATCTACCGACCGGCTGGACGAGCAGAACCGGATCTTCTGTGACAGATGGGTAGAGTCGATCCTCGATTTCCGCTAGATTGTTCTGTCCGTTTATTTTCTTTTTCGTTGCCCTCTGCTGACTTTGCCGTGTCCGTACATACATACTCCGTACATACATCTTAAAGTAGGCTTTCTGCGGGGCATAAGACAGAAAAACCAGGAATGGGGTCAAGGGCCGTCCGGCAGGCTGTGGCGGATTAGAGGGCGGTCGGGGGCGGTGTCGGAAGAGATGCCAGGCCCGTCCGGCGGAACAGGCCACTAAAGTGAACCCAACTAGTGGTCCCTGGTGCCTGCCTGACCTACCCAAGCAGGCAAATCTTGTCTGGTCCTTCTGGACTGCTCTCGAGGTGTTCCTCAGGTATCGAAGACCACGGCTGCCAGGTTCGCCAGGCCGGCCCTCCTGGCTGAGACGCGGTTGATTCCCGCTTGTCCTTCGGCTTCTCTCTGGCGGTGGCCAAATGGTCGACGACGAATTCCTACCTAAAGGCCCGGGTAATTAATGCAACGGGCAGAAGTAAGCAACCAACATCGTCGAGGGGAAGTCTGAATTAGTGACGGGGAAACAGAAAAGTAAAAAAGCCAAAAGGTAAAAAAAGCGAGGAAGAGAGAGCCACCGATGGGAGTCGACAAGTAGTTTCCCTCAAACCAACTGACTGACTTTAACCAACAAAACCAGACCCAAACCAAAGCGAAGCCAAACCGATTCCCATCCATTCAGCCCATCCAACCAACCCCTCCCTCAACTGCCTGCCTCGCTCGCTCGCTCTCCTCCTCCTCCTCCTCGCCGCCCATCGCTTCCCTTCTGCTGCCGCAGTTGTTTGTGCTTCATGCGAACATAATTATCCTCCTTAGTAGCACCCATTATTATTATTGCTGCAGTTTTTGGGGACTTACCTGCTTTTCCTCTCCCCCCCTTCCTCCAGCACCCAACAACAGTCAACACACATCCTATTTTTTTTATTATTTTCTTATTTTTTTTTTAACCTACCGTTTGCTCTTCATTTCGCCTTCTCGCTGACTGATCGAATCCCTCCCTCCCTCCCTCTGCTCCAGTCCAACCAGAAAAGCCCCCTTTCGGTGGTCCATCGAGCACACCTTCCAGTTCCCTTCCGTTCTGTTCTTCCTCCCCGCCCGACCTCAGCTCACGCTCTTTGTTCTCTGCTTTGCGTCTTGCCTGTCCGCTGAATCTTATCCGACTGTCTGATTTCTTGGTCCTGTCCGGTTCCCAAGTGCTCCCAAGTGCCTCCCCCAAAGTGCCTCCCGACACCAACCCCCCCCCCCCTGCTTTGCCCACCACAACCCACCACCGAGATCCTGGCCCTCTTCGACCTCTCGCCCTCTCCACAAGACACCCCATGTCGTCCTAGCAGTGTCGCCCGATCATTCGTGTGTCAGTAACACGGCTTCCCGTCAGGTAAGTTCAGAAGCGACTTTCACCCATTTTCCCCCCTCCGTTCCCATTCCATCCCATCGATCTCGATTTTCGTTGCCTTCGCTCTCCCTCCCTCCCCTTCGGTCCTTTCCCTTCCCTTCCCTTCCCCTTCTTCCCCCCCCC